GGGGAGGGGTCGTGGTTGGTGTCAGCCGACATGGTTGGTGAAACGGAAACGGGTGGTACGCGTTGGATTCACCCTGCCTTGTCTCCTGCCCGATGCAAGGCAACGTGGGGAATGTGTCGCACAGGGCAATCTGGCAGTCTGACTACCTACCTTGTCTGACCATTTCCCCTTTGCGGGGCAAAGGGCGCCCTTATATGGCGTCTATTTTACCGCGTATGCTGGTTTGCGGCGTTGCGCTCCCGCGCGTCCTTGTACCCGCTTCTCTGGGTCGTTCATGAATCATTCACTCCTCATGTTTCCTCGCAACGTCGGATTCTGGCAGAGAGCATCATCGTGTTCCGCCTCGTGGTATCTACATGGTTGCGCTTCCTAGGTGATGTGCATACATGCATGCCGCACGACATGGAGAGTGCATGCAGCGTACCGCAAGGCGTTCAACATTCACCCTGCCAGCCGGTGGTATTACCGCATGCGTCTTGCCTTGCAGCACAGTAGCGCGCCGTTGATCATATACCAGTATCAACATATATCTGACATGCATATTCGCGATATAACAGCAGCCGTTCTCGCCCCTGTCAGCGTGAATGCCTCAATAATTCTCCCTACATGCGAATCCACAGCAGAAGTAGTCCACCAAGCGCGCATTCATGCGCTGTTCTTCCATCCAATAGGGATCTAACGCGCGTCTGCGGCGGGACCATGGAGTCGGGATCGACGACGCGCAAGGGCGCCCCTGTTGTCTTGCTTGCCGCGGCTTTTGTGGCGTATTTATTCGCGCTGGCTGTTTATCGCTTGTACTTGCACCCGTTGCGCAAGTTCCCGGGGCCGAGAATCGCGGCGGTGTCGACGCTGTATGAGGCGTATTTTGAGATATGGCTGAATGGGCAGTATTCGAGGGAGATTGCGAGGCTGCATGATTTGTATGGTGAGAGATTGCGTTGTTGATGATGATGAAGTTGTAAATATCGACTTGCGGAGATTGGTTTGCTGATGAATTCACAGGACCCATCATCAGAGTCACGCCGAATGAACTGCATATTCGCGACTCCCGCTTCTTCGACGAGTTTTATGGCAAGAATCTGCATCTCGATAAGGAGGGGTGGGATGTGAAATTTGGGTCTGAGGGCGGCGTGCTCACGACGGTGAATGCAGCGGTGCATAAGCGGCGCAGAGCAGCATTAAGCCCCATGTGCGTATCTCCCCTCCCCAACCCTATTCCCCAGACTGATTCATGTTGTAGGTTTTCCCGCCGCTCAATCCTTGACCTCATACATATCATCCACCGGCACATCGACACGCTGTCCGCGCGCCTACGGGAAGCCGAAGCCCGCAAGGAACCAATCAATCTGACTCTGGCGTTTCCTGCTCTAACGGGAGATATCATCATGGACTATTTCTTCGGGTTTAATTATGCCCAGCTCAAGCATCCGGAGTTTGAATCGTTTCATGAGGCGTTTGTCAAGATTGGGGGGACGGGACATGTCGCGACGCAGATACCGTGGATCTACCCCGTGAGTTTGGGACGAGAAGAGGGATAGATAGGGATGAAGAGCGCTGACAGAAAAGCAGATCATGAATAGTATCCCAGACTCAATCACCACCTGGCTCCAACCGGCCGCGAAACCAATCCTCGACTTCAGACGAGTACATCACTCACACCCCTTCCCCACCACTCCCCACCCACTAACCCCCCCCCCTCACAGGACCAACGCACCCTAATATCCCGCACCCTCAACGGCGAAACCCTAAAAACCAACGACGCAAAGCGCACCGTCTTCCAAGCCCTCCTCTCCTCGTCCCTCCCCGCAGAAGACAAAACACCCCCCCGCCTCGCGCAAGAGGCGCAAATCATCATCGGCGCCGGCGTAGAAACAACAGCATTCACCCTCACAATCGCAGCCTACCATATCATCCACACGCCACACATCTACGCGCGCCTGCACGCCGATCTCGTCGCCGCCTTCCCCGACGCAACCGCTCCCATGGATCTGCATACCCTGGAGCAAATACCTTACCTGCGCGCTTGCATCACAGAAGCGCTCCGTCTGTCGTACGGCCTGAGCGCAAGGAACCCGCGTACCCGCAGAACGCAGATGGTGTATGGCGACTGGATTGTTCCGGCGGGGACTTGTGTTGTACGCCCTCCCCCTCCCCCCTACTTCCCCCCCTAACCTCCCCCCAAACAGTCAATGACCATCCCCACCGTCTCCCACGACGAGACCCTCTTCCGCGACTCCCACACATACTCACCCGAGCGCTGGCTCGACGCGCCGCACACGGCCGACGGCGTCCCGCTCGAGCGCTTCATGGTGTGTTTCGGGCGCGGGACGCGCGCGTGTCTGGGCGTGAATCTCGCGTGGACGGAACTTTACCTTGCGCTTGGGGCGTTGTTTCGGAGGTTTAAGTTTGTGCTGTATGAGCCTGATGTGAGGGATGTGAGGGTTGGGCATGATTTTTTTATTCCGGTGGCGTGGGTGGGGGGGAAGGGGGTTAGGGCTTGGGTTGAGAGTGTGGGGTAGAGAGGGGGGAGGGCTTTGAGATGGGGGGGTGGGGGGGTGGAAGACTGGACATGATTGGGAGATGCTGAGAAGAGATGTGTGAGGTGGTAGCTAGGAGATATGATATGTGGATATTGCGTGTCACGTACGCAAAAGGGGGAAACACTCCTGTGGCTGCTAGAAAGTCTAATAGTACACGCCGCTGCGAAATCATCTGGTGTCAAAACGAGCTCGTTACGGTGCAGAAATGGAAACATTACAACTACCTAAATTAACACAACTCGTCAGTAGACTTTGCGTAAAAAGACACATAAGAAATCCCCCATAGTAAACATACACAGCGTACATCCAGCGCATAACCAACAAACCCCTCTCCACGACTCTCCACCTACGCCCCCCTAACAACATCCTCATACCTCGGCGGCGGCTCCTCACCACCCATCCCATCTTCACTCCCCCGTCGCTGCTCATACTCAGCCTCCCTCCTCACCTCGGCGCTCTTCCGCTCACTCCCCAACACATACCCACCATTCTGCACCGCCCCCGCACTACGCTCCCCAGCCTCATGTTCCTAAACCCACATCAGCACGCACCAAAAACACAAACCCGCATTACATACCAGCGCGCGTTTCTTCGCCATACGACTCTCTTTCTTCTCGCTAATCTTGCGGCTGAGGGATTCGGCGCCCAGACCGAGGCCCACGGCGAGGAGGGCGGCCATTGAGCGGGGTGGGGTGGGGGACTGGGTCGATGTATTGGGGTGGCGGTTGGCTTTGGATGAGCAGCAGGATTGTCGGGTTGGAGGGGTGGTTTGGGTGCGGCTGCGGCACATGGTTTGGTGAGTTGGGGTTTTGGGGGGTATGTGGTGGGTTTGTGGTGTGAAGTGAAGTGATGGGATGGGATGGGATGTTTCTCAAGGCGGATTACTTACCTTTTTATACACGAACTTTCTTTGAAGTGGGTTTTATTGACGGCAAGTACGCGGTGGGAGGATAGTTGATACGGACGTAAGATTCTACTAGAGAAGGAAATTATGATCGTGGAATCTGGGTTGTGAGTTTGTGTTGTAGTTGTGCCGACGGGGTGGTGTTGGGGTCGTTGTTACGGCCGAAAGTCCATGACGTACGGTGTAGTGTGGCGATGATTGGGCGTGGCGTTTGTCACAACGGCGTATACAGACGTGTGGAGGAGGAACTTGAGGAATAAAGAAATTGTAAACTTAAATCTGATGAGGTGTTAGAGCGATGTAGTTTCTTTGAGATGGGCGTTGTGTGTGTTTCCTCGGCGTCTGGGGTAAGTATGAATATTTCGTAGACATGCAGCTATGCGACATACCGGAGCGCAGCATAACTTTATATCGTGATTAGAGGTCTACATCAAACGGGCCGGGTTGCCGTCATTGTCAGTCTGCAGCGGATATACCATCTAGACGTTACGGATCCCCTTCGCTCCTATGCACTTGTTGTCTGTGCACCACCGAAATACTGGTGAAAGAGGGCACGGCGTTATCTACATCTCAAGCTTCAACATAAAAAAGAATCGACAATCACGATAGGGACATGAGCGTAAAAAGCAAGGGTGAAATTAATGGTAACGTTGACATACTGTCAACGAAGCTAGCGATGGTGATAAGATATATAGGCGTCAAAGTCATCGTCTCGTCGTTCGTGATATAAGTCGTGTTATGAAAAGCCGTTTTGCACGTGAAAATGAAATCTTGGCCAAACTCGAAATCCACCCTAGAATGCATCTCCATGTGAAGACGCTTATTGTTGAGAAACGTATTGACCAAGGGAAGTGGGTATTGGAGGGTGATGGTTCCGTCTTCCCACCTATCCCTCAATGCTTGCATAATGTTCATGTCGAACAGTCTTTCCGGATCATTGGCCACATTGTCTTCAATGCGAATGGCCTGTTAGGGAAGGGCGAATATGCCATCCCAGAGTTCGCGCACCAGCTTGATTGGTTTTAGCATCCAGTCCATAAAATCGAAAGGGTCCAAGTGATATGGATCGTCCGAATCATAGGAATGATTGAAAGAATGCGGAGCATTCTCCGCTAAACCCATCCAAGGATGCGGTGTATGAGGATTCTACAACTCATCCCTAACGCGCTGTGTAGCCTCTGTAGCGACACTTGCAACGCTGCTAGCAGCTTCCTCGATGCTCTTACTTCCGCTCGCGTACATCTCGCTGATCCTAGAGTTCGCAGCTTCGACAGCAGCAGCGATCCTGTTGCTCGCACTCTCCATAGCACCCTGCTCGGGGCCGTAGACAGCAGAGCTGATGGCCGAATAGGCGTTGTCTGCGTTCTCGCCAGCCACAGAAGCCACCGAGCTGTAGACACTTCCGGCGCCGCTGGTGACCGAAGCAGCATACGCAGTGGGAGTGGGTGTTCCGAAGATAGCTTGACTGATGGCAGCCTGGGCATTGGCAGCAGCAGCAGTAAAGCTGTCCTGGGCCTGTTGAGTGCCGTAGACATACTCACTAACCTGAGCCTGAATGGATGCATATGCGCTGGATACAGACTCGCTGGCTTGCTCGGCTGCACCCTTGGGAGTACCGTATACGGCGATGGAAGCACTCTCGAGAGCCAAATCAATCGATGCGCTAGCTTGGCTGAGAATAGTCTCAATGGCTGCGGGAGGCGTGAAGATGGAGCTGACAACCGATGAAGCGGAAGCGTAGACGTCTGCAGCAGCCTCAGTCGCGGACTCGAAGCTCTCGCCAGCGTATGAAGTAACAGACTCAATGCTCTCGCCAGCGTATGAACTAGCAGCTTCGAAGTTCTCACTGGCGTAGGATTGAACCGATGACACAGCTGCCGGAACGCCCGTGTAGTAGGCAGAAGCAAAACGGTTCATGACACTGTCCGTAAAGTCCGGCTCTTTTCCGATGACCAGCTCAGAGATCAGAGCTTGAACATCAGCGTATTGCTGAGCAGCCTTCGCAGTGGCTTGAGCACCGTATTCGCCGGCTTGTGAATAGATCGACTCTGTCCAAGGTGTAGGCTGTCCGTAAACTTGAGTGCTAGCTTTGGCAATCAGTGCTTCCCAGTTCACACTAGCCTGAGATGCGACCGACTCAGTCCATGGAGTCTCAGAGCCAATAACACCAGAGCTGACTTGGGAAGCTAAAGACTCAGCGCCAGCCTGGACGTTCGAGGCCACAGCTTGCGCAGACATAGAAGCACCAGACGCGGCGCCGGCGGCGTTTGCGGACGCTGCAGACGCAACAGACGCGGCAGATGCAGACGCCACGGAGGCCAGAGATTCTACTGTACCCTGCTTAGGACCATAGACACCGGTTGATGCGGCGTCCACAAATTCGGAGTAGCGGGCATGAGCAAGTCCGATAGCCTCGTAATATTGTCGGCGGGCACCATCAAGGGCAGGTGTAGGCTTGGACGAGAACTGGGCGGAAGCCTGACTGATACCCTCTGACAGTCTGGATGACGCGATGGAAGATACCGACTCAAAATAGCCTTGAGTAGGACCAGCTGCGTAGCTCTTGACTGAGTTGGTGTACTGGAGCGCGGCTTGCAACCGGTCGCTGGCAGCGGCGACAGAATCAGAGTAGGCTTTCTCGAACATCGACAACATCGTCTCATGAGCGGGTTTTGGTGTTCCTGAGACAATCTGCGACATTTGGGACTTCGCGTTCTCAAGTTGCTCACTTGCGAGACGCACGGCCTCATTATAACGGGAGCTCGCTCCAATCTGCACGGTCTGGAAGATCGCGGTGGGTGTAGGAGTGCCGTAGATAGCGTACGACGCACTAAGACAATTAGTTGTGCAATAAAGGAGTTGCAAAGTGACTTACGCGGTAACTGCCTGAGCAAATTTCTCAGATGCGACACTGGTCGCGCTCTCGATAGGCTGTTGCTCGGTACCGTACAAGATGCTTGAAGCTGCGGCCATGGCCTTGACGTATTGCTCGTTAGCGAGGGAAGTGGCAGATTCGACGGTTCCCTGCGTGATGGATGGGCCCAGCAATGCTTCACTGACAGCTCGGCTCAGCTCAGCCGCACGATCTCCAGCGTCTGCGACCATGCCCTGGAGCTTTGCTGAGTAGGTCTCATCGTCACCATCGTCGAGAACTTGGTCGAAGATAATTTCTCTGGCTTGAACCATCACTTGTGCGTTTACTCCGCCCCAGACTTTCTTGGGCGATGCAGTTGCGGCGTGAACTTTCTCGTCAACAACTTCCTTTGCCTGTTGAGCTACGCTTTCCACTTTCTCAGCGACTGCTGAAGCCGATGATGACGCTTGGGAGAGCACGCTCTCCGCAAGTGGAGTTTCTGAGCCAACAACAGCTACGGAGATCGCGGAAGAAGCGTCGGAGAACGCACTCTGGACTGAGGATGCAACGCTTTCCGTAGCTGGGGTCTCGCTTCCCAAAACAGCTTCGGAGGCTGCAGAAGCCTGAGATGAGACCTTGGCAGATGCATCAGAAAACACACTCTTCACGGAGGAAGCGGCGCTCTCAGAAACCGGTGTCTCGCTCCCTAGAATTGCCTCCGAGGCTTGAGACGAGGCTTTTTCAACGTTCTCGACAACCTGTTGAGCAGCGTTGTGTATGCCGACAGGAACCTTTTGGTTCGAGAAGTCGTCAGTAGTATCACCGGCCCAGATCTTCCACTTGGACACGTCTTTGAGGCGAATCAACTCATTGACCATTTTCGAAGCGATGGACATGGCCTCGTCCTCGAGGTTCTTGGCTTCTGCATGCGCGACGCGGAGACCCTCGTGTTTGGATCCAACAGATTCGACCTCGGTTTGCCACTCTGTCAGCGTTTCTCTTAGCTTGTGGTACTTTTGCCAGTCTTTGTAAGTCACACCGTCAGTCCAGGCCCAACGCATTCCAACTTCTTGGAGACCAAGGCCGTGAATCTTGTCAAGCACTTCAACGGTACTCTTGACTGCTGCCTGAACCAAAGCATCTGTTTCCTGGTCGTACGACGTTTTCCAGATGCGAACGTCTTGGGCCTTCTCTTTGACCGCGAGTCCGAGATCACGTGTCTTGGAGTCGCAGTGCTCGTAGGCTTCCTCCCGGTCCTGTTCTGTAGCGTCTTCTGGGAGTGACTTGACAGTCTGCTTGATGTACCTCTTGAGTTTCGCGACTGTCGCGTCTGCAGTCTCTTCCAGCTTGATGACCAAAGCTCGACCATGTCCTTTGACACCATTCTCTACTTGACGCTTCGTGATCTCAGTGACTCGGTGCTCCAAATCTTCAGAACCCTTATCAGCGGCCGTAGCGAACTTGGTCTGCCACTTCTCGAGGTCATCATTGAGCTTCGCCTTCAGCTCAGCGCCAGTAAGCTTGGGTTCAGCAGGCTGAGTTGCGGTTTCGGATTGGCCGTTGCCAGATGCCGTGCTTGCAGAGTTGCTGCCGATATAATCATCCAACACACTCCAGGCAGCGTTTGAAGCCGAACTCGGAGACACAGATGCAACCGATGAGCTGACGGCATTTGAAACAGTCTCGGTAGACTTCAGCACGCTGGAGCTATGAATCGGTCAGAAACAGCACGTGCAACTGCGTACTTGACTGCTTACGTTTGAGAGTCAATAGCATCAACGACGGACTCAATCTTCTGCTGATCCCGGTATCGTCCAAGGCGTTCCGAAATGCGGACGAATTGGGGCTCGACGTTGTCTCCATAGAAAACGCGGAGCTGAGGCCACACGGTCCTGAGGACGAAAGCCCAAGTAGTGTCCTTGGCAGAATGAACGTACGGGAAGACGACGTTCACTAGTGCGTGGTTGCCGTGGACCTGGGCTTGGCGTAGGTAGGGCAAGGAAGTATGGTAAGCCGGTAGGACAGAGCGATGGTAGATGTCTTCCATACTCGCCTTGGTCTGATCATAGTAGGGAGCAGCAGCTTTGGAGGCCGTCTGGACATGGGAGCTGAGATACAGGTCGTACTGTTCCTTGGCTTGTTTCTGAGCATTCTGCAGCTGGGGGCGGGCGCTCTTTTCCCAGTTGGTCTCAGCAAACTGCTTTGCGTGCTCTACCCTGTGCGCGCCGTACGTAGCATACTTTTCTTGAGCAAAGGCTGCGGCAGGAGTATAATAGCGATCGGCGTAGGGCTTGACTTTCTCGACTTGCGGAGCCACGTATGTCTGATAGTACGGATCTAAGTAGGGAGCTGCATACGACCTGACTTGGAGATAAGGTGTGCATATGCGTGGGGAAGACTCGGAAATTTGAGTGAGGGATGGCGGACACCGGAAAGCCGTTGTGATGATCATGTACCACGTTATCAGCCTGCGCAAGGTCAGTAGTTGTCAGGCCAAACCCGCCGCTTCCCAAGCCCACATACCTTGCAACCATGCTTGTCAACCCCCCCTTCTTCGCTTTTTTAGCCTTCTTCGAGCCCTTTGGTCGTACCGCAGGGCTGGAGAGTTGTGATTTCTCAACGTGGCTGCTTGCACTGCCATTGACATTGCCAGCTGAGTTGCCATTGGTGGCAGACGGCTTGGACTTCTTCGCCCGGCCGTTCATCTGGACAGCCATGATTGCGGCCTTCGCAATGAGCGGTGAGTAACAATCAGCGCTGCTCGCGTGTTATGGCAAATCCTGATTGCTGATGCTGATGCTGGGCTTCTGTGTGGGATGTTAGCGAGGAGTAGTGCAGCAGGCCTGTCTGGAGACGACGCACAACAAAAAGCTGGCCGTTGTGGTAGCGGCTGGACAACGCAGCTTCACCTAGTGGGCGATGAAGGTGAGATGGATGTGGGCTAGAGTTACTAGGCGATGCACGACCGAGCTCAGGCAAGCAGTGATGTAATTGCACGTGCAAACGGGGAAGTGGATAAGAAGATCAAGAAACGAGCCGCCATGGTGACGAGCACGCACGGCAGATCAAGTCATGAATGGGGTGGGATGGGATGGAATGGGCCGACTGTAACATCGCATCGCATCACATCCCATTGCGTCTCATCTGTGACAGTGCGTCTTTTGTGTTTTTGAGCGAAAGCATTCCAGAGGCCCTGTTTGGCGTGAGGTCGTGCCTGGCGTGTCTGGTCGCGCAGATGCATTGCCCGTTTGCGGGGTCTGTGACAGGCAAACATGTGAGAGAGATTTCTACGCGCTACACGCTACATGCCTCCAGCCTGAGAGGGCTATCCTTGCTGTCTTAAAAGCAAAGGGCCCAAGGAACCAGTTGCCGGAACAATCGTCCTAGGCCCCGCCGTCCGTGATAGTGTGTACCAGGTGGAAGGCGGCCCCGCCAAGACACGATTGAACTCGCCGTCGCCTCCACTTTCGCGCTCCACCCACTCACTCACGTCTGCCCGATTTCACGTCGACACAAGAGTGACAAACGCGTTGGGGTAGCTGTCCGGTCACTGCCTGTCCCCCATGATTCCCTGAGCCACCTCAGCGGCTCCCAGCCATAACCACCGCGCATCGTCCTGCATCATCACCTGTAGCCATTCCACATCCACTGCATCCCTACATCCCCCTCAACCATGGCGACCGAAGCTATGGCGGCCGACGCGGGGCCCTTTGACGCGGCAGACGATCTTCTCACAGAAGCAGAGAGCGACTCTCCCCACAACACGCCGTCCTCCAGTTCCGTCATGGCCGACGAAGCCGACACGTGCCGCATATGTCGCGGAGAGGGCACCGCCAAAGAGCCCTTGTTCCACCCGTGCAAATGCAACGGCAGCATCAAGTTCGTCCACCAGGAGTGCCTGATGGAGTGGCTGTCGCACACGCAGAAGAAGCACTGCGAGCTGTGCAAGACATCGTTCCGCTTCACCAAGCTATACGACCCCCGCATGCCGAACCGCATCCCCACGGCCGTCTTCATGCGCCGCGCCGCGCTGCACGTAGTCAAGATGCTCTTGACGTGGTGTCGCGCTGTCTTGGTGGGCTCGGTATGGATGGTCTTGCTTCCATGGTGCATGCGCGTCGTCTGGCGCAGCCTCTTTTGGGTCGGCGACGGAGGATGGACCAGAGATGGCTACCTCGAGCCAGCGGATAACACCGACACCTCGCCACTTTCTTCACTCGACCTAGAGGTAGTCCGTGCCGCTCTTGAGGCTGCAAAGGCCAATCGTTCGCAGAACTGGGTGGTGATGAGCCTGTTCAAGGGTAGTAAGCCTCTCGTCCTCAACGGTACCTTGGTTGAGTCGGCCAGCGAGTCACCCTTCTGGGATTTTGCGAAGCGCCTCCTATTTGGCATTCCCTACCCAGCCCCTTCCCTCACGCCGTCCTTGACAAACCAAACAGAACTCAATGCGACTTCTCCTCTCCTGACCACTCGGCATCCTTCGCTACTCTCAGACATACCTTGGTTCAATCGCTTTGAGTCGCAGACCGTCAATCGCTTCATAATCGATGTGTTCGAAGGCCTCATGATAACACTCCTGGTAGTCGTCGCATTCATCTTGATCTTTCTCATTCGAGAATGGGTTGTTCAGCAACAACCTGTCATCAATATGGTAGCACTCAACAACAATGCCGCTGCGAACCCGGCTGCAAACAATGAAGATGATGGAGACCTTCATGCTGCAGCTGAAGAGAATGAGGGTGAAGAGGACAATGAAGATGTGAATCCGGATGCTCAACAAGTCGTAGGAGATGATGTGGACGTGGACAGTGACCTGGCTACGGCCATCGACAATCCTTTCGTCAACGATGACAGCACACAACCCGAATTCAATTCGGAGATGGCCCAGGACAACGGTCAAAGGACAGTGGCGTTGGACCACGTTGTACAAAATGGAACTGGGGAGGATATGAGAAGAGCATCAGAAGAAATGTCCGAAGAAGACAAGGAACGCCTTGCCAGGGCGACGGATAACATATACCCCAATCCGGAGCAAATCGCCGATCACACGTACAATAAGACACCCGAATCAGCGGCCACTGAGCCTCGAGTTCCCACTCCAAGCAGTTCCGCGCCTCTCACGCGCTCTAGTAGCCTCCCTCAGAACTCGAGGTCTGCATCTGGAGTCGTCGAATCGGATCCATCGGGGGCTTTCCAAAGGCCAAATATGCCCTCAAGAAATCAATCGTTCATTGCGACAGAAATCCGACGCAGCTTGGAGGAAGGCACTTCATGGTCCTTCGACAACGTGCAGCAAGCGTCAGGCGATGAGGATCGTCCAGATGAGAACACGCCTGATTCTTGGGAAGACGAGGATACAGAAGATGGACCGCCCGGTCAAGAGCAGGAAATGGCATCAATTCAAGAACCCGACAGTGAACGCAGCAGTGGAAGTTGGCAACAAGTCACCAATGTCAATGTGGAAGAGACCTCTGACCAAGCGCTGGAAAGAGGGCGTCCACAAGAACCTAGTGAGGCGGAGGCTGTTCTTCACCACTTCTTGCGAGCTCCATCTGAGGATGGTCGTTCAAATGCAACATTCGAAACCACGGCAGAACCCACCTCTGAGGTCGATTTCGCATCTGACGAATCGGAACATGGTTCTGATGCCTTACCGGAACAGCCTGAACTCGAGGACCCGGAACATCAACTTCCGGCCGAGGCAGCCGCACCTTTGGCGCAAGTCCAGAACCAACAACTCGAGCCGGCAGGGCCTCAGCAACCTCTACCTCCTCCCTTGACTCGTTTCTTGGACTGGGTCTATGGTGACGTGGCTCCCGAAGTGCAGCCACCTGAAGAAGTCGCGAACGACGAACACATCGTCCGTAATCTTGCAGAAGAACCGCCTTTCGTGGCTTTTGCAGGCAATGACGTACAAGAGCCTGTTAATCCTCCAGTTCAAGACCGTGAGGTCGCTGCTGCTGTGGCTCAGGCTGCCATCGACGTCAATGAACAAGACGCAATCGAAGACGCAGAAGACCTTGAGGGCATTCTTGAGCTCATTGGCATGCAGGGCCCACTCATCGGTCTTTTCCAGAATGCTTTGTTCAGTGCAGTACTAATTTCTGCGACCCTAGCTTGTGCTGTTTGGGTTCCTTACTTGTGGGGGAAATTCATGATTCTCCTTATGGGAAGTCCTGTCGCGTTCCTTGTCAAGCTTCCTCTTCAGACAATTGCTGCAGTGACAGACTTTGTCGTGGACACGACCCTCTTCTTCGGTGGAGCATCTATCTATTGGATCTCACGATTCATCTCGATGCTAGTCACCCTCAGCACATGGGGCACGTTGTCAGGAAGTGTGGATGGCCCACTCAGCACCATCTCTGGCCCAGCTCATTCAGTTGCGTACAATGCCTTGGAGCGTCTTGGAAAGATGCTCGCGGGTTCAGCACTTTCGCCCGGCCCTGATTATTTCCAGTTCAACGCCGATTCGCACATGGCCTTGCGGAGTCTCCAAAACACCACGTCTTTCGCCCTGAATGAAACGAGCAACTTCATCGGTGCTGTTTTTGAAGAAATTGCTGCAGAATCACCATTCGGGCTTGTTTTCAGAGCGCTCGGTCAGTTGCCGCATTTCATTCAAGTTGGGCTAGCAGCACTTCTCTACGAGTGCAATGCTCTGTTGTCTTGGATTTCGTCTTCAAAGTCGTACAAACTTACTTTTGATCTTGATCTTGGTCAAAACACAACCGCTGCATACACTTCAGTAGAACGTTGGACTGCCAGTGATCGCACAATCGCCATCTTCGCAGGTTATGCGTCCTTCGCCATGGGCGGCGCCATTTATCTCAAGCGCGCGACTCCATTCAGCACATCGCAACAAGGGCAGAGAATTGAGCGTGTCTTTTCTGAAGTCCTCCAGCAAGCCGGAGGTGTGCTCAAGGTTATCCTGATAATCAGCATCGAAATGCTGGCCTTCCCGCTCTACTGTGGGTTACTTCTTGATCTTGCCATGCTCCCTCTATTCAAAGACGCTACACTCTATACCCGGTGGCAGTTTGCTTGCGAAAGCCCGTGGACATCTTGTTTCGTGCACTGGTTCATTGGCACCTGCTATATGTTCCATTTCGCTCTTTTCGTGTCCATGTGCCGTAAGATTATGCGGAAAGGTGTGCTCTACTTCATTCGCGATCCGGATGATCCAACATTCCATCCAGTTCGGGACGTTCTCGAACGGAGCGTTACCACCCAGCTCCGTAAGATCGGGTTCAGCGCACTTGTATATGGAGCTCTAGTCATTGTGTGCCTAGGAGGCGTGGTGTGGAGCCTCAACCGCGCAACCTCCGGCGTGCTACCCATACATTGGACAACCGAAGCGCCTTTCTTGGAGTTCCCGCTTGACCTCTTGTTTTACAACTTTCTCACGCCCGTCATCATCAAGTTCTACAAACCTAGTGAGGGCTTGCACGCAGTCTACCAATGGTGGTTCAAGAAGTGCGCCGGCTTCCTTCGTCTATCAAACTTTCTTTTCGGAGACAAGAACAAGGAGGAAGAAGGCTACCACGTCACCTGGACAGGCTGGTTGAAGTCTGCAAAACAAACTCCAGAGCAAGCGGCCGATAGCGATGAAGATGGGCGCGCACTCGTCCCCTTCGTCAACGATGGCAAGTACGTCAGGGCCCCAGCATCCGATCAGGCGCGCATTCCCAAAGGCCACCCCGTCTTCGTTGAGGTCGACCGGAACAACGTCCGCAAGGACGGAATCACAGAGGGAGGCGTGCACAACACGGATCTGGTAAACATGGTCTACATTCCACCCTGGTTCCGCGTCCGCATCGCTTGCTTCGTCTTCACCATTTGGGTCTTCATGGGCGTCACCGGCATCAGCGTGACTATCATCCCGCTCCTCGTCGGTCGTTACCTCTTCTCGCTCTTCCTGCCGTCCACGGTTGAAATGAACGACATACACGCCTTCTCCCTGGGTGTCTACTCCCTCGGCAGCATCGCATACAGCGGCTACCAAGTCCACAAATTCATCGCCTCCCTGAACCAGCCCGTCCCCTCTCCCCTATCCGCGCTCCACACCGTCGCAGCAACAACATCCCGCGTCGGCATGCGCGTTCTTCGCTTCAGCTTCGTGTGGACGAGTCTCATCTTCGCCATCCCCTTCCTTTTCGCCGTGCTCATCGAGCTCTACTTCCTCATGCCTCTGCACGCGTACCTCGGTCCCACGGAACCACACGTCGTCCACCTCATCCAGGACTGGACGCTCGGCTTCCTCTACTCACGCCTCGCTGCGCGCATCGTCTTCGCGAACCGCAACTCCCGCCCTGCCCGCGCGTTCAACGCTGTCATCCGTGATGGCTATTTGCACCCCAATGCGCGCATCGCGACGAGGTGCTTTTTACTCCCCGTCCTCGCGCTGTTCGCCATCGCCATCGCCGTCCCGAGTAGTTTTGCCTTCGTAATGAGTCGTACAATGTATGCGGGGGCGAGCGAGGCAGTCAAGGGCCAAGTCTGGCGCTTCTGCTTCCCTGCTATCGGACTGAGTGCGGCGGGTATGTGGGTTGGGAAGGAGGTTATTCGCATGCTGACGAGATGGCGGTTGGTGGTCAGGGACGAGGTGTATCTGATCGGTGAGCGGTTGCATAATTTCGGGGAGAGGAGGGCGCCAGTGCAGAGTCCTGTGGCGGAAAGCTTGGTGGTGTAGACATGGAGGGTGTAGTTGTTCAACTGAGTATGAATGTGGGGGAGATGTGAGGGGGAGAAAGATCGCCGTGGCTTCTGTCTTGTTATTTGCATCTTTGATAGGCTGTGCTATTCATCTCGACTCTTACCATACAGAACATTACTTCCTGTCTTGTATCATTGTAGTCGTTTGGCTAATCGTTAGCTGGGCGAATTAAACTTCATCACTAATTTCCTTTGGGTAGTTCAGGATAAGGACAGGTATCATACGTAATGTAATTCAATAAAAACTACAAATTGGAACAACAAATCCAGTCCATCGGCAGATGGGCACCCATTTTGGTTGGATAGTGACAGAATGAAAAGGAACAACACCCTTACAGCGCAGGTTCTCGGCCGCTTCGTAGTCGTGCTGTAGAGGAGAAGAGAAGAGACGATGAACAACATGTTCCATAACTGAACTGTACTCTACTCTGCTGAACTGGCATACAAAATCCTCACCTGCAACACTTACCCCTTTCCTCACACTACACTCTACTCCACTCCGACAAATCGCTCAAACACTTATTCGTCAACAAGCATGGAAAGAACCCGACGTCTGCCTATGTAGCGTACGCTCGAAGCGAATAGATCAGCGGGCTGGCTGACTTGAACATACCCTACAGTCGCCGAGTAGGGAGTATGGTGTATACTGAACTGGGATGTTGTATCGTCCTGTCTGCCGGCTGTCGACCTACAAAGACCCCATCCCAAACTACCGTACCCCTTTCGATTCTCCTTGACATAGGTTTGTTGTAATTACTGGGCTAGAAGTAGAGCCTCTGTATCCATTTTCCTCAACGCCCACACATCTCTCGTGTTTTGTATCTGGATCCGTGGTCCCTTAGGAGGGGCTTCTTAGCCTTTCGAGCATAGGACGGGGTCACTGTTTGTTCTAATACGTTGTGGGTTGTGGGATGTGTGTTGTGAGATATGGTACGGCTATGGAGCATAGTCGAGGGACGGGGTTTAGCGAACAGAGATGGAGCGAGGTGACGACCGTGTGAAGCTCTGTCTATGCTTGTTAGAGTATGAGAGGGATAGGATAGGATCATGGTCAGTGGGAAGTGTAATGTGAATGCCAGACTACGACGGCGTGGAAACGAAGTAAGGTGGGTATGACAAGAAGCTCTGGCTTGGACCAGACGATAGCGCTGCTTTCGAGATACGTGGGATATGATCTGATGGAGGGAGACTCCAGTGAAGGACCAAGATAATCGGAAGTATGTGTCGGTAGGTAGACAACAACAAGCACTGCGTGCGGTATATTTCCTGGATATGAATGTAGCAGTCGAAATGCGTAGAGATGCCCAAGGCCTCACATTCAAACCCCAAGCGATTCTCGCACACAATCTCATCGACACGAATCGGCATTTCTTTGCATGTCACGCAGTTTAGTATGCCCAGATAGTGACATACACTCTCCACGTACCGTATCTGTCCAGATTGATGCGAGGCAAGACAAAAGCATGCCATCACACGCGGCACTTCCCATCATCCTGCCATCTCCCACGCCACAGATCTAGGCCTCGCATCCCTCATCTCACTCCATCCCACCGCGCAAAGCAAAGCAATCCACCGCTCTCTAACAGCGCGCAATCTAACCCCTCTCCCCCTCCTTGGCACACCTACCCACCACCAACACATCACCCAATACCCATCCCACTACACCACTCACCGGCGCGCGCTCATCCAAGAAACCACTCCCCCTCACCTGTTGACTGCAGTAGTGTGCATCTCGCGTCGCGAGTAAACCACCCAACTGACGTTCTTACTCGCGGCCCATCCGGATCACCATCCTTGTCTTAACGCTCTCATCCCTCCCCCCTGTGCTCCGCGCCTCCGACAAGGGAGGGCCTGCTTCGCGAATGCCACTTCCTCAGCCCACCTTCCTGCTGGCTGAGTGTGCTTCGCTTCATCTTTTGCTGAGGGGAGGGAGCGGATAGGCTGGGGGAGGTTGGGAGAGATTGGCGATCAGGGAGGAGGGGGACGCGTTTTTATGTGGGGGTGGGCTGATTGGGGGGGAGGTGTTTGGGAATGGGGAGATCGGACGGAGGGGCTGGAGGTGAGAGAGCTTCTTGCTAGGTGGTTGGATGGGGAATTGTGGGTGGTTGATTGGGTTGTGTGGGATGGAGATGTATCTTGATCGTTGGGTTACATATGTTGGGAGTGAAGATGAGGCGTGGAGCTTGGTTGACCATGATACCATGGGGTACCTAACGTTAGAGTGATTGAACTTGTACACATGTATCGGGATCCATGACGTGTCATGGTCTGTGGATATGTCTCACTTCTTCTCGATGAGAACACGAGTTGAAAATTCAGCGGTTCGGGCAGCGATGCGCTTGTTCAAGAGAGACAACCATGCACATAGGTACTATCCGTCCAACTGTGAGATCTTGGAAGTAACATCGTCTGTGCTTGTGAAGTTCCCAGGGTCGACCTTGCTGCCGTGATGATGTAGCACTTCGGACTGACAAGATACACCCGGCAATCAGCCTCACCCGCTACATCGGTTTGTTGAAACAATCTGACAGCGGGTCCAAAGGACTCGAGTACAACTACTGTTGCCTTTTCAGATAAGGTAAAAGTGGGTGCTTGCGTAAGCTCGATGCGACGTTTGGGGTTGATATACGTGGTGGTCACTGCGTGCGCTTTTCTCCGTGAAACAGATGTTTGATCACTCTTCCCAACGAACCTTGATGTTTCAATAGAACCGTTGATATAGGAGTCTGCCAACATCGAATATAAGTCTACTAATATCGACGTGAGGTGTTCTGGTCTGATGGTCTCGCCATTTTATCAATTTTGTTTCTACTCGGCAGTGAATGGAGCGCAGATAGACTATCAAGCACAACGATAGATTCTCCTCGAGGCCCAACAATCGATACATATACATATGCGACGAGCTTGAATTATAATCGGAAACCGCATCGTCGGATAATGTCCTAGGTCATTACTTCTAATCACACGCCTTAGTGATACACGCTACCCAAAGTGCATGAAGAAAAAGGTACTGTTGACGTCGCATTTCCACGCCGGCGGTTTAATTCTGGAGTTCGCATAGCACAGTGCGCACGAGAACATCGTGAGACAACAGACGCAACAAAGAGACGTCCGTGAGTGAATCGATGCGCTGTCATGTGGACACTGTATACACGCGATGGATAGATCTGATGTTATTCTCACGGCCCTACCGACGCCATCTTATCTGACCATTCATCGCTGCAGGAGATCATGCGATCGAGTGCCCTACGTGAGCAACAGACCAGATGGCGACCAGCCGTACCGCGAATATCTGCATCGCGGTCGTTAGCGAGATGAAGGTCATGGGCGAGTAGGCCGTCTGTCAACGTAAGGCTGTGTTCGAGAAGGTCGCTAGAAGCACACTAAGTTCGTGAAACGCGCGCAGAGACCATTCGTAATCACCACCATCATGACAACTTCATGCAGATGCTCGTGTATTTTGAGTTGAGAGATTGCAAGAATAACCGCGAGTACCTCAGTGCTCAAGATAGTATGGTGACCTCAATGCGCTCTGTCTGGCGGTCAGAAGTATGGAGTGCGACTCGAGCTCGAGTTGTGGGTACCATCGCAGCAATCAGCGGGAGCACTATCCGCTCAACAGAGCCCGTATACGCGTCGTTTTAATCTGCGTAGAATTCATGCATCTTCTCAGTAGTACGAGCACGCGTATACTCTGGCGACGAAGGAACGACAACGGAGTTGTGGTGCGTGAAGCCTGGTCTTCCCTATCAACGCGTTTCATCTTGACGCAAGAACCCTTTGTAACGACCAGAGGGCGATTTCAAACTTCTTGGAAAGCCACATGACTGAATCGCCTGTATTCGTGAAGGCAACCGCTTAGTCAAGACTGTTATTTCAAACATAACGTATGTCTTTCGCTCGACAGAGCAACATAGCTCTGAAACCCCACGAAGCACTTCGACGTGATAACTCTTTCGATGCTTAGTAAGGATTGAGCCCGAATGCTGCCCCTGCAGTTAAAGTCGCTTCGGAGAAATCGAGGGAAGGATGGCCGAGCGACCATCGGAGCAATGTTTGCGAGTGGTTCTGGAGGACGTAAGCAACCGATGATCACATCGCCAAGACGTCCGAGAGGACGCTGCCAAAAATAGACGATGTCGGTTGATTGGCTTGCTAAAGGTCAATAGCCCCTGCTAGCGGTGCAGGAGACATATTTTCTTTTGTTCGGGACGAAATGCCATCGTGCGAGTCGGTGCGACGACGTACGACGACTACTAGTGTTGTGTTGTGAAGTGTAGCATGGTACGCTTTGGAGTAGGGTGTGAGGATTTTGAAAAAATCAGCGGCACTAAGCAGATTTTCGGACGGATGGATAGTTTTCAAGTTGACTCCGGGTCAAGATGATGAAAGAAATGGAGCTGGGCCTGGAAGTTTCACAGGCTCGAGGCGGGCTACGCTGCAAGCTGCACCCCATCGCACGGACTGACATCATGGAAGCCTCTGAGATGAGCTGCTGCAGGAGCTGCAGAAATCAGCCCATGTCGAATCCGTCTCTTTAGGTTCCGCTCGAATCATAAACGTTATCGGGCCTGTTGCTTACAAGGAATCTGCGGGAGACCGGACTGTCCTTGTCGCGGGGCTTTTGGTACTGCCGGGGATGTCACGCCCCCCGTATCATCAAGGGAAGCCAGCAGCTCGAGTCTGTCCAATCAGAGAAGGCAAACTGCCTGTCAAAAGTGCCGCTTATGCAGAAACGTTGAGTAGTGAGAGCTCGGTTAGAGGAAGACATTTCACAATGAAGGTTTGCAGATGACAAGATAAGTGGCGCTGCTGGAGTTTACGATCGTGATCGGTACACACCTCCCTTCTCGTATTCGGATCCTCCGCGCAGTACATGTGCATCGTTCATGTGCTTTGACCATCGTGGCCCTGATCGGACTGACCCAGTCTCCCTCGTCGATTTCCGTGAGGATGCTCGGTCTGGGGGGTCTGCAGAGCAGCAACCCTCGAGGGATGCGGGAAGCATGGTCGAGGGGGCCTGAGGGCGATCTCCCAGCCCGCCGACGACTTGGAGTCGACAGGCTGCTTATTTCAACATCCCGTGTGCCCTGGTGATTGTGGCTGTTGTTGGGATGTTCATGCGCGATGGACCGATAATGCCCTTACACGTGAAATGCAGGCTTGATCTTTGAAGGTTGTCTTTGTACACTCGCTAGCCTCACTGGCACAACGGCTCACGCGTGTGCATAGAGGAGATCTAGTCTAGACGGCACTTTCGCAAGACATGTTGGTTTGTCAATGCTGATCGCTCACCGGACAATTAAGTGCCAAATAGTAATCTGAATACTACGGCAGATGCAGCCGGCAAGTCATGTTGATAGGCAAGTTTTGATGATAGCCAACGCCGGTCCTCGAAAAGGAAGGAGCAAGGCGCGTGTTTCGGTTTCGCATATTTGTGATTGATCCACAACGCTATGGGCACTTCTTTCAGAACTTGCAATACATAGGCGTCTTGACGCCAGATGGTGTCAACTGTGCAGGGATTAAGCGCTAGTGGTAAAGTTTCGGGACGTGTCGGGATCCGTGTGGTAGCGCATTACGCACGCCTTCGCAATATTCCCTGTTTAGTTGGAAACTGAACCCCCGCTTCCCGTCGAAAAGCAACGGTCGCAACGTTGAGCATGGGTTGCGGTACGTATAAGCTGCAGATGCTGTTGATAGTGGATACCCCATTGCAAGCGAAATTCCGCAAAGGATTGAAGACTTGAATTGTGAGACAGCCGATCTGGTGTCGCATTGGAAAGAATATGTTACACAATAGCCCACGAATGTTTTGACCCGCCCCTTTGAACAGTCAGCAGTGGGAGCTCGACCAATCACGCCTGTGACCGGTGGTAATATGCACGTCGCCGTCCGATCTGCGCTTGACCGATAAATGGCTGCAAGAAGCCGTGACTGTCTTCGTAGATGCGCGGCAAATGGTAATTCAATGTAATGCAACATCTGCAGCTTGCCCACGCTGTCAAGATCTACCGTATCTTGTGTGACTTTGAGTCAAAACTTGAACGATAGTATTAGTGCGTCCTGAGAAGCTCTGCAGCGTCTGCGATAGCTGTAAGAAAAGGCTCAGATTGCACGACTGGCTAATATTGGAACTCGTAACGTGTGTCGTTGTGTGCAATGCGCGCGTGCAAAGGCGCATAAATGCATTCAACAACCGAGGCGAGGTTCAGCTGTCCGAATAGACATCTCTCTCGTTGGTACCTGGGACTATCTTCCTTGTCATGAGTGCGTTCAGGGTTTCTCCACACCCCACTGCGAACGCCTGGCTCGGAATCTTGGTCCAGGTCCAGGTCCAGGTCCCATGTCACGATCGCAGACAGGGTGCGTCATGCCACAACATGGAAATCGCGACTTGTGTACAAGCCGTCAGTCAATGCTGGGCATGGTACTTGTCGCATACAGAGATAGTGTGTTGTTTCGCGATGAGGTCCAGAGCGCTTAGGAGCAGGTTTGAGACGTCCAAGGACGGGACAACACTCGGTTCGCAGATGAAGGCGGAGGACAGAGCAATCGCACCGAAACCGAAACGACGAAACAAGCGTTCTGATGGCTTGTGGGGCTGCTGCAAGGTAGAATTGGCAATGCTATCGCTTTGTCCGGATACTGCCGTTTTTCGCGCGTCGCAACGCGTCCACCATGTGCATGATGCCAATCTTACTTTGAATAGCAACACATGTGACTTGCCGTAGAAATGGGCATTTGTCGGGCCCAAAAAGCAAATGACTAAGCCGGGCTGGGACCAAATCCCTCAATACCTACTGTGTAGGAAGGTAAGATGTCGGTGACATGGCCCCGCCATGAGGGCCGATCAGCTGGTTCCTCAGACCAGACGTGCCCGACTTCATCCCGTCTCCCGAGAGCCAATTCCGTGCCTGCACCTCGTGGCTGGTTTGGGACTAGGCTGTATAGAGACTCGCACGGCCATGCCCGGCCAGTCATACGGGGCGACGTTGGGAGCAACGAAGAGCTGCTGGCGAGCCGTTTTGGGCGTCTTCTCACCGGCGACGTCAGCCAATAGGGCGGCCGACGGTGGAGCGCTTGCTGGTGGTGCAGCTGGAAAACGGTCGACTAGCGGCTGTGTACATAACAGCTGCTGGGAAGACTCGAGCAGAATACGGCAGACACGGCAAGATAGAGTGTAGCAGAACGTGGACACGTACAGTGACGCGTCAAAGGTGGGTGGGCGGTGCGCAGACTGGCTGGCAGCATTGAGCACGATGCAGGGGCGAGATTGGGGCAGGAACAGGAAGCGAAGAGGGCTGCTATAACAGAGGCTGTTAAGGCTCGAGAGCGCCCTACCAGCCATGATGCAGGCCGTCGAGGACTCCAAGAGGCGCTGTCGTCGTGACTGTTGCAAACGAGTGTTTACCCGAGGAGCAGGGGAGCGGCGATGACGGCAGGCTAGCATCGCGCAGGAAGACGGCTGTGGTGGAAGTGAACGATGATGGTGGGCGACGCCGCTAGCAAAACGCTCCTTCCCACTTGACTTTGCTGCTGCCTTTTTTTTTCTGCGCAACCCCACTTGACTGCCGGCGAGCTGGCTCCACCGCGTCCCAATCTCCAACAGGTGCCGCGAGCGTCAACCGCGCGAGCGAGTCGACGCGAACGTGAACGGCCGTGTGGTGTCAAACGGCAGCTTCAAGGTGAACCAGCTCTGCTGCACGCATTACATTGCACCGCACGCTCGCTCCGCCAGCGATCCCTGATCCCAGCGCGCCCGCCGCGACGGACCCCCGCCCAAAACAGCCCCTAGGCCCGGCGTGCGGTGGTGCAGTGGTGCAGCGAGGTGGCTGGCCTCGGAAGGCGTTAGCTGTTTTACGTTTATTTCACGGGCTGCTCCATCTCGGCGCACCCACCGCCCTGCCCTTGCTGCCCTCTATTTCTTGCCTGGCTCGCGCTGTCGCCCTCTAGCGCTGTCGTCGTTCTGCGCGTGAAATTGCGCAGGCCGCGCTACTGCACATCCAACCCAACTCACGTCCTCGCGCGCCCGGACCCTCTCGCCCGGCATCCTTCGACCATCACCCAACGCGCTGCCATAATAACAATGTCGCAGTCGCATGTCCCAGATAGGGCCCGCAAGTATAAGGAAGAGCCGGCGCCTGTAGCGTCGCAGAAGATGGTGAGTTGACTCTACTTCCCTGCTCCCTATTCGCAACCCTCCACTCGCTTCGCCGCACCCAGCCCTCGGCCCTTCTGCACCCTCGACCGTTGGAGTTTCGAGCGTCGCGCCCAAGCCCGCGCCCCGTCACTGTCACCGCCGCTGTTGGCTTCACCCTCGTTTCTTTTTGCATGCAGCGTCCGCCTCTGCAAGCCCCGTCCACTCATCCTCGGCCACCCCAGCACACCCGCCCTACCCTCTACATGGTATGCCCTCCTGCCAAGCAGCCCTGCGACCACATCCTGCCCCCCTGTCGCACCTCCTGTCGCTTTCCTTGTCTCTCTGCCTGCTGTCCGCCGCCTCTTGTCACCCAGATTTCGGCAGCGGCATCCCTGCGAGCCTCATAGCGTCCGCTCCCACCGCCTGTCCGCGCTGTGTTGGCACCGTGCCGAAGAGTCGCGCTGCTTTCCTAGTCTGCCCTGCCCGTCCTATAAACTAAACCCTACGGTCCTGTATCTTTCCAGACCCTGCCCCTCGCCTACCAGCTGTTGCAGAACGTTCCGCCTATACCCAGGCGAATCATCCTCCACCGCTGCCGCACCCCCAGCCATCCTACATCTTTGTCTTTATTCCCTGTCGCGATCTTTTGTTTGTCTTTGCATCACCCATCGAGTCTTGCTTTTTTGGCACACTTTTATTGTCGCTTGCAACGTTACTGACTGGGTCGCGTCTTAGCATCACCCCCACTCAGCCCAGGGTTTGCCGCCACCAACCCACCATCCGGTGCACCACCCTAGGCCTGGCGTAGTCCATCATCACCACCAGCCACACCCCGACTCTCCTCACCAGTCAGCACCTTCACAAAGCCCAGCACAGGGCCACTATCCATCGCCGCATCCATCCAACCACCAAGGGCCTCCACCACACCAGTCGCCCTACGTTCAGCAACTCCAAGGACCACCACCACCGCAACAGCAAGAAGTGCCTTATTATTCGGCGCACCCCAGTCCGTACAGCACTAACAGTGCCCCAAGTAATTACTCTTCTTCAGGTATGTGTTTTTGTTTGCTGCACGTTGCAAAGTCACGTCTGTGAAACCGCGCAAGCGCTTCCCAGGCTGTGCTTCGTTCCCTACGTGTCAGCATTGGTCCCAACAGAGCGACTCAAGCTAACTCGGATGCAGAAGCACCAGAACTCATGGCGGCCGCAACTATGAACCGGACGGGGTTTCCACCAATTTCATACCACACCCCCCAGTCCAACTCGCCTGCGTCTGTTCAGTCCCCGCAACATGACCAGCATGGAAGGCCTATCTATGGACAGCCACCAAGCCAGATGCCGCAATCAATGTATTACACACCATATGCATCGTCAGCTGTGCCTCAACCATCGCCATACCCGCAGCATCCTTCGTCGACACCTCAGCAGCCGATGGCGACAAACCCTCTTTTGATGTCACACCAACAGAGCCAACAGATGCAACACCCACACCAGCATCATCCCCAAACACCCGGGATGGCTGGAAGCCCAAAGCCTCGCATGTCACAGACGCCTCTTCAAAGGCCACCATCTGGGCTTGGTCCCCCTCAACAACCGCCTCAAGGTCCCCCGGTTGGTACACCAAACATGCACGCGGGTCCTCCTGGCGGTCCCAACGTCAACCCAAATGCTGCACCTGGTCCAATTCCTGCCACAACCCCACTTGTCGTACGGCAGGATCAGAATGGCGTCCAGTGGATTGCTTTCGAATACTCGCGCGACCGGGTGAAGATGGAGTACACCATTCGCTGTGATGTCGAATCGATCAACGTCGAAGAGCTTCCCCAAGACTTCAAGACAGAGAACTGTGTATACCCACGCGCGTGCTGTGCCAAGGACCAATACAAAGGCAACCGACTACACTACGAAACTGAATGCAATACCGTCGGTTGGGCATTAGCTCAGCTGAACCCTTGCCTGAGGGGAAAGCGAGGTCTCATTCAGCGAGCAGTCGACAGTTGGCGAAACAGCAACCAAGACCCACGACTGAGGAGTCGTCGCGTAAGGAGAATGGCCAAGATGACCACCAGGAAAGCGCAGGCGAACACACACGGTACCCACATGGCTGGCCCAGGTGGACCAGGCACACCTGGGGTTCCCAACTCAGCCGGAATGGCAGGCCCACCCCGACAACCGAACATGGGCATGGGAGGTCCCCAGATGCATCATCACCATGACCATTCCGGCGGACCCCAAGGAGGATCAGATGATGTTAGCGGTATGTTCCACCAGATGTGATTGATGCGTTAAGTGCAATTGTTGGATGTTGAATGATACCTTTGTCGTTTTTTGTTTTGCATGTACATTACACACTCCTTGATGTAACACCCCTCGATACCACTGCTTATGCTTGTACACTACCTACTCATACCCAAGGCTGTTACATTGTTTATTGTACATGTTAGATTTTTCGCGCAGATGGATGGCAATGGTGGCATTGGAACGTGCAAGCTAATTTTCTTTGTTCACAGCCAATGACTACTCTGAAGCGCATACACATCACCACCAGGCGCCAAACGGATCGCCCAGCGACACACGGCAAACACATAACTTCTACCCCACCTTCCCCACCAGCGACTCAGCTGCGGGATCAAGCGGTATGCCACCGATTCACGACGGCCTCAGTCACCCCCCACCTCCGCCGCATGCGGCTGGTGTTCCCGTATCGAAGCAGCAAGAGCAAGACGAAGAGGAGCGAAAACTAGCTATGTTTGGCGACCTACCGGAGTCGAAGCGTCGTAAGTTCATCCTAGTAGACGACGCGCAACGCGGAACAAGAGTGCGTGTACGCGTCACACTCGACACCGTGAAGATGGAGGAAATGCCAGACTCGTACCGCAAGTCAAACTCGGTGTTCCCACGCAGTTACTTCGCCATGCAGATGACATCTCCGCCTGCCAGCCCCCGTGGTAGCAAGGTCTTCAGCGACGAACCCGATGTGGAGAACGACCCAAGTTTCCCTGTGGCGGGCACCACCAGTGTGCCAGTGCCTACTCTCGATGGCGAGACCCGTGTCCCGAAGCCGCGTCTGACACGAGCGAAGCGGTCGAAGGAGATCACACTCAACGATCTCGGGTACCGCATGAGTTGGAGCCAGAGTCGTGTCTTTGCTGGCAGAACATTATTCCTGCAAAAGTCTCGTAAGTTTTTGCGCCAACTCGACGATGACAACCAAACTAACCTTGTCTACAGTTGATGCCTATCGCAATAAGATGCGAAGCAGCATGATGGGCCAAGGCCAGGACGTCACCCAAGTAGCGCCACACTTCGAGACGCGCGTTGGAAAGCGACGCTGGAACGAGAGAATCGAGAGAAACAAGAAGACGAGGCGCGACGGGTCTCCTTAAGAAGGCTCACCTGAGTCGATGCCCCGGTAAACTGCATCCCGTTAACGGTTGTGGTACCCGCTGTTTCCGGCACGTGCAGGGAACCCCTACGAACGACCGGGTCTTGTTACCGTTTTCGCACTCGGCGGCGAATCCTTCGACATGGGCCCCGGTCGTTCACTCATACCCACAGCTTTGTTTCATGTTAATGTCTTGGGTTTCAAGCCGTTATCTTGTTGCTGTTCGTCTCATCTGTCAGCATCCTGTAAGCAAGGCATTCACAACTATTGCCTTGTTCTATGCTATATCCCGCTTGGTATGGGTATTCATTACCATCCCGGCACTTCCCACGAGGCATTTCAAACTGGAGCATTTATAGCAAAAAAGTGCGAGCGAGCGAATCTTGTTTTTTTTTTCGGCATTGGGATAGCGAAGCGGTTTACAGATGGTGTTTTTCGGAATGCGTTTTAGATCATGATTGTGTTTTTCGGGTTTGATTTCTAGCTGAGCTTCGAGCTGTTTTGTTTTCGGTTTTTTATGGTTACAGCATGGCATGGCATGGCATAGCATATATGGTACCCACACATATACAACAAAACGTTGTGCTTGTTGCTTTTTGTAGCAAAGGCACAAAATTCACACATACAAACAATTAGACTTCTTTCCCACTTATTCGCTTCGCTGAGCATAAACGTATCGTTCGACCCCACGGCTCCCTCGACAAATATCTGCCGTGTAGACAGACAAACACTCCTCATTTATTACCTCATCTCATTCCTACCCACGCACGCCCGACAATCTCCCACCCAATCACCGCTTCGACCGCGGCTCGGCGCGAACGACCGCCAGACGAGGGCATCCTGTCTCCAGGTGTTCGCACGTTAGTGACAGACTGGGGGGTGCTTGCTTGTCGTGTCAGGTACGCGAGTTTTTTAGGAAGGTGGGCGTGGAAAGGGGGGTAGGTTGGGTTGGGTTGTGTATACGGGAGTGTGGTGAAATAAAAGTTTGTAGTGCATGGGAAAAAGCATCAGTGGGATCGGTGGAGTTGGTAGATGGGGATGTGAAACACGGTGTTGGATGTAGGAAATGGAAATGGGGATCTAGAGCGTTTTTTCATGTTGAGTCAGTGCAAGATAGAAAGAGAGAAAGGGAGTGGATACGTCGACTCGTTAAACAAGGTACCTATCTTCAAACTCCTCCTTCGATTCAAATTCATTCCGTTGATCACTATTTACTTACTCGTTCACCTACCTACCGGCAAATACCCAAAACCAAATCAACCCATAGCGCCCCTCACAAACGCTAACCCCACCACAAGTCTAGACCCAAAATCAAAAACACATGCCTACCCTGCGACTCAAACGGCTGTCAGAAATCCGTCTCCGTTGCCGTCTACTGGCATGTCTATCTACCGAGTCACATCACATCGCCAAGCCACGTCACATACCTATCTCACAAATAATCAGCCAGTAAAACACCGCGGACGCGCATACACGCGTTAAACCAGATAGCGCCTTATCACCCAAGCTACCGCACCGCATCGCACCGCACCGCACGGCGCTGCATGCACAGCGCGGCGTTTTCATCACACGTTGGACTTGTGCGAGCGGGGGGTTTTGTGCCTGGGGTGTGATTGGGCACGTGGGCATGCGCTGGCTGGCTCGCGGGGATAATGCGTGCTTGAACGCGTGGAGCATGTGCGGCGCGGTGAGGCGAGGCGAGGCGAGGCGAGACAGGGTAGGGAGGGGGGCTGCGAACGGCTGTAGATGATGCGGTCGAATCACAGGTTTGGCAGGGGATAGGGGTGTTCAGGGTTCGCGGCACTTGGGTTTTTGGTTTGGGGCGTGGGGATGGATTGGACTGGGCTGGACTGGAACGGATGGTGAGTTCATTGTGAGGGGGAGATAGTGAGGCTTGGTGTTGGAGTGGGTTGGGGACGCTGCGGTGTTGGATGGATGGCTATCTATCTACTAGGAGTATTACTGACGTCGAGGGTGTTCAACTCAAACTAATCCAGCGTGTTGTTGGGTATGCACGATTGTTTGTTCTGTGCGCCAAAAAGGGGTATATGATGAATGCAAGGGGAAGAAAGGAAAGAAAAAAAGAGAAGAGCAATGTCATCGACTCTGCGTGCGACGCAGTGGTAGCATGCTCAACGCGGCTGACAAAAGGGTGATAGAAGTAAACGTCAAGACAGGCGTCTGCACGATGCAACCATACGAACCAAAGTGTGTAACCTGCACCTGACCGAGTCCACATAAGACCTTCAACCCCGTTTTGCGCGTGTGCTCCTCGTTGGCTTTGCCGGCAAGGTCCTCGCCTGACTAGACGCAGTGGGCGCGTCGAACGACCTCGTAGCTCGTTTCTTCGTCGCCTTCGTAGAGCTCTCTGCGTCGAGGCTGTCGTCTGCCTTCCGCTTAAGAGTGGACGACTGTCGTGTATTCGGGATGCCAGTTTTCGCTTCGGTGCTCTTCGTTTTGGGTTGGGCAGGCTTGGGGACGTCGGTGGGAGCGCAGATGCTGCGATTTGCTTCTGATAAGGGTGGAGTTGGTGGTCGCGTGTTGTCGTGAACGGCGTCTGGTATAGGTGTTGCTGCAAGAGCTTCTGGCTGTGCGTTCCGCTGTTGGGCTACCCAGGAGAGTAGATTGGCTTCGGCGTCTGCATCTTCTTTGTCGTCGTCTTCCTCGCCCTGGTCTAGCATTGCATCTGCCATGTCGCCAGCAATGTCGTCCCCGTCGTCCTTGCCGGCAGCCATCCGCATGGCGAATTGTAGAAGCTGCTGGGGGTCCATGCCACTGAGCGGGCCTCCAGCTACTGCTAGGCGGCTTTGCAGCGCTGCCATCAGTGCTTCTTGGTCGATATCCATTGCTTCTTCATCTTCTTCATCTTCTTCCAGCCCTTCTTCCTCCAGTCCTCCTTCGTCTTCAAGGTCTGAGGTCGGCGACATGGGCTCAGGAGCAAACGCAACCTTTCTCTCGGCCTTTGTGGATGACTGCGTGGTTGGTGTCGGCGGATGTGGGGAACCCCGTGTCCAGCGTGGTGTGTCTGGCAGCTTCTTCCTCCAGTCCTTGAGCAGCGCATACGACTGCGCGTTATCGTCCAGCAGTTTTGGCTCGAGTCTTGAACCAGTCTGTGAGCGCCAGACGACAGGTGAGTACCCTGGCACTAACTCTGCTGGACCGCCCGCCTGCTGTGTTGGCCGCTGCTTCTTCTTGCTGCGACTGTTCCGTACCACGCGCTTCCTCTTCTGCCCAGTCTGCGCGTCCTTCACGTCGTATGCCTCGAACTTGGCATCATCGAAGCCGTCGGACGCATATTCGATGTCGTTGTAGTAGTCGAAGCGGTCCCAGTCGGGCTGGTTGTCGTCGTCTCCGTACGTTGTGGGCGGAGGTGAGGCCACAGCATGCTCGGCCAAGTCGTCGGCGACTATTTCCTCTTCCTCAATGTAGAACCACTCATCGCCGTAGTCTGAGTAGTCATCGCCGTAGTCGCTCATGATGGGTGTGTAGTGTGGGGAAGCACATGCGATGTTGCAGGCGTAATAGCAGGTCTGGCGTGTGCAGAGTGGTTGGCGGTTAATGCGATGTGCAACTAGATAGGAGGGAGTTGGCTGCCGTCATGGGCCGGCGCGAGATGGAGTCAACCCTGACAAAAGCGTGACCACGCGTAGTGGTGTTTGGGATGCGCTCAGCCACTAGTCATCGTCACGGTGAACATGCCCAGCACCTCGCTGCACTGTGCCAACTACGACGTGGACTCGAATGCTTGAATCCAGATTCCTTTCCCAATCGGGTAGCTACCGCACGAGGTCCGCAACACTACCACGGCTTACCACGGCTCAGTGCCGTCTTCTCCAACCACGACTAGCCACCTTCTACTTCGGCCGAGGGTAGATCCACTGACGATACCCCGGATTCCACACAAAGTAAATGTGCATTTATGGTCCATAGCCGCTGAATGAATCCCTCTTGCTCGCCACACATCTCCCAGTGACCATGCGTGCTTTCCAAAGGTCATCCCGTCTTTCGCGCCAGCTCATTGCTGCTAATGCCTCCCGCCATAACTCGACCGTTGCGCCGGCTGGAAAGGCACTGACCTCTGTGCTGATCGCTAATCGTGGAGAAATCGCCCTGTGAGCTTTTCAGTGCGTTTGAATAGACCAAAGCTAACCCACCCTTCAAGACGTGTTGGACGGACAGCTTCCGAGTATGGCGTTCGAACAACAACCCTCTTCACCGACCCAGATGCGCGATCACAGCACGCCTTGAGCTCGCCGTACGCCGTGAATCTCGGCGACCCTTCTGCATATCTCGACGGAGACCGTATTATTCAGATCGCAAAAGAGCAGGGCTGCCAGGGCATACATCCCGGTTACGGCTTTGTACAGCTTCCATATGCGCCTAGACGTCAGTGGATAGGGACTGACTTGCGATCTAGTTGAGCGAGAACCCAGGGTTTGCAAAGAAATGTGAAGATGCTGGCATCAAGTTCATTGGCCCGCCATGGCAGGCGATCGAGTCCATGGGAAGCAAGAGGTAGGAAACCAACTATAACTAATGACACTGGCTGACCACCAGCTTACAGCGAGTCGAAGAATATCATGGCCAAGGCCGGCGTACCATGTGTGCCAGGTTACCACGGCACGAGACAAGAACCCGAATATCTCAAGGAGAAAGCCGCAGAGATTGGTTACCCTGTCCTGCTCAAGGCCGTCAAGGGTGGAGGTGGTAAGGGAATGCGAATCGTCAACACAGAACAAGAGTTCTTCCAGCAACTCGACTCCGCCAAGTCTGAGGCTCGCAATTCATTCGGCGACGAGGTTATGCTCGTCGAGAAGTACATTACCACCCCACGACACATCGAGGTCCAAGTCTTTGCGGACCAGCACGGAAACTGTGTGGCGCTCGGCGAGCGTGACTGCAGTATCCAGCGACGACACCAAAAGGTTCTGGAAGAGTCGCCGGCACCACACTTGAAGGAGGAGATCCGCCAAGACCTCTGGGAGAAGGCTCGACAAGCGGCTCTTGCGGTAGGGTATGAGGGAGCTGGTACAGTTGAGTTCATCTTCGACAACGACTCGGGAGAGTTCTTCTTCATGGAGATGAACACGCGCTTGCAGGTCGAGCACCCTGTCACTGAGATGGTGACTGGCGAGGATCTAGTCAGGTGGCAGCTCATCGTAGCAGAGGGCGGCAAACTCCCTCTGACACAAGAGGAAATTCACCAGAGAATCAAAGAGCGCGGCGCCGCCATCGAGGCACGAATCTACGCCGAGAACCCTGACATGAACTTCATCCCCGACTCCGGCCTCCTTCTCCACCTGAAAACACCCACGCCTACCGATACTGTGCGAATCGACTCCGGCTTCATCGCCGGCGACGAAGTATCCTCACACTACGACCCCATGATCTCGAAGCTCATCGTCCAAGGGCCCACCCGCGAAGCCGCCATCCAAAAACTCCGCGCAGCCCTCGAGGACTACGAAGTCGCCGGCCCCATCACAAACATCGAGTTCATCAAGCGCATGTGCGTCAGCGCCGACTTCGTCGCCGGCAACGTCGAAACAGGCTACATCCAAAAGCACCAGGCCGAGCTCTTCACGCCCGCGCCCACCGCCCCAGAAGTCTACGCCCAAGCCGCCCTCGGCCTCGCCCTGCAGGAAATCTCCTCCGCCAACGCCAACCCGTTCGCCGGGCCCCCCGTCACAACCGCAGGTTTCGGCGCGGGCTTCCAGCAGCGCGAGTACAACCTCGTCGAGACGCCGGCGAACGGCAAGGGCGAGGCGAAAACAACACCGGTTCGCATCTGGCAGACTGCGCCGCAGAAATTCGACATCACCGTCGACGGACAGACGTTCAGCAACGTTACTAGCTCGTTCGCCCCGTCCAGCAACACGCTCACATCCTTCTACCCGCATACCCGCCTCGCGACAACATTCATCCGCGACGCCGACAAACTGACCCTCTTCCAGCGCGGGAAGCAGCACAGACTGCACCTCGCGCTGCCGAAGTGGGCGGAGAAAGCGCTGGGCATCAAGGACGTGACGAATAGCGTGCTGGCGCCCATGCCGTGTAAAGTGCTGCGTGTGGAGGTCGAGGAGGGGCAGAGCGTTAAGAAGGATCAACCGCTTGTTATTATCGAGAGCATGAAGATGGAGACTGTTATTCGGAGTCCGGTGGATGGCGTCGTTAAGAGGATTGTGCATGGCAAGGGGGTGAGTTTATGTTTATGTCTTGCTGAGGTGCTTGGGATGGGTGCTAATGTGTGGTGTAGGATTTGTGTAAGGCTGGGACGGAACTTGTTGAGTTTGAGAGTGAGGGAGTGGGGGAGGATAAGGCGTAGGGTTGGGGTAGATGCGGGGTGGGAAAGGGAGGTCGGGGGTTATTTCATGGTGGCGACGATTTTACGATATGGTATCTGCATTTATATACTACGTTCTTCATTCATCCTCTGCCCCAGCTGCTACGATACCACGTATCGAGTTCTTTGCCCTCATATTCGCTAGCCATGTCCCCCTCCGTACATGCGTGACCCCAAATCCATGCTCTTGAACATTGTGACAGTTGGGTTGTGCAGATCTTCCATCTGATCGGTCTGGACGCCTCGCCGAACGTGGAAGATGAATTCTGCTCATGAAGCGGCGTCGCATACTAGGCTCCTCGTGTTCGACGAGATGTACACCGTAGACTCATTCTTCGTGCTAGTCTTGTCGTGATGTTTGTTCTGAGGTCTCGCTCGGATCCTCATGTATTCCATGGCCGTGCGAAGCTTACACGTCTTGTAGTGATGCGATGTAGAGCAGACTGAACCGCAACGTGTCCACCACCTCCCTACCCCCATCCACACGAACGACGCAATGACTCAATAATCCACCAAGCCCACCCATCTTCAAAGATACTTCTTCGCCGCCGCCGCAACCCTCGCCCTAAACACGGGACTCTTAACCACCTCCCCATTCCCGACCGCAAAAAACGGATTCATAATCGTCTTACACCAGCTCTCATAGCAATCAACAAAGAAATTCTTAACCGCCTCCTCCGTCGCCGGACTCGTCGGATTATACACCCCCCCACTCCCACTGACCCTCCCACCGGCCAAACTACCCCGCTGCCCGCCTCCCCCCGTCAGCCCCAGACTCTCGTCCCGCGGCCGCGTCAGCAGCAGGAACCGCGTGTTGCCCCCCGTGATCCAGCACGAGATGTAGCAGTACCCGTACTTGTCGATGTGCTTGAGGTACATGGGTGCGCTGCCTGAGGATGTCGACGGGCCCCATTGCACTTCCTCGAGGATGTCGAGTGCGGAATGTAGGATGAAGGGGAGCAGGGGGCGCTCCGCGGGCGTGAAGCGACTTAGGCCGTCGCCGCCGGAGCGGGAGGTGCCGAAGTCGTGGGTGAAGAGGGGGACGTCGAGGGGGGAGAGGATGGAGAATGTGTAGGACATTGTTGCGCGGCGGTGGAGGATGACTGTGGTGGGGGTTGCGATTGTGATTGCGTCGCCGTGTGCGTGTTTTTATGCGGGGGTTGGTCGAGCAGCCGGAGCTGGGTCGTGGATGGGGATAGAACGGTCCTCGGGTTCGCGCGCTGGGGTTGCGGAGTGTACCTGACCTGACCCGACCCTTGAAGTCGAGCTCCCCCACAACCACCACGCTAGCCACGCCAAGAAAGTCCGCGGGAGTCTTTTCAGACCATCCGCACTGCACCGCCGGTACATCGCGCATCAAGCCCCCAACACCACAACCATGTTCGGCGCCTTCCGTCTCACAAACCCGCTGTCAGGCGGTCTATTATGGTAGCCATCTCCCACCCCCTCATCAACCGCCTCCGAATTGCTCCGCACCCCACGACCTCTCCTTCCATTGCAGTATCGCAGCAGTACTAACGCAAGCACCCCCAGGAAGATCCCATGGCGCCTCTCCAGCAACCAGAAATTCCGCCAGCGCAACCGTCTGCGCAATGTCGACAGTGTGGTCGCGACGCTGGATAATGCGCTTGCGCGCCAGGGCCAGAGCATGAAGAAGGTCGAGCGCTGGAAGGTCGAGATGCCGACTGAGCAGGAGATGTTGCCCAAGGATAAATACTCGGTGTTTGATCGCAAGGTCAAGCGGTATCGGAAGGGGATACATAGTGAGTTTGCCTGTTTTTGCGGTGGGGGGAGGGGAATGGTGGTGCGGATTGGGATTGAGGGCTAACGGGTTGCAGAGGTGCCGAAGTGGACGAGGGTCAGTCAGAGACTCAATCCCCCGGGTTTTTAGGAGGAGGGCGGAGAGCGGAGAGCGGAGAGCGAAGGGAGAGTCGGTGGGATGTGTACACTATCTTTGCTTATACGCTGTGCATCGGATATGGCGCTTTTGTGGAAACAATATGACATCAATCTTGAAAGTCCAGATTCAGAGGCGTATCTTTCTTTCTCAGCCTGTTGGGCTCGATATATCAGTGACAGACCAGTTGTGTCTTTTAGCCATTTGGTTGTTGCGCTGCATGCACTTTTGTTCTTTTCCCAGTTCACATACTTTCAAAGCCAATCAAGATATGCCTTTTTCAAGTCTTCTACACCAATTTCTCGAGTTTTGCGTATTGATGCCTAGTCTTTCCATGTTTCAAACGTGTCTTCTTTGAACCTCGCATGTCAGCTTCTTTCTTCGTATGCTTCAGGCGCATCTTCTCCCACCAGTTGCTGGGTTTTCGAAACTGGTTTATGCGACCTCATTTTTACTTCATATTTGTGATGGCCTGCCAGTGTTGGTTAGTTCAATGTAGACATCAAAGCACGAATTGTTTGGAACATTTTCTTGCCCACTTTAAATATCTCCAAAGTAATAGTCAACGCTGTCTGACCCCATGTAATTTCACTGTCTCAATGTGCAGATGTTGTCTACAGAACGTTTGCGTGAGTCCTAAAATCATTGACTATTTAATGAATCTTTCTGTTTTACCCACCTGATACTACATTTGCACCTGCGTATCTATATCTGGCTTGCTATAGCAAACCATCTTAGGCTCTCTCTCACTTGCGCGGCGTTATAGGCTCACTCACCGCAAATCCACCTTTACCTGTCACCATGTCGGCCTCACTCTCACCTTCACCTCGACTACTGCGTCGATATTACTTAATCACACTCATCTCTCACTCTCCTCGATCGCAACTCTCCCACTAACTTACCTTTTTCTTCCCAATATCAATATCAGCACCCAACATGACACAGCCACCAGCAGGCTTCTCAGCAGCGATCCTGCAGCAATGGACAGCGCTGAGAGGGAAGCACCAGGCAGAATCTACACGCTTCTTGCGCAGCGTTGAGATTACAAAGACGAAGCTGCTTGCCCAACACGCGGCTGAGGAGCAGGAATTTTGGAGTAGACAGCAAAAGGATTCGCAGCAGTTGGATGCTGTGACTCAAAACGCCGCCTCGAAAGGCTCGCAGCTAGCTGAAACGCCAACATCACGGCCAGCTAAGATACCCACGACTGGACAAGTCACTCCCAAGTCTAGACAGTCGCCACCAAAGACTTCTAAAATCAAATCCGCTCCGGTGAGGTCGACGCCTGCAAATTCTCTCGCTCGATTAGCAAAGAAGGAGCCCGAGTACATCAACTTGGTTTCTGACGATGAGGACGAGCCAACTCCTTTGAACAAGACATCTGCCGTCAAGAAGTCTGTACAGCCGGTGAACAGCTCCATTGATCTAGACGGCCAGTTGGAAACGAACGTGTTGTTTGCCGTTCCATCTGCTAATCTGGAGTTATCCGGCAACGCCTCGAAGATACACTGGGTAGGTCCTCACTTTCATCATCGATTTTGGTCAACTCAACAACTGACCAATTGCTCCAGACGACAGCTCAACCACCAAGCGTGAAGAATGTGGGCGATGGTGGTATAAGTCAAGCTCAAAATCCACTCCCGCCTTTGTCCACCCCAACTCCAACACTGAGCAGCAAGTCCGACTTCTCTGGCCTGCCATTAGAAACTACAGCCCCTCTAATCCAGCAACTTACCACGCCTTGTATCTCACCAACCAAAACAACCCTACCTCTAGATCTTCGCCCCGAGATCCCAAATCACATACTACGTCAACAGCAGCTCGATCGTTCTGCCATTCTGAAAGAGCCTGCAAGTATACCGCGTGATCAAAATCGTCTCTTCCTTGAGCAGCAGAAGCACAATGGTGGGCTAGTGGGGAACATACTGCGTAACGAGAGAAGCCAGAGTCTTGCGCCAGGATTGGGCAGTGTGTTTGAGCATGGAGGAGGAGATGTTCAAATGCAAGATGCACAAGGTATGCCAGAGGTCGCTTTATTATTTTTGAGGCTTTGACTTACGGTGATATAGTTCTTACCGCTGTATCTAGCACTCAAGAAGTGGAGCTAGGGATCCAGAGAACTCAACTTCCCAGCCCTTCACCGTCCGCATCTGAGCCCCGAACTCCTAGAGCTGCATTTGCATTCAAGAAACCGTCACTACCACTCCCCACCGGCTCTTTTGAATCACGTCACACTCGAGCACAAACAACAGACTCCCAAGTCTCTGGCTTCATACTTGGTCTCTCGCGAAGCTCACTTGCTGATCTGAATAACCGGCGCAGTGAGCGCGAAGTTTCGACCGCATCTACCTATACCGAGAACAAGAAGAGGAAAAGCAAGGAGATTGATCTCAGTGATGATGGGGAAGATGAGTCTGATTATGCGCCATCGGATCTAGATTCGCCATGTGCTAGAAAGCACGATTCCACGCCAGTGGTCAAGAAGCTCAGAGCAACATCCTCAACTGGAGTGAAGCCAAGAGGTCCTCCTACACCTTCAGTATCGCGTACTCCATCAATCAACGGTAAGAATGGATTTGGTTTCAAGCCCATCGCTCAGAAGGCCACGCCAGAAACTCCTCCAGGTACGCCCGGTAGGAAGTCCACACCATGCACACCCAACGCTCCCACAAAGAAGTCCCAGCACATTCCAACCGCCCTGAGATCTCCATCGAGTCGCGCCGCTCCAAGTCGTCGTCTTTCCACTACACGAACCGACACCTACCATTCTCCCCGAAGAGCGAAGCTCCAAGCCAAAACGCGTATCCAAGCCCAAAGCGAGGAATTTGCAGAAACACTGACAACCCACTGGATCGAAGAAGCAGCAGCCAAGGAAGCGCGACTCAGCTCAACACGAACAGATCGAGACCTGGGTATGCGACTGCGCAGCATGAGCTTGACTCCCGCACCTCCTCTCATCCCCCCTGCTATGAATACGTCTCCACCAACCACCGCTACCAACAAGCTAGCCACAAACGCCGACAGAGCCAGAGATGAAGATTCAAACACAGATGCAAATACAGTCTACGGCAATCGCGAATGGACGCACGATCGCTTCAACGGCGACCGCCACCTCTGGCAACGCGAGCAGCCTACGGATACAGTTTTGGATTCGAATTCGAATCTGAAGGTAGGTCGCTCGTCGGAACAGGCAGTTGAAAACAGTGAAAGTGAAGAGCTGAATATTGGTAAGTCACTAGACATTCCCCAAGATTACTTTCCACACACACAAGACCAAGCTTGAGACACATTTCAAACCGCCTGCTCTGCTCTGCTCGACTATGCTCTAAGCTAACTGTCGCAGCATATCACTACAACGGCACATTAAGACAAGGGCGATACAACAGTAGGCAACCTTCACGAACTGGCGTGTAGCGAGCGGAGTTTTGTGTCAGTGTTTCTATTGGGCATTAGACACTATGCTGGAGTTAATGGTTTGCTGCATGCGTTTTGGAAGTACTTTGGCGTGGATACAAACTATTTCAGGTTGAAACTCGTGTTGGGTAACTAGGTACCATGAGATTTGTGTTCACTGTCGCTTTGGTGTCGTGTGGTGAATACATTTGTGCATCAGAACGAGGTTGAGCTCCGGTAGCACCTGATTGGCCAAGCGTTAGTCATCCCATTTAGTCAGCGCACATTCCGTCTCTCCATCCCTTGCAAATCCAGTAGCTTCCCTAAAACCAATTCGCAATGCACACCCACACTTTCACTCAGTGCATCAATTCACAACTCTTTTTCACTTCACTACACAATCGTCAAACGCCATTCCACGGTACCGCCCACCCCGTACCGCACATCGCTGTACGACCTACCTAGCGCCGTTTCCATGCCGCCCCCACTTTTCCATCCCATGTCCCGCCCGCTACTGCACGATGCAAGCCGTGGGCTACTCGGACACCTCCGCCAATGGCAGCTTCTGAAACGGGAAGCGGTTCTCTGTTCGTCGCTCCGGCTAATGAGGCCTAGGGCGACTGCACCGGCGATCGGCGCCCTGAGGAACCATCGGATGTCGGGTTACTATCGTTTACAACTGAGTATATCGAGTGGCGCATTGAATTGGTGCGAGACACTGTGGATTCCAGGACTTGGGAGGAGAACGGCGATAACGGACACCGTCATTTGCACTATCGTCGGTTTCGAACCTTTCTGGTGAAGTCCCAACAATGCATATGATTGCTGACACGACCAACTAACGCAAACCATCGGCTGGTCTTCCTGAGACGTTGTGCAGCCATTATATACGCAAAAAACGGCCACTTTTCCATCAAAAATCACCTACAAACAGTAGGATGTTCAACAGCATCCTTGGTCCAACGGTAGGATAATTGCCTTCCAAGCAATTGGTTCGGGTTCGACTCCCGGAGGATGCATCTTTCCTTTTTGCATTGCAACGGCTCGTTCAGCGTTGCGAGATGACTTTTTTGCGTCCTCCGGAGTCTTCTTTGCATCAGGGACATGCAAATCTCCAGACACGAGTGGAGGTGCGCGGGAGACGCTTTACCAACGACATGTTTGCTGGTTTCCTCATTTTTTGCTTTGTGGGCACCTATGTAACACTGCATGCGGGGTTGGAAGATTGAACCTCAAGCCCAGACAGCTACGAAAGCCAAATCACACGCGGAGTGAGTGGCTTCAGGTGTGCTGACCGAGTCCAATCAGCAAGCAATGCGTGTGGTTGCTGGACTGGCGCAGAGCCTCCAATCCCTCGGCTCCCCGATTCCTTACAATTTCTTACCGAATTTTGGAGGACAGGCATAAATCCTGAAGGACTCGCATTGCGAAATAGCTCACCAATCAATTCGCCTTCGAATTCCCGTTTGAGCTCAGCTGTGGTAAAAGTCCTGTCTATGACATTCCTCCATCTGCCCACAACATTCAAGCAGTCACAATGTCACACACCAAGGCCTTGGTACCAAGACAGCTACTCGCTTCTTTTGTCCTGATTGGTTTCCGCTAGCCCTACATCGCAGGCAGTGCCCGTTGAGGAATGGCTGCTCGGGTAGATGCGTTGTTGTCTGCGTTCATGGCCCGCCATTTGCAACCGAGTCGGTGTGGTTCTGGTCGGAGGACTGCATGGGACTTACGTGCTGGCAGTCTGATTGGTAGATGGTGCGTTCCAACGCCAATGGACACCGGTATTTGTTTCGGAAGGGATTTGCGCTGATCAATTCTTGGATGCGTGATGTGCATGGTAAGGGTTGAGAGGACAGCCAGAGGCATTGGAATGGTGGGATGGTGGGATGGTGTGGTATATAAAGCAAGCTGACTGCATGACTTGAAAGCATAAATTCATCTCTTCAAAGCACAACCGCCTTTTGTTTTCAACGAGCTCCAACATCTCAATAGTGGAATTCTATTCACGTTCAACTCGCATCCACTGCTCTTACACAAATCAACATGGCGATCCAATCGACCTTCCAGCCCACACCTCCTGTCCGCACATCAACAGTCGACTCCCAAAATACACAAGGATCCGGCCAGATGTCACCTCCAACATCCCCCGCATTACCCTCCCGCACAGCAACCGCCTCGCCAACAGAAGACTCCTTCTTCGGCGCAATCACAGCACGCATGCGACGCGACCGCTCACGCAGCGCTTCACGTAGACGCGACAAGTCGCCCATGGTCATGCCGCCCGTGCAAGTCCCTTCCACCACAACACAACCCCGACAAGCGACAAAGGCTGCGCAACCATCGAGACCGAGCTTGCAGAGCGAAGGCCGGAGGAGCACAAGTGGCAGTGATCCGTGGCGGGGACGGCATTCGAATGACTGGCTGTTCAACGGGTTCTCGGTGACGGATACGGCGAGAGATATCTTTCGGGTTGGAAGGAAGTCGTAGGTGAGGAGGTGGGCTCGAATACTGCTGAATGGTAGCACACTGTTGAACGGGTGTTGAGTAGCCTCTTGACGACTTTTATGAGATATATGAGCAATGATAATGATATGGATTGATGTGTGTATGCTCCTGCGTGAGATAATTGTTTTTCATGAGCCTCAAACTTTGTAGGCTGGTGTACTCTCCTCGGGATGACTCTACCTGTCTCTTCTAAAGGTCTTCACATCACCTTGAAGGAGAATTGGAGCAGAGAATACCTTTTGAAATTTGAAGGTGTGAGATGCGTTGCTTGGATTACACCCCTCATATAGACACATACTTGATACGCGATGAGAACAGCGTTCCCTGACGCCGTAACGACGACTACACACTTGCGATGCAGAAGTTTAGTCGTGATCAAGAGAAGTAGATCCACAACCCGTCTCGCACTACTCTAAGCTAGTCAGCCCTACGAATCGCGTCGCGTTCTAGAGTCTCCTACCGCCCACATGAGCACCCTCATGTCTTCCCATGCCTGTGTTTCTGCAGCAGTATCCTTGGCTTTCGTAACATGAGGTATATGGCTATTTGCGCGATGTCTTGTCGAGTGTCGATGCTTGCGAGGCCCGCGATCGGCATGGCAGAGCTGAGGAAGTCAAGCGAATGTGGTGGAGAGGAAGGCAATCCACTATTCCTCACCAACATCGCACCGTAGAATTCCCAGCTCTTCCATGCGGAGAAACTCATCCCGAATTATCATCGTATCCAGTCGCATCGTAGCATCCAGTCCGTCTGGCCTGACACTGCTGTGGAGTGGGTGATAACCGGTAATACTCGGACTACGATAAGGAACGACTCAAACTCCGAATGAGTCTCGGAGTAGATGATTAATCCACTGCCTTGAGGACTACAAATTGTAAGAGATATGAATTACTCCACTACAACACTACGAGAGAATATGAGACAGAGGCAGAATTGACTTATCTCCAGCTGTCTTCCCCACCACCCCACTTCGATACATCACATCCGTCAGCAATCGCGGCACCATGAGACACGAACGCGCTACACTCCCGACACCCAAGTCGAGCAACTCTTTCTGGCACAGTGAGCCGAACGAGTTCCTGCTTGGCCATCGCACCACCGAGGACCTCCCCGCAGAAGCTGATATCGTTATCGTGGGGAGCGGTATCACGGGCACCTCTGCTGCAAGATATCTGGCAGAGGACGAGAGGGCAAATGGCAAGAGCGTTGTGTTGCTAGAAGCTAGGGAGGCGTGCTGGGGTGCTACTGGCCGGGTGAGTCGAAGAAAAGGATAGATGTCGTCGTCAGAATGGACATATCACGACCAACGCCCGCTCGCGTTCGACTTCAATAACCATGCTGACTATTCCAACAGAATGGTGGACACTGCCAACCCCTCCTCTTCGACAGAGGCTCAGAAGTCGCCGCATTCGAGATGAAGAACGTAGACGCAGTGCGTTCGTACATTCAGAAGAACAACGTCCCATGTGAATGGCGCGAGGTATCCGGCTGCCGCACATTCTGGACCGAAGAAGTCATGAAAGAGGCAGAGAATGAGATTGCCCACCTCGAGAGCATAGCACCAGATCTTGCAAAGCATGTAAAGATCATCAAAGACAAGGAGGAGTTGAAGAAGCACCGGGTCTCCCCCGATTGTGTTGGAGCGACGCTTACAGCAGGAGCTGCAAGTTTATGGCCATACAAGCTCGTGACCTTCATTTTGGAAAAGCTCGTCAAAGACGGACGTCTCAATCTTCAGACCAACACTCCCGTCACCGAAATCACGTCGTCGGACGGCAAGCACACGCTGCACACGGACCGCGGTACCATCAGCGCGAAAACCGTCGTCCTAGCGACAAACGGCTACACTTCCGCCATCCTCCCTCACTTCGCCGACCTCATTGTACCCGTCCGCGGCGAGATGTCCGCTCTCCTTCCACCCAAAAACTCTACGCTCATCCCCGATTCCTACGGCATGGTCGCCGCCCTCGGCCAGCCATCCAACAACGACGACTACCTCATCCAACGCCCCTTCGACGGCGTGCCAAACCCCAAAGGCCATCTCATGTTCGGCGGCGGCCGTGGAGCAGGGCTCCCGAGCATCGGCGTCTCAGACGACACCATCGTCGACGAAGGAGCAGCAGCGTACCTTCGCAGCGCGCTGCTCAAGGTCCTCGAACTAGATGGCGAGACGCAGGGTCTGAAGGAGCTCGAAGCCACCGCGCAATGGACGGGAATCATGGGCTACTCCAGGGACGACCATCCGTGGGTGGGCAAGGTGCCTGATAAACAGGGCTTGTGGCTCTGCGGTGGGTACACAGGGCACGGTATGCCGAACACCACGCTGTGCGGGAAGGCAGTAGTACACATGTTGCTCGCCGAGGAGGCTGGTGAGGATCTGAGCACAACCCAAGCACGTATGGTGGATAATGCGGACCTACCGCAGAGTTATTTTCTCACAAAGGAGAGGATTGAAAGGACGAGAGAGAGGTTCTTGACGGTGCAGCAGCAGGATGAGCAGGGTGTGCATATGAATGGGGTTGTTTAGGTAGTGGGGCAGTGTATCTTCCAAGGAGATTGTTTCTACAGCCAGGAGGATTTACTCTAGTTCCTGGGCTGGGATGTCCAAATCAATTGTTGACCCTCGGAATTTGCGTAACATCCATATACAGTTCTTCGCTCGAAGCCGCTACAGCTTTGTTATTGACTAGCCCCATATACCAGCATACAAGCAAAAAGGCATTTGTAGTTAGCTGTGATCTAACATCTTCTTCGTAGTTTTCTATAAATTCTCAAAAACAAGGATGTACCTGGGAACAGATGCCTGTCACCCCGCTGGTTTACGTCACGCGTCGCGGGGTAGTGGGGCACGAGAGGAATATCAAGAGGGGTCGTACCTCTCCAGTGAGAATCGCGTCAAGACAGGTGTCACAAAGGTGAAGGAACAAGCGCAGAAAGATAAGGCAGTGTCACGATCAAGGCAGTGAAGAGCAAGCATGATTGAAGAAGATTTATTGGTATCTCGTGTCCATAATCATATCCATCGTAAGAGGCGAGAGACACAGTGCTACTCAGCCAGATGTCTATTATCCATCCCCCATCATCGTATCGCCGTCAATAAGCCGGAGTGATGTTGAACCGTTGTCGAAGAATCGTCGTGGTGGTTAGACCGTTGTCGAGAAGTCGTTATGGTGTGAACCGCTGCCGGGACATTGCGTCGAACCGAGTGATGTAGAAACTTAGACGGAGCGCTTGTTGGCCTCAGCAGAGGCGTCGTGCTTGCTCTGGTCCATCTTGTCGCCAGCGGCGGAGAGGGCACCGGAGGCACGGTCGGTGAGGGAGTCGTTTCCGGGAACGTTGCCCTTGGCCTGCTGCTTGTTGGCCTCCTTGGAAGCCTCAGCGGACTGGCCCTGGATGGACTCAGAGACGTAGTTGGCGGCGTTCTTGACGGAGTTGACAGCCTGGCCGACGAGGCCGTCGTTGGGGGTGTTGGCGTTAGGGGCAGACATTTTGAGTTTGTTGGTTGGGTTGGGAGTTGTTTGAAGAAGTGTAAAATTGAAGAGTGGCTTGAGTTGATGCTGGACTGTAGAGGGGTGAGGGGTGGTTCTTATAGACAGGTGGGGGACAGGTGAGGGGCACAGGGACGGCGCTAGCAGTTGTGAAGGCACTGCGCAAACGGACACTTGGGCAGTGACGTCGATGGTACTACGTCATTTCACGTGCCATTTGGAAGCGGCTGAGCTTGTGCGGAAGGGGCAGCTGAGGTCTAGAACCAATGGTGAACCACAACCCACACTAAACGGAGCAAGCCCATCTCGGATTCACTGGCGATCACGATCCATTTGGAGATCTCGCCCACGCATTTCGAAAAGTGCCCCGCTGAACCCCACTACCCTGACGTCACACAACAAACCAACAAACACAGCGAGGAGCACGCAAGGCACGCAAGCAGAGAAGAAAATGCCGCAAGTTTCATCCGCCCCTGTTTCAGTGTCCGTGTGTCTCTGAAGCTACCTGAAGAGGCGCAGGCCTCATGACCAAAATCGATGCCTTCTTCTGGCAAGTGCGAACATGCACGCCGTAGACCACAGGATCGCCTCAGCGCTTGCACCTATCCACGCATACAGTGTAACCTCGTGTGATCGAGATTTGCATTCCATGCTAATTCCGTTATGTATGTTGGTTGCGAGTATCGCTTCGAGACGAACGAAGTAGGAGAACTCTTTCGCTAGGCAGCAGCATATACGGAAGCCACGTTGCATGCAAGGTTTTCTTTGCTTCTCTACCCTTCTGCTTCCTTCCATGTAAAGCTCGAACATGGGAAGTACTCTCAACTGCCTCAACTGCCTACGTGTCTCTTGGCTAAATCGAGGATAATTCTAGCTCAGTTGAACAGCGGTCGTGTTGATCATTTGAGAATGCTGCCTGTCTCCTATTTTCTTTGCCACTCCTATCTCTGAGCTTTCATGAGAGCGCTGTTTCTCTTGGAAACCTACGCGTGGAGGTACACAAAGCTCATCACTCAAGCCCCCAGCCTCTGCATTGTATCAGTATTTCAACAAAACCTTTCTTTGTTCGCCCTCACATCCTGCCTGGCCTTCCGGTACACTCGTCTACATCTACCACACGCGATGACCTACAGTATGAACATTGTCTAGAAGATTAAGACCTGAACGTCTCGCCGTGCGACAAGCTCTAGTGAAGAAGCACAAGCCAACTGTCACATATGAACTGCCCTTTCTGATATCGCGCCAGCCAGACTTTGAGCGTGCATCTCTTCATTCTCACAGCGCCAATTGACCATTTCTCCTGCTGGGTCATGTTCTCCAACCAAGACAACCCTTCATCTGGCAAAGGCTAGTGTTGGTACAAATATACATGCCCTTTCCCCCAAGACTCGCTGCATGCTCTTGCATACTATGGTACCCTAACGTTTCTTCGCATTGCCGCCCCCGCACGGAAGAGTCTCAGCGAATCAGATAGTCTGTCGTAACTTTAGGATTCAACCGCAGTTGCTCCTTGATCTTAGTACAGTTGAAAAACATCAGGGGTTACCACAGTACAGAAGCCAACTCACCTCTGCTGTCCAATGCTTGCAAACATCCCAACAGTTCGATGTCCTCATTACGCCACATGTGTCGTTCCCTGACGGGGCGAAGCATATGACGTCGGGTTGTTAATGCCTTGCGAGTCAAACTAACAAATCCCAACCTCAAACATCCTCGGTACTCTACTCGCGGTACTCGCCCCAAACTCAAACTAATGTCTAAGGAGCCCAAGCCTCTCTAACCAGTCGTCTTGTGCCGATCTCGTGCCACCCTTTACGCCACCTTGAAAACTCAGGGACGAATTAGCGTGGGCACCCTAGTCGCGCGGTTTCTCCGGAAATGTGGGGGTTACGCGACCAACATCGGTTCAAGGCTGGCGTCGTCGGTGTTTACGTTTGCGATTATTTTCGATGGCGAAGAACATGCGCGAAGTGCAAATTGCGATTGCGGGCCATACATTGGCCCGCGGGGGAAGGACCGGGCACGGCGCGTGACGCACGTTGTGGGTCAGCGGGAGCTGGGTTGGGCAGCTGCGCAGTAACGCTGGAAGTCTGTTGCAACGTTTACTTTACAAGGCCAATCCGCGTTTGCGTGTGTGTATGAACCATGCTCATTTACCAAGCCTTGCGGCCTCTCGTGATTAATAACCCGCGGAGGCTTGACGACGGAGTCGCGTGTCTGTCAGATATCGTGGTTTTTCCAACACTCGCCAGCTCTTTCCACGTACCACGTCCCCACGAAAAACATATCATGTCCTACATTTGGTACTCTATAAGGCTTTACTTCTTTGTATCCTTCTACGGCACCTCTGGCCAGTCAATGAACACCGTAAGAGATATCAATTGGTTGGCGAACAGCTCAAACTATGTCTACAACCCGTGAGAAAGCCGTAGAGGATGAACACTTGTCCATATCCGAAAAGCACACCGCCTGTGGCTTTTATTCGAAGCGTCTCTGGCAGTAAGAAAGTTGAAGGTTTCGGCCAGAAGCTGTTCGCTTTTAGCAACAGGAAAAAAGCCGAAAATTTCGAGGACGCCGAAGGTTTCGATGCTCAGCTTGTATTTACGAAAATTTGGGCGTAGAGACGAGAAGGACCGAGTCTCCACTTCCAACACAGGCGGAGCATGTCGATCACTACGCAGGTGAGTTCTCACTCTCACTAGCGACGAGCTCTCCTTCTTTGCAGGCGGTAACGAAAGATGCGGATACGAAAGCGAAGACGTAACATAATAAACTACAGGGTATCAGATTGTAGTTTCGCTTTTGAGACACACGTGGTGGGCCGGAACGACGACGCGTACGCCTTCAACAACCTGGTAACTTCCCCTACCTAGGTTACTTTCCTATTGCAACGTTTGCACGAGGGGACATTCCTGTCACGACGGCATGTCTATACATGGACAAGATGTAGTAACACCTACAGCACACAAAGAACGATGAAGTCATGTCGTTATCGCTATGCCATTTAGGCCTCATGGCAGAGACTGACCTATGGCTCAAACTAGGTCTATCATTCGGCGCATTGGTAATGAATTTGCAAACCGAATATGAAGTGACTAATTGCGTATATTTTACAGAGTTATTTACGACTTCCGTTTTGAGAACCTTTATGACACAGATGTAAAAGACTGTGTTCGATTTATTCTGGATAAATCCCATCCTGACTGGAACCTTCTGTATACACAGGTGACTCAACGTTTTTCTGATTCTCGAAGCACATTTTCGCACTCAATTTGGTGGTCATTGAGGTCGCCTGGCCCAGTTCACTAGTCAATCTTGCAGAACCCAAGTTCTAGACTCAATGCCATGAGGTTAACGCTGTCAATCTTGACATCACATTTGAGAGTACTCCAACAAGTCTCGTCGACTTTTAGGATGGCGTAACTTTTAAGTGGATCATATATGATATGTTCACCGCGCATAAAAGACTCGACATTGGTGTCAACGATCAAGGAGAGAACACATCTCCCTCTGAAACGCTCATAACGGAGCCGAGTTTTTACATCCATGTGTGCATCCGGCAAACTTGTATTTTATCTTAGTTGACGAGTCTTCAACTCCGTTCGTAATAAAGGTCCTGGGCAATTCTAGCCATTCGCAACGCCTAATTTGCTCCGTGAAAAGGTTGTTTAAGCTTTCAACGTTTATCAACGGCTCCGAGCATATATCAGCGCTAGGGGATAAGCGTAGGATGGTTTTCTTGGTACAATACGGCGATGACATAGGGTAACGTTTGCGAGAATCAATAGTATGGCCGAAAGGCCGGCCAGTCCGGGATGAGAACTAAGCTGCACACGTATATAGCAGATTTTTCAAAGTTGGGCAGCGCCGAGTTACTATCTGTACTACCGGGAGAGAGTTTTTGCTACATGGTCAAGCGAGCTCTTTGAACCGAGCAGTGGATCTACATACGCGAGAAGCATGCGGAGAAGAGAATTGGGAAGGCTACAGCGGCGCTTGCCGTTCCCGGTTGGCGCAACGTAGAAACAGAAGAGTCAGATAGAGTGTGTGAGTTAGATGATGAGTAAGAGGAACATTCAAGCAGAAAAAAAGGGTGTGCATATATACTCTAGTAGCCGTAAAAAACAAAACAAAGTCGTATTGCCTCTCTATGGAAGTTGCAATTTTCAAGCGTCGGTTGATAGATAATACTGCAATGACGCAACAGAGTGCGTACAAACACTCCTCCAGATTGGGCTGAAACGGGCACCCCTGGGTGGGATTATATAGGGGTTCCTGGATAAGCTGGGCGTATCGATCATCATCAAGACTAGCAAAACGCCATGCTGGAAGCGAAAAAGATTGATTGCGATTGTGAGCGTAGGCTCTGATATCTTTAAAACGCCAAAAGCCCCCACAAGGGCATTCCAGGAGCGCCACGAGAGAAAGTTAGCCGGCCTGATCCTGCAGGTCGACCGCCATACCCTTGACTGTCCACCGCAAGGCGATCATGGCCTACAGAATTGTGCACTTCGGCCGATGTCTTGGCTTCCTATCTCGTGGAGCCCTTCGTCCCCTCCTGTTGTCAGGTCTGGGTTCCGGCGGGGCGTTTCGACGTTCCCTTTGATCTTTGATTATGATCTGTCTGCTGAGGTCGACGAAAGCTTCATCGACATTTGCTCTTCTTCGCGCACTGGTTTCGAAATACGGAACACCCCATTCACGTGATATCGCGAAGGCTCGTGGTCGAGATACTGCTCGGTCGTCTTCCAGATCGGATTTGTTGCCAACGAGCACCATGGGGACATTATCGTCGTCTTTGATCCGCCGTATTTGTTCTCGTAACTCCGCGAGCTCATGGAATGATGATGCTGATGTTATGCTGAAGACCAAGAGAAATCCTTGGCCAGTCTTCATGTAGAGTTCTCTGCGATTTGTTAGTAACAATGGATGTTGCTGGGGTTCGTTGTAGGTACCTCATAGCAGCTATGTCGACGTCAGCAACTGTAATGGTGAAAGCCAAATTTCAAACTTACTGAATTGTTCTGTGCCTGCAGTGTCTAGAATCTCCAACACAACCTGACGGTTCTGATGATGGGTCAGCTGACGTGTTTGCACGATCAATTTTGGAGTACCAACGTCGACATTGATGGCCTTTCGATACGAGTCCTCTATGGTGGGATCATAACTCTCTATCCACACATTTTGTACAAATTGTGCTACAGGTAGTCAGTATCTCTGCGACCGTTCCGAATCTTCATCCACGTACCTGTCAAGCAGCTCTTTCCGACTCCACCTAATACGCCACCATCGTCAGTCTTGTTCGACCAGTTGATCGCGTCCTCACTAACTCACCTGACCCGAGTACTACTATATGGTACTCCCGTTGCGACATGCTTTGCGAGATCTTTCGTCGTGTTGTGGTAGAGGTAACAACAGCCTTTGAAGAACTACTTCTGACTTTTGGCTCACACCGCCACAGGAGGAGGATGGGCGGCTCCCAATGCCGTGCACTAGTTCGCCAAAGCTAATTGTGCAATGACAATGTTGAAAGACAGCTGGACTCGGCGTCGCTAGCTACCTGCGACTCGGAACAGATTGTGTGCGTGCGAGCTGTGCTCTGAGCCAACCACGACTGGGGCAACTTGTCAGCCGTCTATACTTGTGTTCCACAGGTACCAATCAAAAAAATCAAGAGCCTCAAATGCATCGTGGACAAGTCATTGTGGCAAATCGCGGTGCTGGGCTATGCATATAAGCTGCACGCGCAGAGTCGACTTACCTACCGGATGCGGCGAGGCTGGGGATTCGAAGAGATTTTCCGAGGTTTCAAGGCTGCCTGTTATCGATAAGGCAAATGTTGACGAGTTTGAGGGGCTGCGGCGATTATCGAGATCGGGGATGTAGAACGAAGGGCAACGTAGCGATTAATAGCCATGGGTTATCCTTGGACTTGGCAGGGCTCACCGACGTGCTTCGACTCGTGTAGGCCAGCGACGTCGAATCCGTCCAGCTCCGGGGTAACGTGTGCCGTAGTCCGCGCGCAGACGCTGCAGTCAACGCTCCTTTAAGTGTTCCCTGCGGTGCAACGCCTGCGAAAGCGGTTGGTCAGCCGCAAGAACGCGTTGCGATGTTATCGAAGCGTGTGTTGTGTCTGCATGAAGCCTCATCACGAACGAGGCCATACCAACATGTCGGGACCGTCCCGAACCCCCTTGCCATAGTAGCGTACCAGTTACCCTGAATGAGGCGACACTAGCTTTGCAATGGTCAACAAGGCAATGCCGTTATGTAGTCATGCCGAGCTGCTATCCTACGACATTGGCGCAATGCATTGACTTCAGCTTGGCTCGCACTTCTCTCCCTGCGTATACAAGGCAGGCTGAACGCAGTGCCAGTGTTGGCAACGTACAAGCATGAGAGACTTCTGGTGGGGCGTGAACCAGCGCAACGATATGCATCAGGGTGGATTTGACATGCCCCGGATCCAAAATCTAGCGGGCAGGGGCCTCAGCAGTCGCCGAGTAGCGCCAGCGGTTGACGAGCGAAGAACATCATCCGAGGAATATACCGACGTTGAGGTAGCTGAATTGCCGGGCAGCCGCTTCCACGTGGCAGTGACAGTCTGTGTTGCACTGTATCGCAATGCCTGTCACTCGTGTCTTGTATCGCCGTTCATGAATGCGGGCGAGGCAAAGCACACAATAGTGATAGTAGACGCAGCCGTGGGATTCATTAATAGTACAACGAGCCACGACATGTGCGCAAACAAACACGTGGCTGAGTCATTGCTGCATAAGCATATGATCTGCGCGTAGAATGCCAATGCCCCGAGGGAAGTTTCCCGCTTCCCCAGCATCAGACTGTCTATCTCCAACAAGGAGTCTCCCTTCTGAGACGGCAGCCAGTGAAGAAAATCCGTGCGAAATTGGCTACCAGGCAGATCGGAAGTCAGCCCGACGGATAGATAGCAAGGAAACTTATCCTGGCTGGTGACGTACATGTTGACAAAAGCGTCAGATGTCTGTAAGGAGTTAGCGCAAATCCGGATCGGATCAAGGTAGAACCGCACCCAGTCAGCGTGAAGCTCTCGTTCACGTAGACGTCGCAGCCCCTCGACGACCACCCCGCAAACCTATCGAACGATGCGTCTCCATGCTGCGCTGATCCTTGCAGCATGTCTCGCCCCGGCAGCTGCGATTTACGAGGACGACGCATACCACATTGACTTCCATTATGCGCTGCTAGGCCTGCCAAAACACGAAGCCACCTTTTTCCAGAAGCCATACGCCGGCTCGAAAGCTTCCCTCCTCTACTCGATATCACAAAACCAAACAATTGGTGCAATCAACCCAAAAGACGGTGCACTCGTTTGGCGACAACACACCGTCACTGAGCCCAATGGAAAGGGACATCTCAGGGCAGGAAGTGATCAGGATACTGTCATCAGCGCTGTAGGGGATCGCATTACCGCATGGAGCGCCTCAGATGGAAGGCTTGTATGGGAGACCAGTGTTGGTGGAGCAGTTGTCGAGGACCTAGAGATCCTAGAACAAGAAGACGGAATCACGAACAACGAGGCCAAAGACGCTGTCATTCTGCTGGCCGGTGGTAGCACCGGCGTACAGAGACTTGATGGAAAGACTGGGCGAGTGAAGTGGACGTATGAAGACACAAGGTCAGCGCTACTGTCACACATCGTGTATACGGACTAACCCAGACAACAGCGGAGATGTACCATTCCAGGTGTCCACCTCGCCTACGACTATCTACTACATATCACTTCACTCATCAATGCTCGGAGGATCAAAACTCAGAGTCACGTCTCTCAGCCCCGTCACTGGAAAGAAGACGGACCAATACACACTGAACTCGGACACTGAGATTACGTCTCACACCAACATTCTATACGCTGGAGCAAATACGGCCGCACCGCTGCTGGCATGGACCGACAAAGCAAACAAAGTGCTGAAAGTAAACATTATCGGCACAAAGGGCATATCAAGCTTCAGCACACCGTCAAACGAGGTCGTGGAGAACATTGTACTGCATGCCCCCAATCACGTCAATTCGCTGCCTCATTTCCTGGTTGAATATCAGACTGTTGTCGGACACTCCGCCGAGGTCTACCATGTCGATCTGAAGAAGAACACCGTGTCCAAAGCTTACAGTCTCCCAGAACTTACGAGCAAGGGCACTTTTGCGACCAGCACATCGGACGCCAATGTTTACTTCACAAGGATCACGGAGGATGAAGTTACTGTCGTTTCGTCTGCCTCGCAAGACGTACTTGGCCGGTGGAGTGTTGAGGGGTCACCAGTTTTGGCTGGCGCCTATCCCGTACATGGCGTCTCTGAGATTGTTATCAAGTCAGGAGCCGCTACCGCCGTCCGAGCAGGAGTTTTGTTCTCCAACGGACAATGGGCACTCATTCGAAACAGTGAAGTGGCTTGGACGCGACCAGAATTCCTATCCCGAACCGTGTCCGCTGCATGGCTAGGCCTCCCAGAAGAGGAGTCACTTGCGCACCAGCTAGAAGTTGAAAGCCACCAGAACTTGGTCTCTGCTTACGTCCACCGAGTTTCGAGGCATGTCCAAGACTTGAAATACTTCCCGGCCTGGCTGCAGAAGGTTCCCGCTCGTCTTGTTGGCAGCGTCTTTGGAAAGTCGAAAGATACTACGATTGATGGCATCCAACAGGACACTTTCGGTTTCCATAAGCTTGTTATGGTCGCAACCGAGGACGGTCGCCTTGCTGCGCTTGACGTAGGCTCGCGGGGCAAGGTGATGTGGAACATTGACCTCAATAAGCTTGCGCCCGGCGCGACCTTCCAGAATCCGACCTTGAAGGCTCACAGCGGCTATGTTGAAGTCAGAGATCCAAGCTTCAAAGGATCGGTATTGGTAAATTCAACCACTGGAGGTCGACTGTCTTCTCAGGGTCTCAAAACGCACGTGCCTTTGGTTTCAGAGGGACAGGAGTTGGTGTCGTTTCACTTGGTCGATAGCACCTTGAAAGGTACACTGGAGAATCAGCCAAGCTCCGAGCCCGTGTGGAGCTTCACGCCTCCTAATGGAGAACGAATCGTTGACTACGCGACACGACCGCTCAAAGATCCTGTTGCCTCTATCGGAAAAGTACTGGGTGATAGGAGAGTACTTTATAAGTACCTGAACCCCAATCTTGTGCTTGTTACTGCAGTCCTCGACTCTGCTCGTACAGCCTCGTTCTATCTGTTGGACTCTGCGTCTGGGCAGTTACTGCATACCATCTCCCACAACGATGTCGATACCTCCAGGCCTATTCCGTCCACCATCTCCGAGAACTGGTTCAGCTACTCGTTCACTACCAATTCTGCCTCAGGATTGTCGGCTCGAGGCTATCAACTCGTCATCTCAGATCTTTACGAATCTCCCCTTCCGGACGACAGGGGGCCATTGGGCGCCTCATCCAACTCTTCGACCGTGCAGCCCTCTGACTCCATGGGCGATGCCGCAAAACCATATGTGATCTCGCAAAGCTACCAGATCCCGGCGGAACTCTCGCATATGACAGTCACGCAAACAAAACAAGGCATTACTAGCCGTGAGCTTCTGGTTACCGTGCCCGCAACTAATTCTATCATTGGCATTCCGCGCCAGGTCATCGACCCTCGACGACCAGTTGGTCGCGATCCTACCGCACAGGAGCAGGCCGAAGGTCTTTCCAAATACACCCCAGTTGTTCAATTTGATCCAAAGTGGCATCTGACGCACAAGTACGAGGTTTTGGGAATAAAAGACGTTATTACCAGTGAGAGTGGGATTGAGAGTACAAGTCTAGTGTTCGCGTACGGACTGGATATCTTTGGAACCCGCGTTGCGCCCAGTTTTGCATTTGATATCTTGGGTAAGGGTTTTAACAAGATACAAATGCTTCTCACAGTCGCGGCACTATTTGTTGGCGTCTTATTTGTTGCTCCTCTGGTAAGTTTTCTCTTCGTATGATATGTACTCAAGTCAGCTTTGAGCTAACACCCTTCGTAGGTCAGGAGAAAGCAGATCGACTCTCTTTGGACGATACCCTAGATTCTTTTGGTGTAAGTTCGTGTGCTAGTAGTTACGGTTGAGGGGTTGTTTTGAGAAGAATCAGCTTGGACTTGTTCCACACGAAACGATTCCATGTCTGTATGACGCTTGAACGGGAAACGCAGTGGTGAAGATGGAACGGAGACTATGTAGCAGGGAGATATGCCATACCCCTGCATGCATGTAATTGCACGGGCTACACCTCACATTCGTCCTCTCCCTTTTCTGTTTTGACCAGCGTGGAATACCACTGAATGATGTCATGCGTCACGCTAGAGTTGACGTCGGTTTACCGCAATGATCAAAGACATACTGACGACATCGCATTAGAAATCAATCAATCAAATAGCATAACGCTCCGTGTTTCGCATTTCGAGCGGAGTTAGCATGGATACCTGTCCAATTGTATCCGTTGATTGTTAATATCGGGGTGTGCGTGAGTGTATGTTATAAAAACGTCTGCGGTATAAAGTTTTCCAAAGTCCGCCCGCTGGAATTTCGACTTACTACATCCAATACTTTTCACGCCAAACAAACAAACAATCACACTCACAATGACGGACCAGAAGAAATACATTAACAAACTCCAAGACACACGTGTCCTCGTCATCGGTGGCTCATCTGGGATCGGTTTCGCCGTCGCAGAAGCCGTTCTCGAGTATGGCGCCCAAGTCACAATCTCCTCGTCCAATCCCAAGCGCGTCGAAGCCTCCATCTCGAAACTCAAGAGCTCTTACCCCTCTGCCGCGTCCAAAGTCCACGGCCTGCCTGCCGATCTCTCGAAGCCAGATACCCTGGAAGATGTGCTGAAGCAGCTCTTCGAAGACACCGTCAAGGCCATGGGGGGCGAGAAACTAGACCATGTAATCTTCACAGCTGGCGACGCCCTCGCCCAGATGAAGCTGAATGATGTCACTGTGGAGAAGATCTACCAAGCAGGCCAGATTCGATTCATCGCGCCGCTCCTCGTCGGAAAATTCCTGCCCACGTACCTCAATCAAAGCTACAAATCAAGCTACACTATCACCACGGGAAGCGTCAGCGAACATCCGATTCCTGACTGGACTGTTGTTGGCTCGTTTGCGGGCGGCTTGCTCTCCATGGTGCGCGGTCTGGCGCTCGATCTTAAGCCTGCACGTGTCAATGGCGTCAGTCCTGGGGCGGTGAATACGGAGCTTTGGGATACGATTCCGGAAGATCACAGGAAGGGGATGATGAAGTCGTTTGAGGATAAGATGCCGACTGGGAGGGTGCCGCTGCCGGAAGATGTGGCGGAGACGTATCTGGGGTTGCTGAAGGATGTGAATATGGATGGAGTTACAGTTAGCACGAATGGAGGAGCGATGCTTATGTGAGGTGAAAGCTGAGGGAGGAGATGGTGTTGGGGTTTGTGCAGTGGGAGGACCATGTGACGAGATAGAATGATACAGTAAAGTCAAACATCTTGATTACTCTAGTAAAAGTGTCCCGAGTACTCCAGAACTGTGCAATTCTAATTCTTCCTCTGGGACATGCTGCGAAATGCCAAGCCTAGTCTCGAACACTAGCGCAAAATATTTCACAACTTCTGGCGCTCTATGTCGTAAGGTTCTTCTATCCAGCACGCATCGGCGCCCACACGCACCCATGTACGTCGTAACACCAACACAATCCGCTGCGAAATCGAAATCCCGACGTCGAAGGTGACCGCCGCGCCTCCGACATCGCATCGCACACGAACTCCAAAATCGCAGTGAGCATGCGAAGAGTAGTCTATACCCCAGCTCTTGAGCAGCGCTCCGTCGGGCTATTACCGCAGCGAAAATGCGCGGTCGCAGACGTGTGAAGAGGCAGCAGGTCGAAGCAGACGATGGCTGGACAACGATCACGCACGGTCTTTCGAACCTGTCCGTTGGGAAAGGGAAGGAAGTGAGCAAGGAGTACATGAATAGCTTCATGCCGACGCGGACAGTAGAAGGGCTGACCTCGGAGAAGCTTTTGGAGGATTTCAAGAAGCTAGAGGATCGCTGGACAGAGACGACATGCGCGAAACAAATCAAGGCGATACTGGACAGGAGAGAATGGGATATTGGGGTTGCTGTGTGCATTGGGATTGGGAGCTTTAGTCTTGACTGGCATCATCGACACCGCTCGCTGTGGCAGCTCGTGCTGTTCATGGACGTTGTCGGACACCGTGAGTTGCTGTAGCGTATGTCGTGTGTGGAGCTATGGCTGATGAAAACGCAGTGAAAGAACAAAATCCGTCGCTCACCCTCTACGCTCAAGAACCTACTTTCACGCCCGTCGATATCGCGTTTCTGAAGTCCCTCGCAGTCACCGTCGTCGAGTCCGCCGTCGAGTCACATATCTCCCCGCAGACGTTCGTGTATGCGCCGTTCGTCGACTGGTGCATTTTGCTCCCTGTTTTCCTCAAAGATAAAAAGCCTGCGCTGTATGTTGGGAATGAGATTCAGGATGACTATACTGCCGTCACACAAGGGAAGAAGGGGTCGCTCGAGAAACTGGATGAGAGCAATGAAGTGGGGAAGAAGTTTCTGCAAGAGAGGGAGATGGCGCGGTTGGAAGAGTTTGATATGCATTTGAATGCGTTGAGTGGGTTGTGCATCTACTGGAATAAAGAGGGAGAGGAAGAGGATGATGCACAATCTAGAGAAGATTCCTAGAGATACGGAGTCTTACACGCACCGAATGATTAGGTGCTTTTCATTTGGAGTGGGAGAGGAGCATTCACTGCGTTGGATGTACCCCGTAGATGTTCCCGTCGCACTCACGTCAATCAATCCATACCACAAATCACAAATTCCCGTAAGCACGCGCAATCGACTTGAATAACGTTTCCACCCGACGATACCCGTAACACCAAGCTCATTCCACCCAAACTCTCATCTCAGCACCCTCACTCGAAAGTAATCCCGGAGTCATCAAAGAAAGCAGCGCGGTCTCTAGATCTACACACAAGTCTCCTGTGGCTGATCTAACGTTCCTACCCTAAGACTTAACGAGTATTTATGCGCAGCGATTTAGTAATAGCGTGTTCTACACCCATTTCCTTACCATATCAATATCGAAGGTCCTCGAGACTTGATACCACGATTCATGCAGACTCAAGACGACCGCGCTGGCAAGTCTGACGCATAGCTTTGTGATGTGGGAATTGAGCATGTCAGTTCAGAGAGATATACAGTCTGCACGATATTGAGGCGATGTTAAACGTCAAATGCAGCACAGTTTCTGGCGGCAGGTCGAGCGTTTTGCCCAGCGTGGGGACATGAGTGGGTTTATGAAGGGCGTGAGGGAAAACGTTCGGACGGATCTTCAGAAGTCGAGGGAAGCATCCTCAAGACGCGGGTCTAAGGTTACTATTTCGACATGTATATACTATTTACCGTACCTTTTGTCTCAGAATAGGATGGTGGACAGGTAGATCCGAAACGCGTCGAAGATTCTACTTTGTTCTACAACAGGTGGATGCAGGGTTGCAAGGAGGAAGTGCAGGAGGATGTAACTCTCTACTAGAATTGGTCTAACCTCAGTATTTAGATCAGATGGATAATGACTGGGTGGAAATTAGCAGATCAGCAAACCTGTAATCATACTCATGGATTGGTTGTGGTGTGTTGTAGAAGAGGAGAACATATCGGCCGTTGCCGTAGATTTGTGGAATGTAAATGGGAGACAAACTTGTAGACCCTCAACGTGCTCAGAAGCACCATACGATTGCATTGTTATTGCAAAACTTCAACTCTACGTGTGCAGTTGCTGGTTGTCAAGACATACTCACTTGTGGTTTCCAATCTTGGTTGCGTCTTTGCTTATTCTGCTGACTATCGTAAATCACCTCCCTCTCTGGCTAGGACATTTCCCTCGTGACTTTCGCATCCTCGGTATGGGTATGGAACGACTCTTTGTTATATTCATGTTATACTCATTGATCGCGGCCTCGTTGTTGATGTCTCCTTACCTTCGACACTTTACAACCCTCGGATGCTCTTCTGAACCTTGGAATGCACTAAGAGTCTTTTTAATATCAACCAAACTTTACATTCCATGCGGATTAGTGGCGAGTCTCACACCATGCGATGCAACCAGCAATGTCCTCTCTTTGCTGACGCATGGGTAAGACATCTGACGTTGGTTCTCACTGCATGCTTCAAGCTGACTCGGTCGATCGCTGTGCTACATGTTCATCCACAATCACCACGCCAAACACGACACGGTGCCTGTTCCGACGCGTGCCAGACCCATCGCGGCGCCTCGTTCTTTGTCACACCTCCATCACACCACGGGCGTCCCTTCCAGAATGTGCCGAGCAGCACACACACGGCAGCTCTTGTTCGTTCTCTCATGTTCCGCATGCGACAGTGGGGCGCACAGCGCTTACGGCAGTCCCTGGGCCAGGCCTGCATCCCCCATCACACCCGGCGACAAATCAGGCGCCCCATCAGCATTGCCTTCGCAGCCACCACTGACCCTGGTTCACTAGGGATTTCCGTCCCGCCCGTGAAAGTCGCGCATGAGTGGTTGCTGACCCTGGCATGGCAATAGGCTAGTTTGTCGTTATTCACTGCCCTGGGTCCGAATGGCCGGATTGGAACATACGCTTGAGATGAAGTTTGATGGAGGAATGCATGCGACCGACGCAAGCCAGGCAGGCGAGCGTGCGACTCAAGCAAGCCTTAAGTTTGCTTGAACCCACCCCCATCCCATCCCGATCGACCGCCCGCCCGCCACCGCACTTCGACTCGATCAACCCTACCGTCGATTTACTAAGGGGCCAGCCATCGCCGGAAAGAACACGAAAAAGTAAAAGAGTCGGATTTCCCATCGTCGTGGATCTGACGCCGCCATGTTCCGCTTCTCCCTCGTCGTGGCGCTTGTCGCCTGCTGGTCCGCCCTCGCCGCAGCCCATACTGTCATCGTCTACCCCGGCTGGCGAGGCAACAACATCATCACAAACGGGACGACGTCGCTCACAGACCCAAGTATAATCCCGGGGTCACTAGGCATCACGTACGAAAACGACACACACGGCTTCCCGTACGGAATGCAGTGGATGTATCCATGTCCGTCTCCCAAATCCCACCAAGTCAAATCAACCCACATAACTAACACCCCCCCGCAGGCGGCGGCATGCCCACCTCCACCAACCGCACCAAATGGCCCCTCAAAGGCGGCGCAGTCAGCATCCAACCAGGCTGGTTCCCCGGCCACGCAAACGCCCTCTTCTACTTCAACATGGGCTACGGCAACGAGCCGCTCAACTACTCGCACTCGATGCTGCCCGTCTTCCAGATCACCGGGCCCTCAAACCTGCAGTACGACGGCACCTTTTGCCTGCCGCAGGTCCCGCTGCCCGCCGGCTACGAGCCGCAGGTCGGCGATAATGCGACGATTCAGATTGTCGAGACGGCGCAGCATGGGGCTGCGCTTTATAATGTACGTTTTGCTATATCACTGTGCTACCTTACCTATCCTATCCTATCCTGTTCCAGCACACCTGTCCACATCATAGATATTGGACTACTGCTAACATACACAAAAGTGCGCAGACATAACCTTCGCCGAGCCCGCAGACGTGCCCGAAGTCACAAGAGACAACTGCTTCAACTCGACAAACGCCACCACGCGCACCCCCGACATCGGCTTCCAGCTCGTCTACGCTACGACTAGCTCTCCCGCGCCACATAACGTCGTCGTGAACATGTTTGCTGCTGTGCTGGTCCCGCTGCTGCTTGGTGCTGGGTTTGCTGTTGGGTTGTAGATGTGTGTGATGGGTTGTGATGGCGTTTTGGGGGGGGCGTTGTATACCAGTTTTTTTTCTTGTTGTTTTTGATGGGTTGGGGGATGGAAGGAGGGGGGGTAGATCAAGGATGGGATTTGTTGAGTGGAGGGGAGTGGATGGATGGATGGAAGGGTTGAGGGAGGGAAGAATAGGATAGGATAGGAAAGGAAGGGAATTCCTCCCCATTTGTACATATCGAGGCACTGGATGGGGGTCTCTATGATGTTAATGAAGACTCTACTTGGTACGGTAATTCACGTTCTCGTTTTTGAATGGAAGGAAGGAAGCTAATGCATGTATTCTTACTGAAACGGGCTTGTTGAATCGTCGTGAAGTGGTGGACCTCCTGTCTTTGTCCTATTGTAGGTTGAATTGGAAAAGTGAAGATCGCACATTACGATGTGATAATCTGTATCCATCTATCAACCATTCAATCCATCAACACCCCCATACCCATACCGATACACCCCTACACCCCCAACCCAGGCAGCACAACGCCCAACCCCCTCAGTCGACTAGCCGCCACATCAACAAGATGCGTATTCCTCTGCAACAGCTCATGAATACGCTCCGTCTCCGCCTTTCGAGACAAACTGTCGATTTTAACACTCGGTCTTGTCGTTGTCGCTTCACCATTCCCATTACTGCCCGCCCGTCCATCCGCACCCGCACCCGCACCACCACCCAACTCCCCAACCTGCCCCCTCAGCTCACCCTCCAACTTCTTCAACCTCTCCAGCCGCTGCCAAGCAGGCACAACCTTACCATCCACATCACCCGTCAGCGTCTCACTCCGCGCATCAACCGCACCATGCATAGCGGCCAATTCATCCACAAACGCGGCCTCCCTGGCGCTAAGATCCGGGGTGCCGAGGGAGTGCATTCTGCGGCGCAGAGCCTCGTAGCGGTGCGAGATGGCGAGTTGTCTGTTCTGAACTCTTTCTACGCGGGAGGATATGCTGTCTTCTGCGTCGTTGTTGTGGGTGTCGGGGGTAGATGTAGAGGTGGTAGCAGCATCCACCCGCAACGCAACCAACGCACTCCTCGTAACCTGGTCGCGAAACACGTCCTGTAGCTGCGTCGCGCGATTGAACAGCTCCGCCACCGCGGCCTGAAGGCGCGCCGTGTGCGCGGCCAGCACGCGGTGCACGTCCATGAGCAGCTCGAGGTTCGCAGGGCTGAGGCGGATTTCCTGCGTGAGTTGAGCGCGGTGGCGGGCGGGGATTGCGATAGCGTTGCGCAGGTCGAAGGGCGCGTAGAGGTCTCGGGGGGGTTGCCATGGTTCGCGGACTTCTGTGTGCGAGGGGGGCACGTTCATGAAGTCTGCGAGTTGGGCGGCGGTGGGGACGTCTGATTCCGGGGCGTCGAGGAGGGCGGCGACGGGCTCGTTGGCCGTGTTCGTCGTGAGGAGCATGTAGCCTGTATTTCCGTCTTCGATGACGACGCAGGCGGGGACTTGGTGGTGGGGGTCGTTTGTGTCGGGTTTGCGCGTGAGGTGCTGCTCCACGGCGCTGTTTGCGGATTCGAGGAGGCGCTGCAGCCGGAAGTCTGCGCCGTCGGGTTGCGGTTCCGAGAGTTCGTTTTCGAGCTTGGTGATCCATGGCTCGAGGGAGATGTAGTGGACTCCTGTGGCGTGCGAGACGAAGAAGGAGAAGTCTGTGTGGACGTCTGGGGTGATGCTTTGGGTGAAGGTTGATTGTTCGTCGCGTGTTAGGGCGATTGTTTCGGCGATGATGAGTTCGGGCTCGGGTGTATCTGAGATGTCGATTTCATCCTGGTGTTGTTAGCATGATTTTTAATGTTGTATTGCAGGATGTGTATACCTCAGGAGACGGCAGCCAACGCCCAACGACTCCCTCCAGGTCCAGACACACGTGCACCTTGCATGTATCGGTGAGGAGACACACAACAGCGGTGGGCAGACCCTCTGCTGCTTCCTCGTCTGTGCCGTCGGAAAAGGTCTTCAGCGAAAAGACGATCATATCGCTCAGCTCAAAGTCATCGACTTCAGGTGTGATGGTGAAGGGGCCCTGCAGCAGCGGGACGGCGGGGGTACTCCTCGGACGCACAAAGACCTTGACCGAGTCGCCATCAGGCAGTTCCTCCATGAAGGGCTCCTCGTAGATGATGTCCGCCAGCCAGGCGACCTGTTTCTCCGCAGTCTTGACATCGTATTTCGGCGCATCAGTCTCTTCCGAGAGCTCGGCGTAGTTGATGTTGACGGACGAAGCCAGCGTCTGCAGGAAAGTGAAGGACCCGGGCGACTCGACCAGCTGCCACTTGCTCGGCAGGAGCGGACACAACGCGTAGACATCCCCCGACACGGTCGCAATCCACAGCGTCATGGGCGCCCAGCCGTGCACGCCCTCCTGCTCGGGGAAGTCGCCAAAGCAGGCCGAGGCAACCTCCAGCTCGACCGAGTCTGGCGAGAAGCCCTTGGAGGCGCCGTACTTGGAGGCGGACAGATCCTCCTGGTCGGTTGTGGCATTGGCCAGCTTGGGCAGGTCGATGGAGAGGGTGGGCTCGTTGAAGGTCGAGCGGTCGGCGCGGTTCACTTCCCACAGGCGCACCACGCCGGCCTTTGTGATGGTGACCAGACAGCGGCCATGGTAGCCCAGGGGGTGCCACAGCGTGGTTGCGATGGGCGACTCCTCCAGCACGTGCGCCGTCGGCCCTACCTGGAACGTCTTGGGCTTGATGGGGCTGTCGTCGCCGGACGCAAGGTGGGCCGAGTCGGGCAGGCTGACGACGTGGACTGTGTGGGACGTCGAGACGGCGAGGTAGTCACCGGCGGGCGAGATAGTGAGGCGTGTGATGGGGAGCGGAATGGAGACCTTGAGGGTGCGGTATGCAGGCGCAGTGCCGTCTTTCAGGTTAACCAGATCCGCCCAACGAAGCTCGTTGCCCGCTGCCACAAACACTTCAGAGCCTCTCGTCGCAATGGTGCGGCGCGGGCCAGCTTCCTGCTTCCTAGGCGCGACGCCGTTGCTAGCAGCTTGTTTGGGCGCAAACAGATGGTAGCCGGGGCTCGGGCGGGCGAGCCAGGCCGGCGTGTAGCTCAGTACTTTGGGCATGTTGGACGTGTCGTCGCCGTGGTGGGTGAGAAAAAGAAGCCAGACTAAACAAAGTCGAGCAGCAGTGAAAGAAGCTCGCGCGCGCGCCAAGGCCGACCGGGAACGCGTCCTGGGACAGCTTTGATTCGACCTTTACTCACTTGCACAGCTCCACGACCAACACGCGCCCATTTATTTGTCGCCCGTCTCGTCCGCAATCATGGCGCCGCTCCGAAGCACAATAGACCGCCTGGACAAGCCGAGTTCCTACGCGACTGCGAAGGTGAATACCGCATGCACAACCACTCAAAGCACAGCCCTAACACCGTCTTAGAAGCGCAGAAGAGACCGCAACCGCGACGACGAGCGCGAGCCCAGCCCAGACCCAGAAGACAAGCTCAAAGACGCGACAACCCTCTACGTCGGCAATCTGTTTGTCTTCCCATCTCCAACCCTACAAACCAACAACTACTAACACCCTCCTCCCAGCTCCTTCTACACAACCGAAGAGCAAATCCACGAACTCTTCTCCAAATGCGGTGAAATCAAGCGCCTCGTCATGGGACTGGACCGCTTCCAAAAGACGCCCTGCGGCTTCTGCTTCGTCGAGTACTACACGCACCAGGACGCCCTCGACTGCATGAAGTACATTGGCGGCACCAAGCTGGACGAGCGCGTCATCCGCACAGACTTGGACGAGGGCTTTGCCGAGGGCAGGCAGTATGGGCGCGGGAAGAGCGGTGGGCAGGTGCGGGATGAGTATCGTGGGGAGTATGATCCCGGTCGGGGTGGCTATGGGAGGGCCATTATGGAGAAGGATGATGAGATGTAGGTGGACGTGGACGTGTATGAGAAGGATGGTTGCTACACCACAACATGGACGGCGTCTGGCGTTTTTTCTAAATCTAGAAAGTGGCGTGGAAGTGTATCCGGGTCCGTCTATCCACCGAATTCGAAAAGTCTACAACAGAGTATACCACCTCTCCCAAGCAAAAATACCATCTTCCTCTATAAACGCCGTCGCTGATGCCACTCCAAAGTCCCTCCCACCCCAATGCTACTCCGTCCGATCTGCAATTACAAACTCCCTCCTCCGCTCCACAGCCCGCCTCACCTCGTCCAGCCACCAAGCATGTATCCTCGCATCCTCCGTCAACTCAGGGTGAAAACTGCACCCAAACACATTCCCCTGCCGAACCGCAATCACATTCCCCTCGCCACCGTCTTGCTCTGGTGTCTGCGTCTTGCCAGGCAGCCTAGCCATGACCTCCACCGCGCCTGCAACCTCCCCGCTCGCCACCCCCTCCGCCGGCGCCTTACTCGGCGCAACAACCGTATCCTCGCCCGCAACCTGCACGCCCTCCTCATGCGGCAGTATCTTCTCGACAACAGGCGCGCGGATAAACACGCATCGAAACGGATCCTGATCGACATCCCCGAGAAACGGGAGTCGAAGCGCCGCTTGAAAGCTCTCCGTCTGGCGCCCGAAATGGTTCCGATTGACGCGCACGTCCAGCCCGCCGATAAGTTCTTGGCCCCCCTTCTTCGTGCGGTTCGCCGACTCGGAGAGCAGGATCAAGCCCGCACAGGTGCCCCATGTGGGTTTCCTCTGCACCCTATCAACCCGTATATATATCAGCATCGTTCAATTCATCGTCTGCTGTGTGGTAGCGGAGGTGGAAACGCAACGCACTTTACGAACTCGCGCAGTGGCTCCAGCAGGCCGCTTCGCGCTGCTACGAGGCTGATTGCTGTGCTTTCGCCGCCGGGGATTATCAAAGCGTCGCAGTGGGTGAGTTCGACGGGTGTGCGGATTTCGTGGAATGTGAAGGCGGAGAAGGGGAGAGAGGTGCTGGCGCGCCGGAGGAGTTGGATGTGCTCGCTGAATGCGCCTTGGAGGGCGAGGACGCCGATTTTTATTTCGGGGGTGGGGGCGGGGACTGTCATTTCGACGAAGAAAGAGAGGAAAGGAATGGAAATAGAAAGGAAAAAGGCGTTTGCAAGGGAGCGTTGCAATTGAAGCGTGAATGAATGAATGAATGTATGATGACTGCGAGTCAAGAAAAAGAATTGTGGGGCACCTCCGTGGGGTTGGACTCGACGTACCGATAACACGAGGTGGAGGGAGCGCGGGGCCGACATACCCCCAAGTAACACGAACATGGGCCTGTCTTGCCATCATGACTCCCTTGCTACCTATCGTCTTGTACATATAAACGTAGAACAATCGTATCTATACACAAGACCAAACCATCCCCCGTCCCCATCCACATCCCATGTCCACATAACACAACATGAACATGCCCAATGCATCCCCCGAACGCGGTCTCACGTGCTGGCTCCTCGACACCCGCCCCCTCTGGCCAGGCACCAAGATCGCAGAAGCAGTGCGTCCCGTCCTATCCTCCCCCATCGCCAACATCCCATCCCATCCCATCCCATCCCATTACCAACCCAATCTAACCCCGCCAGGCCCCCGAAGCACTCTCCCTCATCAGCCCCTCAGAAAGACAAACATGCCTCCGAAAATACCACATCGCCGACGCAAAAATGAGCCTCGCCTCCGCCCTCCTCAAACGGCTCTTCATCCACCTTACCCTCTCCATCCCCTGGTCCTCCATAACCCTCGGCCGCAAGCGCGACCCCACACACGGCAAGCCCTGCGCCCTCATCGCGTCCGGCACCTCCTCTGCCCCCGCCCCCGTCGAATTCAACGTCTCGCACCAAGCCGGCCTCGTCGTGCTAGTCGGCTGCCGCACAGACATCCTCGACGTCGATCTCGGGGTTGACATCGTATGCGTGAACGAGCGGGGCGGGGATCTGAGCATGATCGACGCCGAGGGCTGGGAGGCATGGGTGAATATGTACGCGGAGCTCTTCTCACCCGAGGAAAGCTTCGACATGAAATTCAACTGCGACGCCTTCCCCCTCAACGACGGCACACTCATAACCCCCGATATCCTAGGCCGCCACGACCGCGTGTGCGCCCGCGGTGAGGCGCTGAGCGTCACGCTACCTAACGGGCAGACACGCACATTCGACTCCGACCTCGTCATCGACGCTAAACTGCGCCGTTTCTACGTCTTCTGGGCGTACAAGGAAGCGTATATTAAGCTTGACGGCGAGGCTCTGCTGGCGAATTGGATCCCCCAGCTGGAATTCAAGGGTGTGCGGGCGCCGCGGCCGGGGACTCCGGCTAGATGTAGTACGCATGGGGTGTGGGGCGAGCGCGTGGGCGATACGGCGGTGTGGTTTAGACATGAGTTGTTGCCTGATACGAGGATGGAGGTTTGTGCGTTTGAGGAGAACTATATGATTGGGGTTGCGGCGAAGGATCGTGGGTGGTTGGGGGGGGTGGGGAGGGAGGGGGGGTTGCCGGAGGTGTTGACGGGGTTTGTGGGACTGCATCTTGAGAGCGATGTTTTGGAGGTTGCGAGAAGGGGTGGGTAGGGGGTGCTGCTGTGTGGAGGGCGTGGTTGGTTTATACATCTGATGTGCTATCTCATCTCATCGCGTGCGACTGAGTGTATGATGATATAGCTGTGAGGGATGAGAATCTTATATGTCCATATATCTACACGTTTGCACCCTCTTCCTGTCCATCTGCCTCAATGTATCCCTGCCTCCCACTCCCACTCTCGTTATACATACACAACACTCTACCCCCAGCAAACAACTAATCCAATCCATCCATCCATCCATCCATCCATCCATCCATCCATCCATCCATCCATCTATCCATCCATCCATCCATCTATCCATCCATCCATCCATCCATCCATCCATCTATCCATCCATCCATCCATCCATCCATCCATCCATCTATCTATCCATCCATCCATCTATCCATCAATCAGTCAGTCCATCAAAACTCATAACTCCGCACTTCATCACCGCGACTAAAATGCCCTTTGATAGATGCAGTGTAAAAGTTACAAAAGTCACTACAAAATAACGCGAAGTAAGTAAGACGAAGGAGTGTTTTTTTTATACCTTTGTGAGCGCGTGGGATCAGCGCGTTGGTTGAGTGTGGGTTGTAACTGCTTAGTTTACTACCTGTCTTTTTCCTTATTCCTCTCATCTTGCAGTGTCTTACTTGATCGAACACCGTGGACGCGCAGTGGGGTTTTTCTTGTAGGTACTGGTTCAGTGTTGTGGTGTGGTGTGTTGTGTTCCTGGGTTGTAGTTCTGCAGGGCTTGGTGTGGGGAGCTGGGTAGTGGGGGGCGCGGATAAGGATAGAGGTGAGTTTGGATTGAAGGGTAGGAGGATAGCAGGAAGAAGGTTGGGAACCTTTAGGAAGAGAGAGTTAAGTAAAGAGGGGAGTAGATAGGGAGGGAGAGAAGGAGAGAAAGTGGGGTAAAGAGACTGTGAATAAAGATATGTACATAAGAGTAATCGTAAAGAGAGCAAAGCGAAAAGACTCAGATTCGCATTCAGTAATGTAAAACTACGGGTAAAGCTTACAGCATTGCGCTTGACTATATGTTTAGAAGTACAATATGTTGTTATAGTTACTAAGGTGCGCCTCATATAGGTAAGGCTTGCCTTGATCTGCAGGGATAGAATGAAAATGAGGTCTTTCGTGTCTAGATGTTGTTCATAATGCCGTAGATGAAGTGACAGTCGTGAATTATTTTGTCCACTTTGTTCGACGTCGTGTATGTCTGGTCATATATTGGCATTATGCTTGCAGTCTTGAAGCATAGATTGATCACTGTCTTGCTCCTAGCTCTGTCCAGAGCGACGTGCGGACTTCGTTTTGGTGGATTATCAGGTCCTGTCTACATATTCCATCCGAACAACGTCTAGGTCGTGCTGGTGGTGCTTCCACATGGAAAGTCGTAGCATTCCATCTCACCGTCTCCTTTGTAGCCAAGGCGACGATGAGTTGGCAGAATTTAAGGTCCGAAGAGCACATACCTGTTCGGTCGTTAAATTGGCTTGAATTACGCGCTCCAAGTATTACGAAGGAGTTATTAACGAGTGTTCCATTAGATCAAAAATTCATCCATACAGTATCTGCCATGCTTCCAAGCAACGTGATTCCTGAAGCCTCTGAGTAGTGACCAAACTATTCTACTGTATCTACAATCTGGAGCCGCACATTTATACACCGCTTTGTATTTGTGAACGACTTGCAGATGATGCTGGAGAACGTCACAGCTTACAAAACCATGTCCATATTCGCTACGCGGGCAACTTTGAAGCCTGCATAGAAAGGATTCGATGGGGTTGAACACGAGAGGTCTTCCACGTAATTAGTATGCGTGCATGCAGCTAGGTTCTAGTACGCACCTATAATCTAATCTAGGTGGCATCACATCTCCATGCCCCAATATTGATTGCGGGTCTTTTTATGACGACGGCGTTGTTGTGTGATAACAGCCTCGGCTACAACATTATCCACGCATCCTCCGTTGTAGCTGAGGTAGACTGTTCGGAAGCTAGTCCGTCCATGTACATATCTTCCCGGAGTTGGCTTGCAGAATAGTCTCCCACGCGCAAGTGTTGCGAACCATAATCATGCGAAGAATCGTAATGACGAGGTTGAGGGGTCTCTCTGAAGCTTGGGATAGGTTCATCATGCATCTCGATATCTAAAGTATCCGGACCAGGGTACTCTACAAGAAGCATCCTGTCCAGTCCAGTTGGAAAGGCACAATTTACGTTATGAGCAGCACGACAATGTATGCAGAAATATTTTCTACCGCGTCTGCGTAACCGTTTGCAGACTGCCTCAGCAGGAGGGCGAATACCAGGCTGTAAGTCTAACATCTGACATATGATATTACTGGCGGCGGCAAATGAACGATTGCAAGGTCTGTGATTTCGTAGTAGTGCAGTGACTTCTTCCAGGCATAGATGATACCATGTTGTTGTTTCTGGTAGACCACACAGTCCCAACGCTGAGTATAACTCGAAGAATACGCAACCGAGAGAGAAAATGTCAGATTTTGAGTTGCGTGGTGCGTACTCAGCGACTTCTGGGGCGCAATACCTTTTAGTCAATGCGTCAGGTCGACCTTCTGTGGTACTTCTAGCAGCGGTACTATGGTCAAAGGAGTATCCGAAATCGGTGTAAATGACCGTACCATTGTGAATGAGTATGTTTTGCGGTTTGATATCCTTATGCCTGACATTCTGAGTATGCATGAACTCCAGGCCGCTTGCGAGACAGCCGAATGCAGACTGTAAGATGCGCGTTTCAACGATAGTACAAGGTCTTTCTCGGACATCTTGGAGAAAAGTGTGAAGGTCGCCTCGACTCGCGACTGGACTGAGAATCAATCCCATGTCGCGTTTAGCGACGTATGTGGCGAAAACTTGGATGAAGTGGTGATGCGGTGCGAGGCGCCGAATGATCCTGATCTCGTTCTCAAACACACGTTCTCTCTCGCTCCTGGAGCCGCCTAATCGAAAGACCTTTCGGGCAAATACCGCACCTGTGCGTTGGTCTTTGACCATCTCCACATTTGCGCTATGTCCATGACCCAGGTTCTTCAGTAATGTATAGGGCAGCTCTTCGTCGTTTTCCAGGAGATAATCTTTCCCCTCTTCGATACTTATCATCCGTAGATGGTCGGCATTTTCGGCCATGCTGGCATTGTGTACGCAGTTTCGGGGCGACACGAGCGAGGCCGACGTTGTGCAACTGACGCTGTGCAACTGACGCTGTGCACCTATACCGTCAGCCAGCGCAGCGCAGTTGAACCTGTCCCATACCTAAGCGTTCACCCCTGGTCAGTCCTTGACGGTTATCTGAACTCCTAGAGTAACACAGGACGAGTTCCCTCCCGAAATCCGAAAGACCTTTGGTGGCCGAGTATCGGGTATATTATCGTACGGGTACCCTTGCGCTTGGGTCGCCGTGTTTGTTGTTTCGACGAGGGTTGGACTTTTGGAGATGATGGCCCAGATGCCTGTCAACCAGATAGATCGAAGTGCGTTGAGCAGCGTTCGAGTGTACAAGGCTCGCGAAGCCAAGACGCGTCGTTGAGGCTGAGGCCTGCAGGATAGGCTCGCCGACGATTGGCCCATCGCAAACCATAGGAGACAATGCAAAAGCGATAGCATTTAGATTGACGCAAGCGGCTTGAATAATAAGACGAAGTGCAGAAATGACAACCTACCAGTCTTGCGTACTTTGACGCGTCTTCACTTTGATAGAGCTTCTACAATGTGTGCTGCATTACTCGAGGGCCTGATAGTGATAGATACCGAAGTCTTGGAGAACCGTACCACCCCATATCAGGCAATGCCAAGTTTCGTACCACGCAATACTCAGGGAGCAAGTAACCTGATTTGTTTCGATAAGCAGTCGGAAATTTAGTGGTTAGTGCGAGATTCCCACGGTGGCTCTCGGTCAATTGTAGAAACGGGAAATACGCTGTGTTTTTTGTTGCTCTAAAAAGGTGCAAAACTACACTCACAGAATGAAAAAATACTAAGTTCTAGGCGTGCGATGATGGGAATTTAGGCATAAAACTCACTTATTGATCTTAGATGTAGTTGTTAAACTGTTGCAAGATTTCTTTGTTCCTCGCATTTCAACTGATGGAGTGTTGCTTCTGGAGCTACTTAGTAAGCTATAATGGCTAGCGCCGTGCCACTGCTCACACCAGGCGTTTCTTTCTCCAGCTATGTCGTTTCCGCAACGCCTCTGTCATGTTTCCACCATGGAAACCTCACGCGTGGGGGCTCTCGGCCCCTCCACCGGCGCAATCTTGCAGAGCCTTGCGGGATCTTTCGGATTGTCGGCTGAAAATTCCACATAGATAGCCCCGTGAGGCCTTCATTGACATGGACAAGCCTCACATCGTTCACTCCGTTTTCGCAAAGCTGTCGAAATCATGACCAAAGCCTCTGCCCTTGCGACGGCCCTCTGGCTTGCATTCGCCAGCAGCCCCAGTCATGCTGCTCCTTCAAACTCAACCATCCGATTTCAACATTGGCCCGCCAACGCGTCGGTGGCGCTCAGCACCATGATCTCGAAAAATGCCAATCAGAGCAACTATGCCGTCTTCGACATGGACAACACGAGCTACCGTTACGATATCGAGGAATCGCTCCTCCCTTTCTTAGAGAACCGGGGCATTCTGACGCGCGACAACCTGGATCCGACTCTCCAGTTGATTGAATTCAAGGACACCGCAAACTACACCGAGTCTCTCTACAGCTACTACGTCCGCCTATGCGAGGTTGACGACTTCATCTGCTACCCGTGGATCGCGCAGGTCTGGTCTGGCTTCACATTGCGGGAGCTGAAGGTCTACGTCGACGAGCTCATGGCATACAACACCACAATCCCTACCAAATACTGGGATGGTGATGAGGTGGTGACAGCCAGCGTCAACACGCCAAAGATCTTCCGCGGTCAAGTCGAGTTGTACAATGCGTTGATGGACAATGGCATCGATGTCTACGTTATAAGCGCATCATCGGAAGAACTCGTTAGAATGGTCGCATCGGACCCCAAATATGGATATAACGTCAAGCCAGAAAATGTCATTGGCGTGACGACGATGTTGAAGAACGCATCTTCGGGTGCACTTACAAATTCGCGGATGCAAATCGTCGCTGGCGACTACGACCAGGAAGCGAACCTTGATCTGGTTATGGGAACATATCTCTGGACGCCTGCGACATGGTATGCCGGAAAGTGGGCCGCGATTTTGACATACATTGATCAGTGGAAAAGGCCAGTCTTGGCTGCTGGCGATACTCCCGGAAGTGATTCGTACATGCTCTTCCATGGTGTGGACACTGCGAAGGGTGGTATTCACTTGTGGATCAACCGGAGGGATGCGTATTATGAGAGACTTCAAAAGGAAATGACTGATAACGCGGCGGCTCAGAGGGCAAATGGTAGGGAGGTCACTGCAGACAAGAACTGGGTCGTCGTCAAGCCAACGGATATCTTGTAGGAGGTAAAGAGGAGGCTTGGAGCAGGAGCTTAGAGTAGTCAAACTGTTGTCGCGAGTAATAGACTTGATAACGTGCTCGAGCGACTTCGTTGATCTAGTTGCGCGCGTTGATGCCCGTAAACAACTAGTTTGCTTACTAATAGCCGATCAGTGAGTTTCTCGAGGCCTCTTCTCTTGGATTATCTCACATCTGCATAACGATTACGAAGCATTCCACTTTTCCATACGATGTCCGCTAGCAGCCCGTTCGCTCGACGTGTGTCATTCGCGCAAGGAATAGCTCTCCGGGAGCCCGTCTGCATTTAGTGTGATGTAGTAGATTGCTAAGCAACCACATCGCAAAGAGGAGAGCACCCCATCGGACCCCTCTTCCATACGTATAAAGCTAGTTCTGATGTCACTACTACGACCCCTCATCTTCTCACAGCTTAAGTTTGCTTCTCGAAGCTCCATCCAAGCTCCCAAATACGTATTCAAAGCTCCATTCCACACAACCTTAACACGAAGACTACAAGTATTACCAGACATGGCCGACGACAGACCCACTGGACTGAAGGCAAGCAAGGGCATTGAGCTACTCACATGGGGCACACCCAATGGCTGGAAGGCTTCGATCCTTCTGGAGGAGTTGAAGGAGGCATATGGCACGGAGTACACATGGCAAGGGATCAACATCTCGCAAAACATCCAAAAGGAGCCGTGGTTCACCAAGCTCGGCCCTAATGGTCGCATCCCCGTCATTGTAGACCACGACCAGGGAGGCTTTGCGGTGCAGGAAGGTCTCGGTGAGTGAAGCATGTCCGTAGTCGAGAAAGCGACTAATTCGAATAGCAATCCTGGCCTACCTTACGCGCCATTACGACCCCGATCACAAGTTCAGCTTCGTCGACCCGCTCGACATTTCACGATCAGAGCAATGGATGAGCTGGCAGCATGGCGGGCTCGGTCCTATGCAGGGACAGGCGAACCATTTCAACCGTTTCGCAAAGGAGCGCATCGCATATGGCATGCAACGATACACGGGTGAGACAGAGCGCCTAGTCGGCGTCTTGGACAACCACCTCAAGGACAAGGAATATCTGGTCGGAAACAAGTTCAGCATCGCTGATATCGCGAACTTCGGATGGTGCAACATGCTACGCGTGAGCGGCATCGATCTGGAATCGTTCCCGAATGTCAAGGCGTGGACTGAACGTATTCTCGCTCGTCCCGCTGTTCAGCGGGGCATCGAGATCCCGTCCAAGTCTCCCTTTGGCAACGACACGTATCAGCAGAAGTTGAAGGATGACAAGGAGTTTGCGCAGAAGGAGGAGGAGCTGGCGAAGCAAATCAAGGACGCGAAGGAGCAGTATGGATACAAATACGCTTCTCCGTGAGCTGTTCATGCGCTTGCGCAGGTAGCGCGTGTTACATGGAGGAAATGCCGCTGTTAGCTTCAGCAATGTATTGTGAGCTTCCAAATTACTTCAGTCACGCGACATATCCCTCTCACATTGATCACGCTAAAGAAATTGTAACGCCTTGCAAAAGAAGACTTACGGTTTTTATGGCCGTCGAATCCACAACACTGATCAACTAAAGGGCGTGCTAGGCGTATACTGTCAGCAGTTCAGTAATAGACGAGCTGATGCAAACTTTTGCTGCTGTTTGGTTGGGCTCTTGCACTTACTGAAAGACGGCGTTGATGTTTGATCGTCGAGCTCTCTCGCCAGCCTCGAACATTTCGAGCGCTGTCAGCCAATCATAGAATCTCCGACCCCTGGCCTCACAGAAGGCCAACCAGGCGCCAATGACGGCAGCCAAGCGACCACAGATGTCACAGGTTGGGTCACACACACCATGAGAAGGGCACCAACGATGTGTTCTTGGACTCTTTGATCTGTGACACTTGAGTGGTGAGTCGCACACATTGCATTCCTCAGTCGCTGCGATTCACATATAATATCGTGCGTCTGCGACTGTTCCAATTCTCTAGTCCTCTTCACGTATTTTCTCTCTGCATATATCTTTCTCTTTCTCGTGTTTCAAACCTTGCATACCAGCCCCCACGCCTTCCTAAAGTTTTAGTGTCGATCTTTGACAGAACGAGCAACCCGTCCAACATAAACGACGTCATAGTCGCATCCCCTGTACGACAATCTAACGGTTGTTGACAACCTCTTAACGGCCGTTTGCTCGACGCGTTTACACAAGACAAGCTCTGCGTCACCGTTGTTTGCAGACACCGCTGGTCTACAGCTCTATTTTTCCCAAGAATACCATAAACACCACAACGCTCCCGCGATTTTACAAAAGCTCAAATCCGCATACCTACTGAAATTTACCTACAAACCCCAGATAATCATTTACTGTAAGTGTAACCCTTGCTCCAGTTTCTCCCCGCATCTACTAACCACGCCACAGCTCCTCCTCATGGCGTTCAGTTTCTCACCCAGAAAGCTGAAAGGCGAAAAGACCATGTTCGGCACAACTCTCCGCTCGCATCTCACCGTCGCGAACTTCTTCCGCTTCCTCCTCCGCTTCTTCCAGTTCGTTATGGGCATAACCGTCATCGCGCTGTATGCGCAGGATCTTGACAACGCGCGCAAACAAGGAAAATACGTCGACTCCAAGTGGGTGTGGGCCGTCGTATGCGGCACACTCGGTGCAGTCATGGCACTTGTGGGCTTGATGTCGTTTTGGTTCCTTGTCGTCGTCGACTTCCTTGTGTTCCTGTGCTATCTGATCGCCTTTGGAATTTTCGGGCGCATGTACATTCCCGAGAATGCTGAGGGGAACGGAGGGATCACGCGCATGAAGAACGCGGTGTGGGTGCTGCTTACGAATGTCCTTCTGTGGCTCATCACTTTGGTCTGGGGCGCGTTGTTGTTCTGGAAGCACAGGAAGGCACGGACTTCCCTCACTGGACGGGCAAATATGCACGTCTAGGTGTCCTCCTTCTTCCTTCCTTCACACGAGGGAGTGATTTTGGCTGACACGCGTTGGTTGTAGCCTGTTGTTGTCGATGTTGACTTCGACATATTCGACTGGAAGATTTCGGTTCATAGTCCGTGGAAACCACCGCCATCATCGCCATCACAACCAGAAGAGAAGCCAGCGTCTTCGCACAAATCCATAGCTCGAGTGTCGGTTCTAAACACCTTGCCGTCTTATTACCAGGGGCCTCCAACCTCATCGTCAACATCGGTAACGGCAGTGGATCCACCAAGCCAGCCAACTTCATCATCGAAATCCCCTTCACCAGCGCCCAAGTCGCTGATCCCCGCTCCCTTGCCAGCAAACTTCAAGATCAAACCACCAAAGCACACCGAAGATGTCTCACAACCCGTAGAGACCGCCAAAGCTCTAGCCCCAGCCTCATCCCCAGCCTCATCTCGAGCCTCATCCCCAGCCCCATTCCCAGTCGCCACATCCAATCTCCACCACCTCCAGGCCGCCCTCCAGATCGCCCAAGCCCGCTTGGCAAATGCATCTGCCAACCAGGAGCCGCTGAAGCAAGAGAACATTAGTATTCCGCCATCTGTCGTTCACAATAGTTCCTACTCGATTTTGTCTATGATACCCTTTCCCACGTTGAATACTGGGGCTACGAAGAAAGTTTAGCGTTGATTAATATGTTTTGTTGAGCAAGTACTTTTATACCACATGCAATGTTTTACTTCATCTTGCAATCATCTTCGGTGTTCAAGTGTACATGTGAAATGCCAGACTGAGATCAAAGTACATCGTACATACTATATTGACTGTAAGTGTACTTGCTAATCACCACGATATTACAGCATATTCCAAGCCTCTCGATCAGCTCTCTTTTCGGCCGTGGAGCTCTAACATACGGCCTACATTGATATCCGCGGCTGGATACGGCGTCTGTCAGATGATGCTCAACGCTGACTAATATCCTGCTCGAAATTAAGATCCGACTTTATCAAAATCCTGGGAGGAAGGAGCACATAACGCTCTGATTCACCGCCCAATTCCACACATATTTAACCACCAACCAGCCCCTGTTATCCACCTCCTAACAAAGCATAAGCAAGCAGACGTTCATTCACACATTTATCAACACCACTTCGACAACACACATCTCAACTCAAAACTCAACGACACTATGTCTCCCACTTCCACCCCCACGAAATTCGGCATCATCCTCTTTCCTGGCTTCCAACTCCTCGACGCAACCGGCCCCCTCGACGCCCTTAACCTCCTCGCAACCTCCCACCCCCTTACTCTAAGCATAATCGCCGAAACACTCACCCCAGTCTCGACGCGCACCGACCCGCAAACGATGGTAGGGAGTGTGTTTGCGCAAAGCATCGTACCGACGCATACTTTTAGCACTGCGCCACGGGATTTGGAGGTACTGATCCTGCCGGGAGGTTTGGGGACTCGGGACGGCTCGGCGATGGAGGCGGTTGTGGAGTTCTTGAGAGGGTATGGGATCGCGAAGTGGGGGAAAGGGGCGGACAAGGGGAAGTGGGTCGTTACGGTTTGTACGGGGAGCGAGGTGTTGGCTCGGACGGGTGTTTTGGATGGGAAGAGGGCGACGACGAATAAGAGAGGGTTTAATGGGGTGCGTTGATGATTCTTCCCCCCCCCCTACAGAGTCTGAAGTACTGACAATTGCATCAGATCAAAGCCACCCATCCATCTGTGCACTGGGTCCCCAAAGCACGCTGGGTCGTCGACGGCAACTTCTGGACGAGCTCGGGTATCAGCGCAGGGATTGATGTGGCGTTTGCGTGGATCGCGGCTGTGTACGGGGAAGATGTCGCGCAGGGTATCGCGGATCGGAGTGAGTATGAGAGGAACGTTGATGCTGGGGCGGACCGATTTGCCGAGCTGTGGGGGGCGGAGTAAATCCAAGAGGAGGTGGTTGGCCGGGAGATACTCATTCAAGTGGTATGAGAGGGGTCAATACATCTAATACCTTGAGGATACGAGGACGGCGAGTATGATTCGAAGTTCATATTTTGTTTCATAACAACCGAGATTGGGCGAACAAACGTAGAGACAGATGTACATCTTGAGAAGGTATGTTGTATTTCAAACAGTATCTATATACATCTTTTCACCCACACTGCAGTCTCTCTAGGAAGCAGGAATAACCCAAGGTTAGCTTTTCTGAGCCACTGATGTATTTTCAAGACAAGAAAAATCCAAGTGGGCAAGTTTGCCTTTGACAAACATGACATGTATGCATGGTAAACAACCGACCTCTTGTGTTCTGACACGATGATCTTTTAAACTATTCATTCACCGGGTCCAGATTCACCGCAACTATCTGTAAGCTCAACTACTATGCATCATCTCCTTCGATTCCATCAACTAACATCACCTTTCAAGGGCAGGTCGAAATCTATTGACAAACGCACGCACATTCCAATGCGCCCCTCTTGTCTATCAGCGTTTCGTAACATTGTTTTCAAGACATAAAAGGATGATTTCCACATTCACACACATCAACTGTAATGGCACGTCAGCACATCGTGTAGACCTGGGGACAAAAGATTGACAATCACAAAACCAGACAAGCCACTCCCTGCGTCGATCATTGTACCACCTCGCCTGCAATCTTAGTCGGCCGCAACAACTCACCGGACTATTCGCTTACCCCAGCAATCACCAACCTAGGTTTAGCGAAAATACCGTTACATTCAGAAATAGTCCAGATACGCCCATTTCATTCGTCGCACAGCCTCACGATGGGACCTTGCATCAAGCACCTGCCCAGACTTCTTGTTGAGTAGTACTGCCGTGTGCTGGGGCCGGGTCTTGAAGACCGCCTTAAAGGTGCTCCAGGCCTTGCACACTACTGAACTGCCTCTCCAGATGCCACCCGTTGCCCGTTGAACTTAAAACACCCCATATCGAAACGCCTTCCCCAACCGCACACGCCATGTCGCGCTCACGCACGCGACTACCCACCTCCGCCATCCTACTCTTCTCCCTAGCTACCCTCAGCTCAGCCAGCTTCTCGACCTCCCCGTCCGCTAGCTCCACTGCCTCCTCCAGCACACCCACCGCGTCGTCTACGGCGCGCCCGCGCTCCGGTGTCTCCCCCGGCTTGATCGCAGGAGCAGTACTCGGCGGCCTCGTCGGCATCGCGCTGATACTCTGCGGTATACTGCTACTCCTGCGCCGCAAGAAGAACAAGAGCAGGACTGCGGAAGTCTCTGGGAATGTCTACGGCGGAAATCATCAGTATGGTGCGCTGCCGCAGTCTGCGAGGGAGTTGCACAGCCATCGCACGGCGGAGATGTCGACTCCGCCGATGGAGATGGGGGCGCATAATTCGCCGAGGGAAATACCCTCTAGATATGTGCCTGGGTCGGGGCATTAGTGAGTGCGGCGAGGATGGGCTTGGTGTGGGGGCAAAAAAGTGTCGTGCCGTGGGGAGATGTTGGTGTGGGTTTTGGCGTTTGGCGTTGTATGCTGCGTTTTGATACCCTGAAGACTATCTAACCAAAGTTTTGAATAGGTGAAATGCGATGTGTAATCTGTATCGAGGCTTGATGATTGAAGAACGCTGGCGAACAGGTCGTTGTATGTGATCTGATCTTGTGTCCCAGATTCATTCAAGTGGGAACTCTCCCGAACTGTTTTGTGTGCTTCTTAGTTGTCTGTGTATGCGCTTATATATATGCCCTGTTTTACGCTCCGGTGGCGCTTGTATGATATGCAGACCCTACCAGAAAGATATGACTGGGTTTCAGTGTTCGGAGTCTGCTGTGGTCGGACTGCCAGTTGTGGTCTACATTCCGACGATTAGGTTTGTGATAATAATAAATGGTGTATGTAGACAAAGACAGAGTAACAGTATAAAACGGGAAGGTGACATTATTTGTCAAATTCAATGAACTAATGCTGAGTAAGTAGACTAGATATCATCACAAGAATAGATCGAATCCAAGTGCTGTCCAAGATGCAGACACTTCAAGCAAGAGAGCCCACCCCGGGACAAGTCTGCTAATTGTTACGCCAATGAACGCAATGCCATGCAATGATTCGCTGAACAAAAGGAATAAAACGAAAGAACATGCAGAAACTGAAGCTACCCATCACCACTCATCCACGTCGAAACGGTGCATGCGCAACTTTGCTTTCCTTCGGCGGGATATGATTATGCATATATTTCTTTGCCGTCCCAACCTTTCCCGGCTTCGCCACATCAACACAACATTGAGAGTCGTCGGAAGTCTCAGGGGTGCAGCACTCGATATTCCTCACACAACTCGACTTCATAACCTCGCGGATCGTGAGGCGCTTCGCTGGAAGAGGGTGCAGCATTTTCAACATCAACCGCTTGAGCGCGAGCGTATCAAGAGCATTGAACAACTTCCCGCACTTGGGGAGCGCCTCGTTGTTGGATACCGTGCCCTCGGGATGCTCAACAAGCCACGCATCCCAGCCCCGCTTGAAGCGTGCGTAGTACTCAAACTCCGGTTTCGCAGCCTGCCATGGACATCCGCCGAACGTCATGGTCAGGAAGACAATGGCGCACGACCAGATGTCCAGGGGTCGGGGGTCATATGCTTCTTTCTTCTCGAGGACTTCGGGCGCGATGTACGGTAAGGATCCGCAGACGCCAGGGGATGAGAGGCGGATGCGGCCCATATTTTTCCCACATTCGCCGCCAGAGGCGCGGAGACCGGGATGCTCGCCGCTGAAGACTTCTGCGACGCCGAAGTCAGAGATCTTGAGATGTCCATCTCTACTAAGCAGTAGATTTTCGAGCTTGATGTCGCGGTGCGCAATGCCGTGGCTATGCAGGTAGTCCACGCCGCGTAGGAGTTGCTTGAAGAAGCAGAGGCGGTCGTCGAGAGTATAAAACCCTTCGTCGCCATGGGCGAAGAGCTTGCGTTCCACGAGCGAGAAGACCTCGCCGTACGTGCAGAATTCCATGACATGATTCCAGTGGTCGTGGTTCGTGCATAAGCGTACGGTCTCGACAATATTAGGATGGTGCAGGCTCTTTGCAATGCTGTACTCGGATTTGATTTTCATGACGTAGTCTTCTTCTGTTTCCTCTGGGTCGCGCTCTCGGAAGATTTTGACGGCAACTAGTTCCTCGTCTCTGGCCGCTCCTCTGCGCGCCATTATGCGGACTTCGGCTGTGGCGCCCCTGCCCAGAACCTTTCCTTTCTTGCCAGGCATGAGACTCGAGCTCTTAAACTCCTTGTCCAGCTCGCACCAGTCTATGATGTACTGGTCTGGCAAGTGAAGGCTCAGTCGACGGGCTTTCATGCCCACACCTTTGTTGGCTGACTTGGAGAAGGTGTTCAACATGCCAACGTTGGGTCGATCTTCGTCTTCCTCGAGTCGAGGCACAAGTTCTGTGCTTGCTGGTCGTCGTAGCCACGAGTGTCTTTTCGTGCTCTTGCTGCCGCTTACGGCCCAGGTAATTCCAGTGCGTGGTTTGCCCATGCTTGATAGTGCTGTGGTTGACAAAGTATTCCTGCCAAGTCTCGGTCTCGCGTCTGGTGTTTGGTCTTCAGTTGAGGGGCTAGGAGAAGTTGATAATGGAGGGGAGTTTGCTCGAGAAGATCTGGCCGAACTTTTTGCGAGCGAGAATGCGCTGAGTCTTCGGCCTTGTTTCGGAACATCTAATGCTGACATTGGAATCACAATCGGTGTCTGTGTATTTGCGACTGTCTTCTCGGTTCCGGCCGAGGCCTTTGCGTCCTGGACATTTGCAGATTCCGCAGGGTCAGGGCTGCCTTTGTGTGATTGAATTCTTTGGAGCTTGCTGCGGACGAACGAGCTGACGCGACTCGCGAATCGGGGTTTCCCCGTTGGTGACTCTTGATGATCTTGCGAAGTGGCCACAGCATCTGAGGTTGTTGAGACAACTGGCAGGGGCTTGGACTGCATAGCGCTCACCATCGCGGGTTTTGGAGTCTCGTCTACAGAATCGTCGTGATACGAGATTGAGTCGTTCTCGATGGTGTGGCTTCTTGGAGTAAGTGGCTCGCCGAACTCGCTTGCAGTACTGATACTGTCATCCTCCTCTTCAGTTGGGTAACGGTACTCAGTCGTCTGTGAATCACGATTGGTCGAATGGCCAGAAAAGGTGAATTCACTGTCGAACAGACTCGGCGGGTTGGACCCTTTCGCGGCGGCTGAAGCCATGGTGAAGAGTAGACTATGTGTTGAATCGTGGTGGGCAAACGGCGTGTATGCTGAACGTCGATTGCCGAACGTAGAAGATATGGAAGGTTTGCTCGGAAAGTCACCAACGTGCACTACGCTCGTTGCAGTGAACTAGGCGCGTGATATAAAGCCACAAGAAAACTGCACGAATGCAGAGGTAAGATGTAGAGTAGCAGTGAAGAATTGTGAAAACGCTGCAGTAGTGAAGACATACACACTGCAGATGTATGTGTTGTATGAGTTTCAGAGACAAACAGAGAAGAATTGAGAGCAAGGGAAGATATTGACGGGCGCTGGATGGATTGTGTGTTTGCGAAAACGTGGTTGGCTGTAAGCAGGGGAGAACAGTGGAGTAGAAACTGACGTCTTTCGGTCCGCCTCATTCCCAGAGGATGCAGGAACTTGGGCGCTGACGACGGTGATAAGCCAGACAGCCTTGTGAAGAACCGGGACGAGAGCGAATATGTAGGATTACAAAATATGCCACACCGAGTGGGCGTGGGCAGACGATGCTTCCGCTAGTCCCACATTTATTAGCGCACCAGGTGCAGATCGAATGTGGAAGGGTCCAGCCTCTTGGTCAACTGTAAACGCGGGAAGTAAGCTGCATTCTTTGGGGCTTCCACAAGGTGCAAAACTACATTAGTAGAATTTTAAAATGTCTACGTAAGGCGCATACAGGTGAAAGCTTATGCATAAGATTCCTATACTAACGTAGTTGTAATTGTCAAGCTGTTGCGTGACGTCGCTGCACCTTGGTTCCTGGTACTTCGATTAACTAACAGCCAGCTTCCCTTCCACCCCGGACCCCACAACAAACTTTGCAAGCAGAGGCCCTCGAAAACGATCGCATCTCATGGGATGCTTGGCAGCCTGAGCACAGCTCAATTCCCTCCGCACAAGGCCAAACAGGGAACATTACTCACCTGTCCTCGTGTGACATGACCTCGAGCCGTCCATCTCACCCGCGACACTCTATTCAGAAACGCAGCACGTCTCTCCCCCTCACGGTGAGACCAACCACAAAGCGTGCAGCTGCACTTCCTAGAGCAGATAAATCCCGCAAACGCCTCTCATCACCGAACATGATGCTGCACGTCTACTCCAGCTTGTGGCGTTGTGATGGGAGCTTGGCTGTCGGTTTGCCGCTTAAAGCGACGACCCCCACGCTCGGTCTTTGACTACCGGTACCTTTCTCGACAAGATTACATCCACCAAGCAAGATCCTCCAGATCCCCACAAGGCTACAGACGTCACGAACATTTACTTGTTCTTGGGGAAGCACGTCAACTGTTCACCGATTCTTGTTATTCCCACAGCACTTGGAGTCCCCACGCTCGTATTACGGCATGCAACCTGCAGCTCTCTGCATCTCTGTCATGGATGCGGTAGAGCGGGCGAGCACACGGACACGTACACGGGATTACTAATTTGGGACTCGCGCCGTAATACCCCAGATTCGCATTTGCACGGCCAAGAGCCTCATCAACGTTGTGCTCGCTCATACGTGCTGCAGCCGTATCGATCCATTCCAGCGGGAACAACAATACACGCAAGAGCAACGCCAAAACGTTTCATCTCATCAGTGCTTCATTTCTTCTGACTCTTGACACACCCATGCGCCTTGGCTGTCCACATCTGGATACACCCATTCAAGTGATCGTCATTGATCTCCTATCTGTGGGTGATCCCACAACTGTGCACGCAACCAACGCCTTGTGGAGCGGTCCCACAAGTACGTGGCATGAAACGTTCCATGCCTTCGTAACTGCAGACGCGTCCCACAATGATGATGTATTCATCTCCACATACTTCGCCTTTGGCATCTGGAGGGATTCTTGGCAACGTTGGTTATTGTGTTCCGCGCTTGGCAATTAAGCATCGGTTCCACCACCTACCACTTTGATCCATAATCATTCAGGAGATTGATGAAAACGATGCTCAATCAACTGGGTGCAGATCATATATTGCTATTCTAAGTCGCCAAAGCCTGAGCAATAAATGTCGAGGACACATCGAGTGCTGGGCACTGGGTACGCTAGTCAACTTTGAAGTCTCCTGATGCAGCCTTGCTGACACTCATACAGGCGCGATTGCATAGCAACTACCCCCTCTACTTGGGCTATTGGACCAACCAACGACTCGGCCTCTCCGAACCATCTTCACACCAAAGACTGAACTATAGCTCGTTGTATGGCGGCAAGGATCACCTTGGCAGTCAGAGAACTGAAAAACGCAAAGAAGCTTTTCCCCACAAGAGGCTCTGCTTCACGGAGCTAAGCGGTCGATCCCATCAGAACTGTTCCATCTTCCAAGTCCTGAATCGCGCCAAGAGGGAGCATCTCCTTGGCGGGGAAGTGCGTACGACGACGAATTTCCTTTGTGGAATTCACCCGCTCCGCTGGGCGGTAGATGTCTTGGCCTATCTGATCAAGGTGCTAAGGTGCGACGGGATTTACCTTGACCTACAACAAAGGGGGGTTGACAGTGTAGCATCGCTTCCCCGCACTACTCTATAGAGTTGATACCACGGAACTCTATAGAGAATCAGGACGAGCTAGCACGCCTCCCGCAACTCACAGCGGAAGCACGTGCGGATCGGCCGCCTTGTGGACCCCTTTCGGCCTTGCAAGTCGCTCTCCTCTCCAAGCGTTTGGCCAATCAGCCGCTCGATACTGCTCTGCTAAGAATGAAATAACCTGTTGCACCCAGAACCATATCATTACTCGCAACATCACTAACTTGCCAATATCCCCAATCTCAACCCTTGGGCCCAATGTGGAACGCTAGGAAATGTCGTCGCGGATAGGTGTTGGGCCATGAGGGATTTGGCCAGTAGAGGGGACACACGATCGACCATGCCTACGGATCGGCACAATCCGAGGTTTACCCCGTCCCACGACACGACATGACACGTAAGAGCTCCATACCTAAGATAGATCGATGGCCGATCGTGTGCAGAAGAAGGCATTGCTGTGAATGAGGGTGTAGACAGCCGACCCAATGTCTCTAGTGAAAGACACTTGATAACGCGAGTGTGTGCACCGTCTCGTCGCGGTATCCGCTCAGCCAACCACCTTTCCTCGACGTTATCTGCATATCGACAGAGGCTTTGAAGGTCCCGCTTACTGCGAGTTGCTAGGAACAGAACGCCACCCGTGAATTGGCAGTGTGCTTGTGGTGTACTTTGTACTCAGGTTGCGGCATTGCTGAATAAATGTACATGCTCGCTCTGCAGGCCCGCCGGCTCCTGACACTGTGTAGATTCGTCTCAGTGTTGCTAAGTTATACGGCAACGATAGTACTGACGGTAGTCATGTACACCACAGCAACCAGCAGCACATTGAGAACGAAACATGCCTTCTGCTCCACGACCTGCATTTGAACATACTAAAACTGTGCAGACATTCTACCAACACATAGTCTACAAAACGAACAACACATATGTGGCTTCAATAAACCCACAAATCACCACATCTCCCACACCCCACTCGGCAACACAGTCCTCATAATCCGCCAATGGCTCACAGCACCCTGCTCATGGAACTTCTCCAACTCGCCCACATCCCCACGTCCCATGACCTGATCCCCAGACTCATACGAATACTTGACCTCCAGCTCCGGCCGCGGCTGCAAGAAATTCTGGCGCGCAATGCTGCCCAAAAAGTCCTCTCGAACCGCGCGACGAAAAGTAATCGGCGGGGTGCCGATCTTCTTCGTGCCGTGGGGTCCACGCGTAGGCATGTTGCGCGGCATCTTGACGCAGAAAATCACCATGTTGATGAAGTCCGGGTCTCCTGGCTTTGCGCCCTCGTTGGGCGGCGAGTCGCGGAAGAGGCGGCAGGCGGGGAACACGGCGTGGATGGTGTTGAGGACGAGTTTTGTGCTGCCGAGCGTCAGGTCGCCGGCGTAGTTTATCGCCACGACGCCGTCGAGCGTGAGCAGGTCGGAGAGGCCCTGCATGAACTCTGTGGTGAAGAGCGCGGCGGGCTCGGCGCCGCCGGTGAAGACGTCGTGGATTATGTAGTCGTAGGACGCGGGGTGGGAGACGGAAGTTTCTGCTACGAAGGCGACGGCGTCGGATAGCACGGCGTTGTGGTTGGGCGAGAGGTTGAAGTATTCCGTTGCGTACTCGTGGACGGCGGGGTCGAGCTCGACGATTGTCGTGTTGATTCCGTGGCCGATCATGGCGTTGGGTGCTGTGCCGATCCCCAGCCCGATGTTCAGCGCCTTCTTCTTGTTGTCTGGAATCACGGGCATAGAGGTCGGCGGCTCCACGAGACGAACAGCCTCCAGCAAAACGAAAACAGCGAATATCGTCTCTTGCTGGCGCTGGCCTTTTGAATATGCGGACGGAGTCACGAGCCATTCACCGCCGAGGAGCGAGTGATCGCAGCGCAGAAGACGGAATGCATTGTCGGCAGAGTTCTCGAGCACGGAAACGTAGCCCGTTATGGATTCCTGGCGTGCAAGAACGGTGTAGTTTTGCGTTGCGGACAGCGTCGCGTTTGCGCGTTGCAGAGCGTAGGAGGAGGGGGAATGCGGGTTCAGCGTCAACGTGTGGAGAAGGGCAGGCACAGCGAGGAGAATGGTGAGCGAAGGGGTCAGGAGGGCAGAGGCAGATGCGATGAGGGTCTGCAGGCCGATACGCGTCAAGTATACGCGGGAGCCGATGACACCCGGTAGTGTTGCGCCGGCGAGTTTGGCCACGCTGGACACGGTGAAATAGGACGCCGCTGGGATGGCGAGCTCACCCAATGCGGGTGGGAGGTTGAAGCGTGACGGGTCGATGGAGTCGAGCAGACCTCCCGCAGCGTATACTGACAGGAACAGCAGCGGGAAATAGGTAAGCGATTCGATGACCAGAGGCCCGTATTCGATGCTGAGCGTGCTGCTGTGGGGGAACAAAAGACATTGGATGACCGGGGTCCAGAAGGCGATCACGGCGATGTATACGGCATTGCGTGTAGATATGTATCTCCTCAGCGCTCGCCGGTTTACCAGGGCTGCGATGACGGTGAATGTCGTGGCCCACTTGTGGTGCAACGACGCCGGAATAGATCCATAGACGGGAGATAAGTTGAGCTGCGAGACTGGAGAGGCGATGCCGGCAATGACTAGAAGTGCTGCTGCTCGTCCGGCGTTCTTGAGGAGCGTTGAGGCGGGGAGTGGTTGTTTCTCGGCTGCCTTTGGTTTCTCTACCTCCTTGGTTGCCTTGGGCTTCTTGGGTGTCTTTTGTTTTGAAGACATGTTTGCCAATACCAAATACTAGCTCTTTCTTGAATGCGTTTCTATTCTCTGATATATATCTAAATCCAGGGTATTCTAGCATCCAAATCGCGTCGTGTGCCGAGTCCAAATTCAATAAGAACAGATGTCTTGCGCGTAAAGATGTATTAGCTCTCTCAACTGCGGACCGCAAAGCCGAGATAGACAATCAATTCGACCTGCGAATAGACGAGGGATGACTGCTGAAAAGGCAAGAAAGGAAGAAAAGACAGAAAAAGTAGTCAAGGGAACGAACGATTGACAAGGACAGATGTTTGATGCATACTTGAAACATGCGAGTCAGGGTGGTGTGGATCGTGCTGGACGCGATCTAGGAAGACGCGGGACCCGACCGAGCTTGCGGCGTCATCGTCAACCGTCGCCAACACCAACATCACCCACCAACTCACGCACTCAGAACCTGGTCGACATCTCCAACCCGCCAGGAGCATGCCCTATCTGACCGCCCCGCCCACCATGGCACCGCTCACCCTGCGCCCCGCAAACGCGCGCATCACAGACGCCCAGAGCCCCGACTCCACCAAGCCGCCACACATCGACGAAGACACACCCATGACCATCTCAGGTGGTCTCTCCCGCCCAACGACACCCCCCCGCTCTTCCCCACAAACCCGCAACCTCACCGCCAAAAACAGACGAAAACGCTACCTCGAACTCAACCCCTCATACTTCACCGACCCCTCCCTCGAGCTCGCCGACCCCCTCCTCTACGACCGCCTAATCCGGCGCTTCCAAACCGCCTCGGAGCGCGAAACCGAAGGCCGCCTAAAAGGCTTCTCAGGCCAAATGGCCACGGACCTGTGGCGCGCCGAAGCCAAGAAAGACGCCCTCGCCCAGCCCAACCCCAACTCCCTGTTCATATACAACCGCGGGCCGCAGGGCCAGATCGTCGAGGAGGATAAAGATGAGGTTCCTATGACGCGGGAGGAGGGGCGCGCGTGGTGGGTTGATGAGATGACGCAGCGGTTTTTGAGGGGGGAGGATGGCGACTTCGAGTATAAGAATGTGGATGGGAAGTGGGAGTTTGATGATCCTGAGGAGGAGCGGGATGTGCAGGATAGGTGGTTTGAGAGTATGGAGAGTGATTTTGATAGCGAGGGGGAGGGGAGGGAGAAGGTTTTAATGGGGGAGACGGGTGTGCAGGACTATTGAGGGAGTGGTTGAGGTTCGAGGACCTGGCTTGCCACCGAGGCAGTGTGGTTTGAACACACTGTTTGGAGAAACTTGAGAGTTCGAATGCCGTCTTCATGGATCTCCATCTCTACAGCTGAGGACCACGGCCATGGCTCTTCAACCGCGCTACAACTCGTACACAGGACAATATCCCACTTGTGGCTTGGGCCTACACGACATCACTCGACTGAGCATCCTGTCACCCGGGACGCACTGTTCGTCTGAAACAATTTGACTTGAATCATACACGGAAGTATCGAGTAAGTAGCTGTGTTTGGAAACATCTTCGTCACACTGTCAACTGATATCTAGCAGACTTCCCACAGCTTACCTTGCTCGAAACCTAGTGTACTCGCCATCTGTTTCACGTAATACTTCTACTCGGAATCCGCATATACAGACTTTACATGCCAAAACTAGAGCAATGCAGATGAACCCTGCGTATCGACTAGCTGGCCACCAGCCCCTGTATCATCATGGTCTGCTTCACCCACTTTATCAAAAAGATTATCAAGCGACGAATGGCCCTCCCTCAAATCTTTCCGATCCTCGACCGCCCGCGGCGACGACGGCAATGTCAAGATCGGAGATCCGACTGGAAACATGAATAGTGTTGGGTTACCAGGCATAATGACTGGTTGAGGCGTGCTGGTGGCATGCGATGGGTACGGTTTACTACTTTCGCGGATGTTTCTTGGGTCTCTCTTCCTGCTCTCGAATGCGCTGTATCTTGCAGATCTGAGAAACATTCCGCGGTTGGGTAGTTGCGTATCGTAACCAGATTTCACAAGTATCGCCACTCAGTCTACTTCATCTGCGATCAATAATAGACGTGCATGTTCTTCTTTTACGAACGAGCGTCCAAACACGCCGTCGCATCGTATCAGCTGAGCGTGGGAAGCGAGCCAAGAAAGATCATCACGACATCACAAGCAACAGTGGATTAACCTTTGCGTGCTACAGTTATCAGATCGACCTTCCTCTTTCGTGTCGCATCGCTGCTTGTCGGTGGATCTCCTGTCCTCTCAACGGCGGTTGATTCGACAGTCGACGCACACATCATCTGTTCCCTGCAATGGCGACATCGACAACATGATGGAGATTTTGTCGCGATGTAACCACTGCTTACGATCAAACCTTAGTGGAAGACATATATTCCTAATATGCACCGCGTATAAAATGTCGCGCCGTGTCGCAACGACATCCCGTTTTGCTGTGAATTCCACCCCGGTTCGTTTCTGTGTCCACCTACATAGATAGCATGGCGACCTCCGACTCGGCCAAACGACCCTCTATCGAAGACGTGGGCCTTCCAACCTCCAATCCTTCATCCACACACGATGTCGAGCGAAAATGGTACCGGTCCTCGCTCTTCAACGCCTTCGTCATCGGCGGCGTCGGATTCATGGCCCCTGGACTCTGGAACGCGATGAATGACCTCGGCGCAGGAGGAGCACTGGACCCTTTTCTCGTGAACGCCGCGAACGCACTTGTATTCGGCCTGATGGGTTTCCTGTGTCTCTTCGGTGGACCGATCGCGAACCGCATCGGCCTTGCGAACACACTCCTACTGGGCGCGGTTGGATATCCCCTGTACTCCGCTGGCCTGTATACCAACAACCGCTACAACAACACGTGGTTTGTCCTCGTCGGCGCAGTCGCCTGCGGCATCAGCGCAGGCCTCTTCTGGGTCGCCGAAGGCACCGTCGCCCTCGGCTACCCCGAGCCCGGCAAGCGAGGAAAATACATGAACATCTGGCTATGGTTCCGCACCGGCGGGCCCCTCGTCGGCGGCGCCATAGTCCTCGCGCTCAACCACGCCGCCGGCGCAAAGAAAAAAGGAAAAGTCGGCTACCAAACCTACCTCGTCTTCATCGCACTACAATGCATCGCCTGCCCGCTCGCGCTCGCCCTCTCCCCCCCAGAAAAAGTCCAACGCGCCGACGGCTCAAGAGTCGTAATCAAAGCCGAAAAGTCCCTAAAAGCAGAATTCCACGCCCTCTGGCAAGTCTCAAAGCGAAAAGATATCCTGCTCCTCCTCCCCGTCTTCTACGCTGCCTACTTCAACCAATACACCGGTAACTTCAAAACATACTACTTCGGCGTGCGCGCCCGCGCCCTTATCGGCCTGGTCGCGAATTTCGGCACCCTGCTGTCTTCCCAGCTCATGAGCACGCTGCTCGACGCTAAGCGCCTGCCCGTTAAGAGGCGCATCACCCTCGGCTTCTACTACGTCATCTTGCTGCACATACTCGCGTGGACGTATGGGTGGGTCGTGCAAGAGAAATTCACACGCACAAGCCCGTCGATGGACTGGGAGGACGCGGGGTTCACGGAGGGTTTCTTCGTGCTGATTCTGTGGGACTTTGCGCGCCAGGCACTGCAGAATTGGCTGTATTATCTGCTGGCTACGAAAACAGATAATATCTCCGAACTCAGTCGTTTCTCCGGGATTTTGCGCGGCCAGGAGTCGTTTGGACAGGCGGTTGCGTTTGGGCTGAATACGAGGAAGTGGAAGGGTGGGAGGGTGCCGCTGGGGATTAATACTGCGCTGCTTGGTATGTATCGCTCACCCCCTCTCGTTGAGGGTGCTTTTTGGGCATGGAGCTAACTTGTGGAAGTCCTGGCTGTGTATCCGACGTGGCTTGTGGTGCGCGATCACGTCCCCATCGAAGCGGCAGATGTGTCGAAGGATGCGGCGCTGGGGGAGGTGCCGCTGGAAGAGCAGATTGTCACGCTGGATGAGAAGGAGAAGTACGCTGGTAAGGCGGGGATGGGGAGGGATGCTACGATTTAAGTTTGCTGCTTGGTTTGCGTTGGGCATGTAGGCGTGAATATAGTCTGCGGAACATGATGCGGTGTGCATTTCAGGACATGACACGTACATGGTGATGTTAAAGACACGACATGCTTCCAAGTCACCCATCGCTGAAAACAAAACTTTGCTTTCGGGCATTCACTGCGAATCGCGTGTGAAATATCGAGACACGGTAATCATGTCCCAATAGGCATTGAAAGAAAAAAACATGAGATTGAGGGGAGTAACTCTACCCAAACCCATCCCATGACACCCAATACCTACTATGCCCATCCGTCCAAAACCGGGGTATATACCAACATCCCAAACACACCCTCACCTCACGGTACAGCAGCCACCCCGACCTTCGCCTCAGGCGTCTTGATCAACGGAACCCGCATCATACGGCGCCCATCCCTCTCCGACTCGCCACTCGTAATCAGCGGCGGAATTTCCATTCGACTCCTCCTTCCGAACCCTGCTCTAACGCCCTGTGCCGATCTCAAATCAACAGCCGAGTCAATCCCCAAGCCCAAGCCCTGGACCCGCATCTCCAAGTCCTGCACGTCCTGCTCGCCTCGCGCCTTGATACCGTGTTTGCTATGCTTGCTGACGTGCGATAGTTGCTCCGCAGAACCAGGCAGGTAGATGCGTTTGGCGCCGAGTGTGCGCTTGATGTCTTCGAGCAGGACTTCCATGGGGCAGATGTATGCGATGTGATTGCGCGCGCACCAAGCTAGCACATGGCCGACAACGGCATGAGTGCCGTTCTGAACAACCCAAGCGCCGGAGTCGCCGCCCATGCCGAATCCGCCGAAAACCTGCCAGCTCTTGGAGAAGGTCTTGCGCTTGTAGATGCGCACTGCACTCATAGCGTGGCCGATCATACCGCCCTGCAGCCCGGTTGTGCGCCCGAAACAGTGCACATTCATGCCGCCGAGAGACTCCTGGCTGGCGATGCCGTTGGGATATTCGTCTTCCTCTGGGGCGTAGTGGCGCCGGTTGATGGGGGCCTCGAGCTTCGCCGAAATCATGTGCTGATCCAATCCCATTGGCTTGAAGCAGAATCGTCGTCCTCCTTGGACGAGGTTGTATGGTTGTAGACGGTTCTCGTTGAGCTTCAGCAGAGCCCAGTCGATTTCGTGCTTGTTGCCATCACGTTCCATGCGGCGGATACCAGACGATGCGTAGACGTGGCCTAGTTCATGAGAGTCCAGATGATCTTCGTCGCGATCCTCTTCGTTGGGGAAAAAGTCGTCTTCAACATCGTCGAGGGCTGGTTGCGTGATCTTGATCTCTTCGCCCTCTTCCAGCCCAATACCAGGAAGGTCGCCTCGTGTGTCTTGAGAGGTCGTTGAGTCAGCCATGGCTTCGGAATCCGAGTCATCGTCCGAGTAGAACTCTGCCTCGGAAGTGTCTTCGTCGTCGGAAAGTTCCAGATCCATCGACCAGGGAGAGTCCGAATCGAGATCGACACCAGGCTGAACACCCATGCTCATGAGATATGAATCGTTCCTACCAGTGGCACTTGAAAGCATCACATTGTTCGCATGAGAGCTGGCAATTTCATCATCGCTCTCGCTCTCATCATCCGAAGGTGCGTCCAGCATATGATGCACGCTCATACCCAGTGGCTCATCGTCGACAAGGATGACACCACCATACGAGACTGGGGGTAGATGTTTCTCCCGGCAAAACGCGCCGATAGATGCGCCACACAGCGGTCGCTGTTGATGCCAAGGGTTCATGACGGCCATATCACCGCTGTAAGTATCGGTATTCATCATTGAACGGTGAGGAGGTCGTGTCTGGCGGGAAGATCGGCTGGCTTTGGAACGTCGAATCTTTCCACGACGCACCTTGAGGTCGAACACGTTTTCATCATAGCGGAAGCGGCGATTGAGGATGGCCTTGATCTTGGCGACGCTGCTACATGTAACGAAGATGGTAGGGCGAGCCTTTTCCTGGGTTTCGCCGACAGCGACAAGGTCGATACTGATCGTCTCGTCCGAGTCTTTGAGAGCGCGTTCGATGAGGCGCTCGAGGCGAGGGAGCATAGTTGCGTGCCACTCATCAACGATAGCAGGCGCAAACTTAACAGGGAACAGGCGAAGCTTTGGACGTGGAGCTTGATCCATATCGGTCTGTATTTGAATCGACGACGTTATGCTTCTGTTGGTCTGCTCGACGGTTTCAACGGGATGGACCTCAGGTTCTGGGGTTGGATAACCAAGCACAGCTTGCGGCCAGTGGCGGATGCCATCGGTAAAGAGAGCTTCGATGGTGTTGGTTCGCTTTTGCTTGCTTTGTCGCCAAGCTTTCTGAATGACTGTAATCTTTTGTTTGTAATCCTTCAATGTCAAAGCGTGACATGAATCTTCTCTTGATGACTCTGCTCTCGACGCCCGCCATGCGCGTTGGATCACAGATGCCGCCGTGACTACCTTTTCTCTGTAAATTGACGACGTATCACTTTGGTCTTGTGAATTTGAGGGAGCCGCGATAAGAGTGCCTCCCGAGTCTTCGAGTGGTTCACGCGCATGCGCCCAATCTATTGGTGCTGAATGCTCCTCCTTGGGACTCATCAATCGTAGGCTTTCCGATATTGACTTCCGGATATAGTTTTGTGAGCCTCGCGACGGATGGCGTGACAACGTTGACGGATCTGGCGACTTCTTTGACAAGGATTTCGTCCTTTCGAGCGCCTGAGAACCCTTTTCTAGCGCCCATCTTTTTGCGCTCCTGTACGAAGGACTGGAAGAAAGATCTGCAATATGAGGCTGACTCACGCTTTTTCGCTTTAGCGGAGCTGCGCTTGTGACAGGCGTAGGACCGGGACGATGTTCAGTTGCTTCGGGACCTGTTTCTGACTCATCGAGCATGCAGCATCGTTGAAGCCTGATCAGTATTCGGTTGTAGAGCTGCGCAAGATCTTGCACCCCCTCAGCACCCGATTGGATTCGATCGGCTGCCCAAAAACAGTCACGCACAACGTGCATGTACGCAGTCCCACACTTAGAGGCTAGGCGACGAATATACACCTCTTCCACGCGTTGTTTGAAGTCAGACAAAGTGTACTTGGGTTTCCACAAGTCTGCGAGGGGTTGCCACAGACCAACCTCCAGGAGGATCAGGCCAAGACTGTACAGATCAAATTGGGGACCGTATGGCCTAGCTTTGTCCCCAGTGCACTTAGGGTCCTCCGGATGACGATATATATTGAGGGTTGGCATCGTGCTGCGAACCTCAATGTCGTGTTCGGAGAAGAGATCGAATGAACAGACCACGGGTGCTCGCAGTGCGTACTGCAATGCTCGGCTGTTGGCGGATTGTCGCTTGTTCTTTCGGAACACGAGGATGTTGCTACTGTTGAGGTCTTTGTGCACGAAGTTATCCCCGTGTATCTTGCTGAACGTGAGACCAAGCGTGAAAGCAAGGCGGAAGCGATCTTCCAAGGGTGGTGTGGCGCTGTTAGAGCTGTGCAATGATTTGGAACCTGTCTGTAATACGCTGAGTAGTGTGACAGGTCGCAGCTCCTCTGCCGACTTGTGCACGTCGGCCTCAGAGTAGGTAGACGATGGGAGTTCAAACACAATGCCGAACCGGGGCTCTCTCGGATCTTCAAAGTAGCCCAGACACTTGAGCGTTCCCTGAAAGGGCTGGTCGTTTGATAGCTTTGTCAGTATCGCCAGAAGATTGTCCAAACGGTTTGTAGGCGGAAGGACTTTGTTGAAGCGGTAAGTCGGGTCATATGTGGCGTATTCGACCAGAACAGGCGTATCGACCACACGATTCCCATCGGTCTTCCAAGGATTCGTCGAAGTACGGCGCAAGCGAAGTTGGCCAATCACGCGGATGGAAGACGAGCCCACACTTTCGTACGGTGGTGGCTCTTCTTCTGGTAGGATCAGATCTGCTGGATTCAGCTTGGGCGGAAGATGTGGGTGGGAGGCGACGTTTGGCACATGTGGGTTCAGCGGGAAAGTCGCAGGGTTGACGAGGGTGAGGTCAGAGGCGCTGTAGGCTGTTGAGAGGAACACTGGAGTCGAGGTGGAAGGTCGCGGAGGTTCCGGAACAGACTTGCTTGAGATATGGCCACGTTCGTTTGCGCGTTGCATCCGGCGTGTTCTGGAAAGGTCGTAGAGGATATCGATGGAAGTGGTGAGGTCCTGGATGAGGTCCTCGTAACGTGACCTGTCGCCGGCCGCCCACGAGGGTGGGTCAGACGCAGCCAGCCGCCTCTTCTCTTCTGACAAAGTCTTTCCAGGCGCAGGCACTACAGCCGGGTGCATTATCTCGGCCTCATCCAGAATCTCCTTGATGGTGCCAAGAACGCTCGCGACCGTCTCCGTCAGACCGGCCTGCTCCACGCTCTCGTCGATGTCGCCATGCTTGCCCTTGGAGTTGTCGCTCCAGTCGACGCCCCATGCTATGTACCGGTCCTTCTGGATCCTGAATTTGCGGTGTAGAGCAGAGGATTCGGGTTGCGTGTCGCGCGTGTCCTGCTCGACCACGGCGTCGCAGGACGTCTTGGTGTCGGAGTAAAGCTGGGTGAGGCGCCGCGGAAGCCTGCTGATGGTCTCCATGTTTCAATACGTGCGGTCGGACGAAGAGCTAGGTGTGCAGCTGCGTTAGGGGGCCTGTATATGAATAGACATGGAGAACAAAGACACAGCGACTGCCTTGAGCGTCGTCGGCATGGCGTTGGGGTTGCATATAATCCATGGGGTTCACTTCGTTGATGCCTAGTCCCCACCACCGATCGCCCTTTCCGCAAGCGCTGCGCCACCGCTAGGTAATCACAACACCCCCCAAACATCCTCTCACATGCGACTTCTCCGTCTGCAACCACTACCACAGCTGCGCCTCCAGGCTTCAGCTTTACTTGGAGGGAGACCAAACTTTCGCTCGCAAGTGAGGGATAGAGGCTCTCGGTCAACTGTAAAAGCAGGAAGTCAGCTACATCTTTTGTGTCTCTTATAGGCCGCGCTAGGCAAATACTGCTAGGAATTCTGGCGCAAGACTTATACACCAAACCTAGTTGTAGTCGTTTAGCTGTTGCATGATTTAGCTGTACCTCGGTTCCTGGTATTTCGATTGACCGAGAGACGCTTGTGGCAGTGCAGATTACGCTACTTGGCGTGCAACACGATCTGGTGACGTGTGTTGCGTGTGAGGTCCAACAACATCGCATCAGCAGCTTTGGCCCGGAGATGAAACATGTCCAAGGATGTCATTGACTTATGTGCGACAATCTGTCATAGGACTACGATACCCGACGGACAAGGTATGGAACTGACTTCGCGGGTAAGCGACTCTCATAGGTCCTCGTCATCGTATAGTCAACTTGCGTCAAAAGATGTGTTTATTCGTTCTCTAAATCCCTCCTCCGCTTAACAATTTGAATGCGTTAATCACGCCTATGACCTCCTTGTCCAGCCCAAAGTTTTCGGCCAGATATTGACCCTCGGCCATCCTTCGCATCTTAATCTTCTTCCGCGTCTGCGATTTCGCCGCGTGTCGAATACTCTTGCAAATACCCTCGCCTGGGTACGCCACTATCCCGATCGCCGCAGATGTGGTCTTCGTCGCGAACCCTACTGTGCCCTTCCCGACCCCCTTCACGAAACCCAAAACGCCTTCCTCTTTTGCGTCTTGATATGGTCGTTTGAAGAGATCGGAGACTCCGTCAACCATACCGTGTGCAAAGTTCTTCCCCGCAACCTCAAAACCGCTGCTCCAGTCCTTCACCTCGCCATGGTTCTGGACTTCTTCACCGTAAAGCTTTGGAATCGCGCGGAAGCCTTCTGCTGCCGCGAATGGAATATCGACTATGGTTCCTTTGAAAAAAGCCTTATTGAATTTACCGAACCCTTTAGCCGTAGCAGCAGCCATCTTTCCAGCAACCACTGTTGACTTTGAATTTTCCGAGGACGAGCGTTTCAGCTCAACATACGGGTCGAGAAACATGCCCGTCGTTGCGTTTGTCATGTTTGACACAACAGACACCGATGCCGAACTGGTGCTCGTGATTGGATCCCAGCGGTTGTTCTGGATGGACGTAGAATACGTTTCGTGGCTATCTACTGTCAGCATTTACACGCGGCGGTTCCACCATGGGTACGGACCTGCTCAGGTCGCTTGGACCAATGATGCCATTTTCAACTAGGATCTGTCCTGCAAGCTTTGATAGCTTGATAGGAGATTTCTTGTACATCCACGATGCCGGAAGATCGGGCATGATGTCACAGTGTATCGACTCCAATGGAAGGTTAGCATGGAACGATCGAACCGCTGCGTCGACGCCGTGCTCTGTTGCCATTTGCGAACAAATCATCTGAGCCGCAGTGGTCGCCTCAGGTGCCAGACAGAACGAAATGGCCTCGGAGAGGCTTTGAACTGTCAATGACTTGTGCGGTATAGGTTTCGGCCCTGCCCCGGCGGCCGCAATCATATTGCCCCAAAATTGCTGACTAGCGTTCATTTAGTACAGGTTGATTTGGGATCGTCATGGAGATTCGTACTCGCCAAAAAACGGAATAATAACGGTCGGACAGGCGTTCCGTAACCCACACGCAGACGTTCCTGCACCGCCGTGATGGACGACAGCGTCGACATGCTGAAACAACCACTCATGTGGGCAATCGTCGATGAACAACACATCTTCAATTTGGGAAGGGAGGCCTTCGCCGAGGTTACTCCAGCCCCTCGAGATGATTGCTCGAACTCCACACGAGCGAACAGCTTCGAGAATCAATGAGGTCATCTTTGCCGGTTCTTCGATCACAATGCTGCCGAAGCCAATGTAAACAGTCTGCTTTCCAGTATGGAGGAATCCATCGATGTCTGCGGGCGGATTGTAGGCGGGCGGGTCGCGAAAAAAGAATCCACATACATCTAGCACTGTTAGGAAATCATCTGCTATTAAACAGTCATCATATACGAACCGATATGAGAGGGCCAATCTGATGGCTTTGGAACGAGCGCCGGAGACCAGCAGTATGTCAAAGGTACCTTCAGCGCTTCTGCAAGAACAGGCCCAACTGAGGTAGGCACGGCCTCTAAATCAATAGAATTCCTCCATTTGTTGATAACATCGCCCAACCTTGATTAACGTTAGTCCAGATCTGTATCGCAGCCAAAAGATACATACCCTTGCCATGTGAGCCATTCAACGATTCCATACGACGCGTGGTTGATGAGAGTTGGGTCGATCTCTCCGACCTTGAAATTCGCCAACGGATGCGGGAAAGCCTTTGTGCTACTCCACGGCATAGTAAACATCAAGTGCAGTGGAACGCCCAGAGCCTGTGCACAATGGATGTGTGCAAAACTGGGAGGATTTGCGATGATCGCATCTGCCACGAACGGTTGCTGCGACTGCGGATCTGGTTCGATACAGGATTTCCAGCACCCGTCGAGAAGTTCAGACATCATGACCCGCTTGCGCTGGACTTCGCCTTCACGTAGGCTCTTCATCGACGGGATAAGCCCAGGATTCTTGACCATGTAAGCCATGAGCTCTTTTGGGTCGCCGCCGATGGGATAGAATTCTAGATTTGATTCGCGGACGAAGCTATCGAAGACGTTATGCGTCGCCAGTCGGACACGATGGCCGTACTTTTGAAGTTCTTGGCCGAGGGCGATGAAGGGCTGCACGTCGCCCCGGCTGCCAACGACCTGTATCACAATGTTGAGACGGATAGTCCATGTTCTGTCAACTGTGAACCGACGACTGGGAATTTGCGGCTTTTTCTCGTCTTTGGGAACCAGCTTGACGAGAGCTTTGGTGAGCCGTGCATTGAGGTCGATGTTGATGCGGCCGTCATCTGCGCCAGTTGAGTGATGTCCAATCATCGGGACAGTTTAACGAACCTGTGACGTTGGTGTAGCCAGGTGGTGGTGTTGTACCTCTCGTGGGTTCGAGCTCGTGGGGAATTGTTATTTCTCCTGGGGCTTCAAGCTCGTGGCGCAATACAATTTCTCCAGGGGCTTCGAGCTCATATCGAGTCGAACTCTCAAGTGGGGCTTCTAGCTCGTATATAGGTGATGCTTCAAGATACGTACCATTATTAACGTGTGGCCCCTCGGATGAATGCACTGTGTTGTCTCCAAATCGTCTCATATTGGCGGCAGAGATAGGAAACCTGGTAAAAGGAGGGTATGGTAAAAGCAAACAGCTTATATAATTTGAAAAATGTCTCGAGTCTGCATCATCTAAATTATAGGGAAAGCGAAAACTAGAAAGGACCTCCTGTTCAGGCTCGTATTCAGGCTACGCGAATACTCGTATTCGGACTATGCGAATACCGTGAAATTCCTGCTAAAGATCATGGGGGCTTCGTTGATTGGCTAGACTAGCCTCTGACCGCGGGGAAAAGTGGAATATCCTGGGCGTTTCAACCTTTGCTTGGCTCAGAACCCGTGCTGAGCCTCAAATCTCCCCTGCTAGCGTCATTCGAAAGAGTAGCAGGTTTTGCACAGCGAGTCGGAGTTTGGTTACGCGTACACGCGATAGGTAAGGTTCAACTTTTAGCTGCATAGCCATGATATAACGCCACGCTGAGCAAAATTTAGGGGGAACTCAGGGATGAATCCTCATGCAATGCTGCGAGTGGTAGATCGTTTAGCTCTGTCAATCCAAAATTCACACGTCGAAAGCTATGTTGATATCTCGCTGGGGCAAAACGAATTTTTCATTGATTTACAGGGCAATGTATACTAAACAGATATTGTAGAACCTCGTCACAAGTGTGAAAGAAAATAAAGTTGACCGCTGACTAGAAGCATACCTCTAGACATATGAACCGCGCCCTGCATGTTATTCGACAACCTCGACACTACACCTAGCCCTACCGGCGTCCAACTCGAACTTCAATTTGGCAACATTTTCTCCTGTCACCCATCCTGACTTCTCTATCTCTTCATCGCTGGGCTTTTCTTCAGTCCCAGCACAACAAAATCCTTCTGAGAAAGGATGAAACTTCTTTCCCCTTAAGTCATTATCGAGGTCGCCCCAGCACCACCACATCGTACCAATGTTACGGTCTGAGAGTGTCGTGCTATACTTTTCTCCGATATTCAAATCCTGAGGACTTATCTTCTCTGCAAAGGCAAAGAGACGTTCCGATGACAAGGTGTGAGTTACTGTTACACTCTTCCCAGACTCTTGCGCGGGAACCGTGATGAACTTGACATCCGGCCTCTTTCGCAAGTCCGTCGCCCTATCGTTGTCCTGCCTCGCACGATGGACATAGAAGAATCCGAAAGAGATAACTTTTCGTGTACCATCAGTTGCATCGCTGCAAACAAGACCTCCGCTTAGTTTTCCAAGTGCGAGCTGATCCATGTGTCCGCACTCTGGTTTAGTCTCATCGAGGATAGAGCCGGAGGTGCAGATTGTGAGCGGCCGATCAGGGTGAACCGAAGAGACGCATTGTATGTGGATCTGGAACTCAAGAACAGGTGTGGATGAAGAGGTGTTCAAGGCAGAGAGGGACAAGATTGGCTGGGAGGTAGTCATCCAAATGTTGAGGATGGCCTTCTCGTCTCCCGGATTGCAGCGAAATTTGATGAAGACCATGGTGATTTGGAAATTCGGGAGAAAGTGAAATTGCTGCGGACGGTAAAGAGAGATGAATAGTACTAGAGAATGTAACGTAGAGCTTAGATGATATACCTGCTGTTGTATCGTGTTGTTGGGGGGTGGTTGAACCTTCTTACATGCATATGTGAGGCACAGCCAACCCCGCCCCACGTACGTCATATGTTTCGGCTTGAGATTCCGTATCTGACTTTAACAGGCCACAGTGTCACACTCTAGAGTCGACAAATACCTTGATCAGCCTGCTGAATAACTATACCTAGAGACTTCGTCCATACATATTTGAAAGCAACAGTGTATGCTGAGATCTTACCTACCAATTGAATCCTTGAATAAACGCTACAATGCCAGACTACTGTACTTTTATGGCGCAGTTGCAAACCTAACCGCGAAGTATGACTCACTTGCTTATGTTTAGTCTATCTTGGTAGAAATCAACCTAGCCACAAATACGCGCCGAGGCGTTATGGAGGGTTCAGCAAGGCTTTCTTGCACCTGACGTGGAATTCAGAAATAGTTTCGCCTCTGGCTAGCCATGAGATATTAGAGTTGCTTTAGCTTAGCAACCGCGCCGCAGCTACATCCATGCTGCCGCTCGAGAACCATCCAAACAAAAGTCTACAGTAGACGAGACGATAAACCTTAGGACGAGTAACTAGGTATCAACGAGGCACACTGCTGTTTGAGATCCTAACAATTTCAGGTGTGCTCACGCCCCGCAGAAATTGACATCGTCTGAGGCGTCGATTTTGCGAGACGGCTGACAGTGTGTTGTCAAGTTGTAGGAATGCTCGAAACAGTACCGTATCAAGAACTTCACGAATTAAAGATTGGCCCATGATTGATATTCTACCACATAAAGACGGGCTTCTAGCCCAGACGTCAACTAAGTAAAAGGTAATCAGTGATAGCACATGCGTTGCGCCGAAGGATCTAAAGAGGGCTGTATAATGATCAAAGATGAAACCGCAAGATTGCGGCGTATAGAGGAATGAATAGACTTTGTGTAGCCGCCCATAGGCGAACTTGTTCTTGGAATTGTTGCAACGTAGGTCACTCCTCAAGTGTATAAAGGGTAGACGATCCGTTGCCTGGTAGGTACTACACACACTCAGTATCGCATTCTCTATACCACAGTCTTCACCAAAAAGTCATCTCCCTAAGAATATTCATTGCATCATGCCTTGTCTCAATTTTCTCATCAGGGTAGCTACTACTCTGCTTGTATCTTATCATTCAACCTTTGCCAACCCTGTCCCGCTGGAGGAAGGAGTTCCCGTGGTTCGATTGACGGAAAATTATGCCGGCTGCGACGATGGACAGAAGGTCAAGCTGAGGCAGGGATTTGCCGATGCTGCAACGCTGGCGAACATTGCTAGCGCAATCGACACAGATAGTACAGCGTGAGACATTGTTACTTGACTTTCTGAGACGGTCTGCGACTGACTTATGTATCAGGTGGTCTCACTATTTTCGCACAGGCATTGGCAGAGATGATGATGTGATAAATGCGAAGAAGATTTGGGCCATGGTCGCGGCCAACAATGATCCTACCAATCCGCCATATTCGTTTTCTGTTCGTTGCGGGACAACTGCGGATGAGTATTGCAAGAGTAAGGATTCGAGGTAAGCACACACACGCAATCTGTCCATAATCATAACAGGATTGATAAAAACGTTTAGTTTAGCTATCACAGACGCCGTACCTCAGGATGGCGATACTCTTCGCGAGATGCTTGTCTGCCCTCTCTTTTTCGACCCGAATTCGAAATGGACCAAAAACGATCTTCAGTCCCGGAAATTCATAGCGCCAAAGCGTAAGGCCAATAGCTGGTGCGCTCCGGGTGAAAAGTTTGGCTTTTTCGAAGTCGCTGGCCTGACACTTCTACACGAGATGACGCATTTCGACGTCATTGGAAAAGCAGCTGGAGTGGCAGAACACGCAGTAGAGTAAGTACTTGAGGCCCGCACAGTTGGTCGCTAGCTGATGGGATAACCTTTAGCAAAGAGAACGGTGAATTTTGGTTCAACACCCATGGTTCTGACGATGTGGGTGGATTTGGGGACGACTACCCTCGTGCAGCACGTGCTTTGGGAAGATATTGGCAGCAAGGGCTGAATGAAAAGGACACCCTTGAACCCTGGCAGAATGCCGAAAGTTTGGCTGCCGCAGCATTAGGTAAGTGGGCTCTGGCATGTGTCAACATCAAATCAATTCACTCTGCTAACGTTGAGATAATAGAATGGTTCATGATGGACGAGTGTGCCAAGATTGGCTGGCCTATCCTAGAAATTGGAATCTAGTAGCGAGTGACGACAGTGAACACGTGAAGAGCATTTGGAGCATTTGGATTTCCTTAGTACACAACATTCTAGTTCTTCTATATTGTGCTTTCAATGCGTAGAAACAATAGTCATGATTTCTCTACTAACTATCAACACGTTCACATGAGGGAGAGGATTATATAATGAGGGTTGAGTTGCTTTGTCTTGAATCAAATTGTCAAGAAATAGAAGTCATGGCAGATAAGGTGAATGGTAGAATCAGACTATGTTGCAGACTTTACGATCCCCAACTCTATCTCGTGCGGGTTGCATGATTACAATAAACTCACACATTTGTACGCTTATGCCAGGACTCCAAAACATAATACCTGCACAGTTTTGGGTTGTACATAAGCAATCTCGGGAGACTACTCCTTCAAGACAAATTTTAGGCAAGAATGAAATTGTGTATGGTTAACAGTTTGATTGAAACCCACTACAGATCAAAATGTACTCATAAACCTCCAATCCTACCTAGATTGTCATGTTTCCCACTCTAAACAGGTTGGAAAGACTTTTTACAATTACAATCTTCGATCGTGATGCAGACTTGTTTAGACATAACGATGAAACTCATTAAATGATACATACGACTAGCAGTTTGCAAATGTTGCATTTTCATGTCACTATTTGCTTTGGCAATGTGTTCCTCGCTCTCATTGTCATGTGCAATGTTGGTTGTGATATAGCGTGCACTCTGCGAACCCTGCCTACTGCGACTTGATGCGCCACCACCACCACCACCGATGGTTACGAATCCACTACCTGGTCTTTTATGGCCCTTGTTGTTACTGCTGGAGCCAATGGTACTTGAGAGAAAGGGCGCAAGCCAGCTTTTGAGGAGAGGGAAGATCATGGGAAGGTTGGTTGTGACGACCGCGATGAAGGTTTCCCTAGTACCCCACGCAGCTGCTAATTGCCCACCGTTGGTCGGATCCTGCAGGAGATTCAGTCAGATGTTGTGATGGTGATTTCACGATAGTAGATTTGAACTGCTAAAGAACATACAGAAAGCGGGACAGGCTAAGAGGAGAAAAACTTACAACTATGACATAGACGCTCTTTAGAGTTGCACAGACAACAATAAGTATGCCAGCGCTAAGTACAAGCGTTGCAGCGATCTTTTTGAAAAGTCTCAAGCTCGACTTCCACAACATAGGAATTGGTATCAGGAAAAGGAAAATATCGGTCGATACATTCGAGATGAACGATACCCAAAGGATTGGCTTCGAGATCGCCGCCTGACATGCGTTTCCAGGGTCAGGGTATATTTGCCAGTAGTGGCGAAAGGGACGACATGAGAGATAAATTGTCATAATGACGATGATGAACGTAGCAACAACGAGGCCCACTGCAATTTGAATACGTATCTGGTACCGTTGAAGACCGTCCTTTTTATGACTCATTAATAGGTCGTTATCGGTTAACATGCGATGCGTGGACTCACTGTCAGCCGAAGGTAAAAAAATATCATGCAGAGCTTGAGCGTCCACAGCAGGCATGCTGCTGTGGTCCAGCCTGCTACCTGAATTTTCGAACCAACCACTCTTCAACTTACGTCAGTATTGGCATCAATCTGTTTGTGTTCAAATCCCTGATGGGATGTGGTAGAGACCCTTGGACTTACCTCCATGTAAATTCCGGATCGTCGAGCGAAAGTAAACTCCGCTGCGTATCCGTCATGCCGTTATTTGCAAGGCCATGAGCAACGTTCTTCAACTGAAGGCCGAGGCTGCATTGCACTGTGTAAATAAGCTATGCGAAGCGAACATTAATTCACAGTCATGGTCGAGGAAAGACGGAGATACTGAAATGGGATACGAACAATAGCGAGCCATATCAGATAGTCATCTGCGCGCAGTTGTCGAAAGCCTACAGCTACGATTCGGGCATATGTTCGGAGTATAGTGAAGAAGACGCCCAAGGCATATAGCGTCCACAGTTCCACTGTGGGGTTGCTGGGCATCGCGATCGCCGGGAGTGAGGGTTATGAACCTATCATCGACAGCAGGGCGGATATAACGTCTATATACTGGAGTAGAAGCACAGAGATGCCATAAAAGACCAGGCCAGTAGTCTCCTGAGCTCAACGGTAAGGCCTCCCGACTATTCTAGTCAGTCGACCCACAACGTATTTTGTGTGAATTTCTTTTCGTAGGGTATGTTTGTCTACACACGCTCAGCAGACAACGTTAGTTCTCTATTATAGGAACCAGAATCTTCTTTATCATGCCTTATATATGAATGGTTAACCGAATTGACAGTATTTAACTTATTGTGCTCGAATCTGAAGTTCTGCTTTTGAAATTGTTATGATCGTTTTTTGGTTTTTCCCGTCTTTATAAAATACATGAAGGATGAAACGCGTTCCCTGCACAGGCAATATCTATCTAAACATAATTTCACAACTCAGACACGCACAAGAGACGCTGTTTTCGAAAAGTTTCCCGTGCAGCATGAAAAAGCGTTATGCCACTCAGGATTTAGGGCGGCATGTGGGATATGTCCGCGCCAATAGCAACGTTTTCCGCTAACCCCGGGCGGACACCAATTTACCCACTATCTGGACGTGCGGCTTCTGTTGGGCAGCGGTTAACGAGCACCCACATAACTATTCCCAAGCACCCACATAAGAGGCGCTAAGTCCCCATTCAACCAGCTACATGGCGCTAACACGAGCTAACTCCTTAACTAAGTTTAGACTCTCTTGGCATCTACCTTACCCCTGTTAAAACACCACATTCCTCCTCTATTTCTTACCCATTTTTGGTGAGAAATGATTTTCTTTTAGTTACAGATAGGCGTAGAATGTAAGTTTTAATTAATTGCACTTTTTAGAATTAAGGATTTTGAGTGAAATTGAGGTGTTGTGGGGATTAGAAAAGAGTGCCTTACGTGGGTGCTCGGAAATAGTTATGTGGGTGCTCGTTAACCGCTGCCCTTCTGTTGCCCGCACATATGGGGCGTAAATGTTGCCTAGACCCGGACTTCGCGAATTCACTTCCTGTTGTAAATTAGTTCATTTCGAACTCCGTCTTACTTCGAGGCATTTAAACACTCTGATTCGAAGGTTCCGACATTCTCGATTACCTTTATCTCTCTCGCGCAACGATTGTTCCTTGCAGCATGCTATCGCGCTTCTTCTCACCATCGGCAGTGGCTGCCTGGACCATAATATCAGTGATCTCAGTTACTTCCTGCGGGCCCACTATTCCCCATGACATCTTTCCGAGAACTCCTGCGACGGGCATCGATGTGAAGACACTTGCGCCATACCTCTCCCCCGGAGCTGAAATCCATCTCCCAGGTAGCACTAAGTTCACTACGTACACGGTTCGATGGTCAAACTTGGAAACTCCTACACCGAACGTCGTCATCGCGCCCGGGACTGAGGAGGATGTGGCAAAGATTGTAAGTTTTTCCAAGTAGTCACGAGCATTTGCGTTGCAAAGATCGAACTGATGCTGCTTGCTCAAGGTTAAATTCGCATTCGAACACGATATCCCTATTCTTGCTTACAATGGTCATCACGGCACCATCACCACGCTGGGGAGGATGGACTACGGAATTGAGATTTACCTGCCTCATCTAAACACCATTTCTATTGCCAAGGACACAAAGTCAGTGACGGTTGGTGGTGGTATCAATTCTAAAAACTTAACGGACGCTCTTTGGGCAGCAGGAAAGCAGACTGGTAGGCTCACCTCGATCGCAAACTTGTCACTAAAATCACCTAATCGTTGGTTTAGTTACTGGAACCTGTGAATGTGTCAGCTTCTTGGGTCCTGCTCTTGGGGGTGGCCACGGTTGGCTTCAAGGTCATCATGGCCTCATCATGGATCAGTTCATCTCCATGAATGTCGTTCTCGCAAATGGCGACCTGAAGACAATCGACGCGAAGTCAGACCTGTGGTGGGGTATGCAGGGTGCAGGCCACAACTTTGGAATTGTCACGTCTGTCACGACAAAGATCTATGATATCGTGCATCCAAACTGGGCGATTGAAACTATCATCTTTAGTGGTGATAAGGTTGAGGCCATCTACGAAGCTGCTAACAAGTACATCATCCAGGACGGGAACCAGAGCTCAGATATTATCAACTGGTCCTATTGGCTGAATGACGCATCCCTCGATGCGGACAAGGTAAGACAACTGCTCAGCCAAAAGCTATCGCATACATGATCACTCACTGACACGATTATTTCATCTAGCCTGTTATCATCATGTACATCATCCAAGAAGGCGTTAATACCGTCGATCCTAGATACACGAAACCTTTCCACGATCTTGGACCGCTCGTCATCTCGCCCCAATCTGGCACGTACAAAGATCTCGGTACCTGGACAAACATCGCATTGGACTCTCCTCCCTGTCAGGACTTCGGCTTCAACAATCCGCGTTTCCCTATCTATACGAAGTCTTACAACATCACCGCGCAGAAGAAGGCATACGATCTCTACGCATCAGCTATCTCGGGAACTGACTCGCCGTATTACAATTCAATCTTCATGTTTGAAGACTATGCCACAGCAGGTGTTCGTGCGCGTGATAACAGCGCTACCGCTTATGGTCACCGACAAGAACTCACACTCGCGGCACCGTTGATTATTTATAACTCTACCGATCCGACAAGACATGTTGCTGTGAAACAACTGGGCAACAAACTGAGGGAAATCATCCGAGAGGGTACTGGAAACGAGGAGCTGAATACTTATGTCAACTATGCTTATGGAAATGAGGGGCCAAAGAGTTGGTATGGATATGAGACGTCGCGTCAGAACCGTCTCAAGGCTCTGAAGGAAAAGTATGATCCCAAGGGGAAGTTTAGCTTCTACGCCCCTATAGCCTGATAGTAAAAGGGATTAGTAGAACGAAATAGCAGAGCACTGGAAATACACTCTACCCTTGGCTTATGGAGTTCGGGGTTACGCCTCGTTCTTGGAGATTATTTATCACTTCCAGCACCTTTTTCACAGGGTATATAACTTAGGATACACTAGCAACGATGAAAAGACAGACTATTGATTGATTCAGCATCCAATAGTTAGGTTAGTTTTCAATGGAGCACCCTAGGTATCAGTGTTTTATGTTCTATTAGGGATCTCCCTCTCTTTGGAGCCCATTCAACTGGCACGCGACCGAAATCGGGAAAGGTTTGTGGACACTATGTTCTCCTCGATATTTCGTCGCGCTCTACGCCTCTATCTTCCTGTTTACTTTGTTCAGTCTTGCATGCTATTCGCAAGCTGTCTGGGCATGTACAATCACGCGTACGCCTCGTCACAAGATTGGCCGTTTGTGGGAACAAACGAGGTGCAGCAAGACGTGAAGATCACGAATGCGGGACAAATTCAACACTGGGCTACAGAGTTGTGGCATCTTGCAATCCCGTTCAGGCCTATTCGACCAGAATACGATGTATATCTATGGACCGTTCAACTCGAATTCCGGAACTCCATCATTATCTTCGCGATACTGGTTGGATGCGCAAAATTGGGACCGCGGACCCGAATGACTTTAACGGCCATCTTCTACACCTTCTGCCTAGTGGTGAACGAAGGTGAAGTTGGATTGTTTATAGCTGGCATGGGTTTAGCCGAGTTTCTCTTGATTCGTGATGAAGATGCGAAAAAGCTATCATCAACAAAGAGGAAACCCCAGAAGCAGAGTCTGTGCACCAAGACCATATGGGCCGCAGTGCTCCTCCTCGGATCGCACCTTCTGTCTTGGCCAGCTTGGAGATATCAGACCTTGCCTGGATACATAATAATCTATAATCTCACCCCATCATTCATTGAAAGTCCGGAATGGACGTGGTGGCATGTCGGTGCGGCCGTATCCATGCTTGCTTTGTGTGGCTCTGATCAACTTCGGAGACCGTTCCAAACTCCATTTGCCATCTATTTGGGCAAGATGTCGTTTCCTTTGTATATTATCCACGGACCGAGTAATCACATCTTAGGAACATGGCTTGTCCAGTTTTTTTGGGGGTTCACTGGAAATGCGACATCATTCACATATGAACTTGGGGTGGTCGTAGCATTTTGCACCGAGGCCGTTGCTGTAGTGTGGCTATCAGATATTCTGACAAGAACGGTTGACATACCCTGTGCAAAATTGGGGCGAACACTCCAGCATAGATGGTCTTGATAGACACTATACGGCGTTTCTGAGGCATATCCCACTTGAATCTTGTTGTGATTTTAATTTGCACTGTGTTTCGGGACCCTTGCACACCCCAACACAATCTTAGTTCTCGTTCGAATTTCTGCCGTTGTGTATGTTCTATCCTTACTGCAGGAATCATACTGGTGTCGTTCATGTAGACTGTCAGCTGATAAATTCAGATCAGCTTACTACCTACATGGAACTGGGGGTTACAAAGCTGCCTGCATTAACTAACATCACTAGGCGGAATCGAGGTAGGAATGTATAGGATTTGATAGTTTATGACTCGTATCAGCGATGATGTCAAATTACCAACACGATACACCCATATTGGTAGAGGCCTTGAACTCCACCGGCCTTGACATACAACCGATGTCGTTCCGTAATCAGGTTGAGCCTATTACGAAGGTGGAGCTGAAATGTTTTGACTCGACTCCTTGCGCTGCACCCATCCAAACCTTGGCTTGCCACTGTTCACGTCGAAAATCTACACCTACGAGTCAGCGCGTGTTCAACGACATGAGTATCATATACTTACCGCATACATGGCCTTCAAAACAGCATCTCCATAGATGTCCATGTCCATGGATCCTCTGCTTTGGATACTACCATACACCATCCCATTGCCGGCATCTGCGAAACCCAAATCCTCTTTTTGGAAAGCTACCATGTCATCTCCAATTGCAAGCTGAACTTCTGGTAGATCATCTGCTGATGTGTTGGAAGGAAAGACGTAGCCTTGACTGCTTTGGTCGTATTTGGAGCCAGGGATAGCCTTGTAGACGGCCTCGACGAGGGTGTCATCGACCAGACAGAGAGTGGTTCCTGTGTCCATGATGGAGGTGTTGCTAGAACGGGTAACAGTCTGCCCGTTGATGGATGCAGATGTAGATTGAAGCTGCCAGAAGCCTTGGCTGCTATCAATGTCTGCATATTTCGGAGAGGTAGCGCCTGCGGCGGTCATGACGTCTTGGTCAATGTACCCGAAGGTGTAGAAGCTCTGTCGACTTGTTAGAAGAATCGGAGAGCACACGTGAGGAGACGCACCTCTCCCTTGTCGGCTTCATCTGCATCGCGCCAGCTACCCAGGTATGCTGTGAACAGCTGCTCCTTCGCCGATTTCTGTGCGATGATGTTGTCTACCGGAGTCTTCTGAGGATTCGGGGAAACAGTGTTAATGGAGCTGAATGCGAGACCGAGCAGGCCACTTCCATTACCCTGGAGACGTCAATGGGATACGACCTGAGCTAGAACTGGGTCTCACCTGTGCGAACTGCGTGGAGAGCTGTTTGGCCAACTCCACAGCTTGAGTTTGGACCTTTAGTCCACCCAAGTCCAAGACATCGGTACCTACGTCGCCGCTTGCCGACGAGGAGTCGCCGTACGAGATTTTCCACGTTTCCCCGCTGAGCTTCTTGAAGGTGCTCGACTTGGAAGGGTCAAACGCGACTTGCTGGTTCTGGGGATTTGCACCACTAAGAATCTTCTTGGGGAGCTCAGTAGACCAAACCTGAAACGATGAGCTTGCAATACAACCACCCAGACATCTTATCTTGACTTACCCATAGATCCGACGACCCAGTATCGAAGTCCAGATATAATTTCTGCTCTGGCGTACCAATACCGACTTCGCATAGATATAGAGAATCATTCTGAATATCTTCGGCTGGAACTTCACCCTCGGCAGCTCCGTCGCTTGGAGCTGTGGCCGTGCTTTGCGCCCCTCCGTGAGCCGAGGTGTGGTCGCGCTTTCGTAGAACGTAGTGTGCGCGCATGCGGCCGCCAACCCCGCCGAATTTTCCTTGTTGAGACATCACTTTGGCCTGGAAGTAAGGGCCAGGCTTGGTTGGGTGGAACCCATCTGTGAACGTTAGCAAATACAATTATCTAGCTCGGGGGTCAAGAAAGTTCACCCACACTTTCTCATCGCGTGAAGATACGACTTGGTGCCATTGGACTTGTAGACCGGGCTACGCTGGATAGCCAGTCGCTGGAAGGATGCCATATTCCTAGAGGAGTTGATATAATAGGATTGGACGATCGTAGGGTTTTTGGAGGGTTTGAATATATGGTCTTACAACAGTATCAAATTGATGTTCAAGAAATGTTGTGCTTGGAGCAGAAGGAAGGTAATATATACCTCGCCCCTTCCACTATCACAATGTGCATCATCACCCCGCCCAACGGGGAAACCTGCTTGGCCACTTAAATATCTCCAATCACGTTAAGTTTCCAAAGATCATCGTTGATATGCAGGATAGATCGACGGCGTCTCACGCTTAACAAGGTATGTCAAGGTTAAAACCAAGCTTCATAAGCTTCGTCAAGCTTCGTCAAGCTCCGCATGCTTGATGCATATACTCACTAGTCCTTTTCAGAACAAGATACCGGGATGTGTGCACCAGGATATGCGGCAGTGGCATATAGCTGTGGCGTTCTGGATGTCTGAACTCAGGGTAAGGACAGGCGGCAGCGAAGCAGCTACTGCCACAATTCCATTGTTGCTTCGGCCCCCGCACAACGGTCGCTAATTGGAACAATCGATAAGACTCGAGTCGGCATTTGGCAACCTTCAATCCATCGATGATGTCAAGTGCTGCGGCAACAATATCCGAAGTACCCCGCCCTTAGCATTCAGGGTGAGTGTTAGATAGACATGCAGTCCACTCTTACTTCGGTATACCCCCTCGATGGCATGCGGCAATTCTGTTTCGGTAGACAGCGCGTGTTGATGTGTGCTGGCGTTTCGAGTTGTATAGTGTGACGTCATGAGGTACGCGTCACCCACCTATCATAGAGCCTATCCCATCATCACTACACACTTGGAAGCCTGTTTGGTACAAGAGATAGCTATTAAAGTTAAGAAGGAATTTGCCGTCACATGTAGGGATTTGGCCTCTGACTTAGTCTCGATTTGCTTATTCAAAGATCTTATCGCGAGTCTCGCTTTGAACACGTCGTCACATCCACTCCGGATTGTGTCTATCGGTACCGCATTATCTGGTGTAATTGCGCGGTGCTAGGCTCGAATAGGCAGGCAGCCAAGCCCTAAACTATCCAATCAAGCAACGGGATTAGGGGTACTAAAAAATATCTGGCCTCTTGTAGCGTCAGGTTTAGGAGCGTTTTATGGGGCATATAGCTGATCTAAATTGTCTGATTGGAGCTTGGCTGCCTGCCTATTCGAGCCTAGCACCGCGCAATTAAACCAGATAATGCGGTAGACAAGATTGCTCGCCCCCTCATCATGCGCTTCGTTCATGTTTTGGATAATAACTAAGTTTCGATATCTCGCGGCCAATATTATCTAACCCTTTTTTGACCAATCTTCGAAGTGCTAGTGCTCTTCATCTTCTCGTAACTACTCATCATGGCTTTCAATCAGCTAAAAGCCTATTACCTTTTCCAAAAAAAGCACCAGCAGGATCCTCAAGACTTGTTCGACGAATGGGAAAAGATACTCAAAAAGGGCCAAAATCCGAATGAAGACTGGGGCAGCAGGTTTGAAAGGAGATGCTCGTCTCCTCTGTTTAGAGCAGTTTTGAATAACGACGTACGGCTAACTAGTCTGCTGCTTGACTACGGAGCTCAACCTGAAAAGCATAACTCGGAAGGTCGAACACCCCTTCAAGAAGCTATCATCGAACATCATGGCACCGTCGTTCAGCTTCTCTTAGACCGGGGGGCTAAACTTGACACCCCGATTCTCTCTAAGTTTTTATTTGGAGGTACAGCCCTTCATTTGGCCGTAACGGAAGGTCTGGTTGATATCTCCAGGACACTGTTGACATGCGGTGCCAGCTCACGATCAAGAACGCATGTGGGTTGGACACCATTGGACATTGCTCTATTGGATCACCAAAAAACCATGCTTGAGCTCTTAATAAACGAGTCTAATCTGGTCATCATGGCTTGCCAGGAGCAACTAGACCAAACCGCTAAGGATCATAACGAACACGTTGCTATCGCTTCACATCTCCTCGAAAATGGCGTGAGAAGCACTGAGCCCCGACACGTGTCCTTCTACCAAGACCATCTCGTACGCGTGGTTAGTAAGCTCGCTCTTACTACCCATGGTACGGCGGAGCTAAGCACTAAGTTGATTGACGCAATGGATGCCTTCGTGATGGAACAGGCCAAAACTTCGAGTGCTCTAAGTTGGTCCAGGAAACTGTGTGATACTTGCCAGCGATTTGAAGCCCAAGACCAGCACGATGTGTTCAAGATTTTCCAACATACCCACGATAAGACCAGCTTGGCGCACTCCGCTGATGGTGGGTGCAACTTGTGCCGCTTTTTACTCAGCGCTCTAGAGCATCACTGGTGTCTTCTGCATCAAATAGACAAAAGGTGGATGAAAGAGTTTGGAGCAAGCCCCACTGTGCGCCTACGAGTCGAGCGAGATAGAGGTTCTGTTCCTAGGTTTGGTGAACACCGACTAATTGTTACATGTGGGGACAAAATATCTTTCACTGATCTCAATCATGTTCAAAGTATTCCATGCCCGTACACAGCCAAAGCGGTCTACCCCTGCTAACTATGACAGAGCAACTCAATGTGGCCGTTGCCACAACAAGCCCCTCTGATACCGAGGGAACTGGTTCAAATCGAAGCCTTGCCGTCGCAAAAGCCTGGCTCCAACGGTGTGAAGATGATCACCCATCCTGCCGTGAGAACAGTATGGGAAGCCTTCCAACAAGGGTTATTGATGTCGGTGATGGAACAAACCCACCTCGCATATATAGTTCAGCCGCGGAACTTGAACCTTATGCCGCGCTGTCTTACTGCTGGGGTCAGGGGCAGAATCTTCGCCTGCTCTCCACGAATCGCGACAAATTCCACAGCGGTATCTCTCTTTCCCTGTTGCCGCGTACTATAGCAGATGCTATTACCATAACACGAAGGATGGGAGTGAAGTATCTGTGGGTGGACGCCCTTTGTATCCTACAAGATTCGGTAGAAGACCTCGAAAAAGAGCTCTCTTGTATGGGTGACATCTATGCGAATGCAAAATTCACCATTGCTGCGAAGGACTCCACAAGTTCAGTGGATGGCTGCTTCCGACAGCGGAATTGGCCGACTAGCGCGATTGTCCCATTGGACATTCGCTTGCCAGGGAATACCATACTAAAAGAACATGGGGTGTACAATCGAACGATCAATACACGTACATCCTCCATTAACAGGATTATGGCACTGCCAAGACATACATCCTGTTCTAATGACAATCAGACATCGATCCTAGAGACGCGCGGTTGGACATTGCAAGAGGAACTGCTATCCCGCCGAATGCTCAACTGCGGCAAGGATGAGCTTAGTTGGAACTGCTTAGAATCCAAATGTAGCGAGCGCCTGCCTGAGGAGGAGGATAGCCGAACCGCTCACAGATTTCAATCTGCATTCAGACGTGTTCTGGTCACAGGTATTGAAGGGTACGGAAATCTGAATTCGGTCGACGAAGAGGACCTTTTCAATTACTGGCTCGATACGGTTGAAAACTACATGCGACGAATAATTTCTGATTTAAAGGATAAGCTGGTCGCTGTGGCGGGCGTACAGGGAGCGATTGGGAAGATATTGAAGGACGCCCCAGTTGCTGGTATCTGGCGAGAGCGCTTCTTCGCATCAAGTCTCTTGTGGAGAATCTCCAACAAGACATCCGATACGGACATTGAACCGTTCCGCTGTCCATCTTGGAGCTGGGGTTCTGTATCACGGCCCGTAGTGTATGCGAAGCTCCCTTCTGGACCAAAGAAGGATAAGCCATGGGTGTCTTATAACGACACCAAGTACTTCCCGAACATAATCGGGTGGAACATCAATGACAACGGGCGAGATGGCGTCGACGGATACGTAAGTCTGCGCTGCAAGCTACTGCGAGAGGATGAGATGGATTGCGAGAAACACTTTGTGAAAGACTTTCTTAACGCACCGCCTAAGAGCCAAAGCAATGCAGAAGCTATACACTTTGAGACCCACCACGACTTTGCGGACGCGGCCATGGTGGAGGGTACTTGGTTAATGCCTGTCAGGACAAAGCAATACATTCTCAGTGGAAAGGACAAGGGTCGTTATACGTATGATATTGAAACACAACTCTTGCGTCTGGAGAGGATATCTCCGGATCGAGCAGACTTCAGGAGAATAGGACTTGTTATAACACGATCATGGGCTAACAAATGGCTAAAGAAAGGGCAAGAGGAAGTTTTTCAAATGTTTTAAATAAGCGAATCAAAATGTTGCCGGATATGTTTTTGTGCGCTGCAATAAGAGGTACTTCTACGCACGCACCGCAGATAATAGGTTTTGTTTTTGTGAATTATTAACTGTCTTATATTAATCTGGAAAAAGAGCTTAAGTCTAACAGCTTCGTCGGCTTTTTTCATTTTTGAGATCCTATTGAAAAATCTTGAATTCACAATTCAGCGACTCCTTTTGACGGTGGAATTTCTCTACTGGCTTCTACCACACTCTAATTATGTTCTCTTCAGCATAATCCTCCTCATCTCGCTTGAAATAATTACTACTGCAGGATCCGCAACACAATGACCTTATTCGGAGTCTCCTTAAATCCACTGCTTTTCTTCTAATGTTTGAGTCGTATCTGTATAAGTTCCAATAGCCAATTCCGTTTGTATCCGCTCCACAGGATCAGCAAGGCAGAAATGTCTCTAGCCCTTGCTTGCTATCCAATGATCTAACCTTAAGTTGACACGTATTGTAAGCACTATAACATCCCACGGCGCAGAGGGCGGCTTATTCTCCTTCTGCGGTGCCCCCCACTCTTCCATTGTTCTTTGTGCCACGCTGATGTACGTGTCGCTTCCAATCGGAGGTAGCTCACCGCCGCTCCAGTAGACGAATATGGTTAGTAAGCGACTTGTCTATTGGAGATTAAATGTGCTCTCGACATAGTGCGCCACCGCTGTCGCAAACCCTGGCCTCTATCCATCTTTCAGGAAGCGGTTGAACATGGAATCCGGGTAGTCACAGCTGATACGCTGGGGTCGACTCGAGCGCCCAGAAGTATGGGTACAGAGTGAAGGTCATGTTGTTCCACTCGAAAGCGTGCTCAAAGAAGCGCACAATGGAGCCGTCGTGAATTGCGGACAGCGCATCAATCTTCGGGTACTTACTATAACCCATTTAGGCCCGACCTTCAGGCGGCGTTTCTCAGTGCCCGGAATTGATATTGCTTCACTTTGCTACGCAATCATCAGACAGGTTTGCTCGCCCTTTCATGATTCGCTTCTTTTACCTAATCATAAAGTCTAAATTTGTACGCCTCGCATCTAACAGCAACTGCCGTCCTCTACATCGACTACGTTACGGCAATATGCTGCTGCTACTACGTCTGGGGGCAGGTCACTACATCCAATCTTTCCAACGGCATGAACTCCCTAAGAACCTCTCAATGAATTTCCCGCCAGACTTTGCCCTCCCCGCACCTCTCAAACTTTTCGCCGTCTCTGGCTGTGGAATTCAAACTTTGCCAACATCACACGCATAGTAAACCCGCCGGAGTCTCAGACCGTCTGAGTCCTCATCACTCCATTCCGCTTTTATACCAGGCGCATGATACGCAATATGAATCCTGTTTATCGCCCCCGCAAGCTCAGATGTGAGCATGAAGTACTCGAGGACCGGCGATTTCGTAACGGCTTTGGCGAAAGCACCGAAGTACAGATCAAAGGTCTCCGGGTCAGGATACTGACGGTAGTTGAAATAACAACACTCGAGTTCAGAATCTCTGACGATACCTCTTCTCACATCGTCATCATCATGATCGGCTAGCCGCGGCCCTGTGAAATACCAATTGCCGGATGGCATTACTATGTTGAACGTGACGTATAACGTTTTCAAGTGTAGCCAAGTTCGAACGTCGGGGTTCTCCTCAATAGATGATGGCCAGAAGACTGTTGAGTCGACATGCGCGCTCAATGTCAGGGCTGTGAGGTTTTGTGAAAAAGTACGGAGTGCGCTGATCATGTCATATGTAAACCTCGATGGTATAATGATGTATCTTTTCCAGCACATCTACAAACGCCATACGATTTTCTCCTAGCTCGGGAGGTGTCGCTATGCTGTTGTCGGGCTCAGAGTCGGACGCTCACTCTGATGAGTCGTCATTTAATGATTCGTCGGCGGCTTAACCGTTACAATCCTCCAACCCCCACCTAATACAGGTCATGTGAGAAGCAGGTGTTTCGAAAACCACCTACCGTAAAAGTTTGCACAATCCGTTATTAGCTAGACAGGGGTTGTAGCGAAGTGAGTCGACCTGCAAGTGGTGGAATAAGCACAGCCACTCCAAATGCCCGATCGCCAGAGGACTCGATTCGGCTCATTCCCTGTCTAGCTAATAACGGATTGTACAAACTTTTACAGTATACATAATCTTGGCGCTTCGTTAACAGCAACAACAAAGCTGCTCGATGCGCTAAGTTTACTTGCTAGGTCTCACGTCCTAGAGAAAATAAATCTCCTGTCATTACTATGTGCAAGTTATGTGGGCTTCTCTACATGGAACTTCTTTTCCAGAAGCAGTTCGTATGATTCTTCTTACGCACTGTGATTCTTAGCTCCCCTCAAATCTTCCGCCGATATTGTCACACCATTCGCCGTGATCCAATCTACAATAGGCTCGAATCGCTTGCACTTGTGTGTAGCTTGGAAGTCCTCCCTCGCAACGCCAGCGCCTTTGCCTGTGCTATCATACAAGAGATACGGTGTGAGATCCGCATTACAAGTCAGCGCTTGATGCAGCGTGGAGATGCAGTGATCGGCGTGCTTTCGAGCAACTGCCGGTGAATTGTATTTGAACAAGGTCGGAACAAGCCCTTTTGGGTATTCGTCGACCCACAGAGCTTGTCGAAGTATGTTCAGGCAATGTAGATGATGAAAAACTATACATGTCAAAAATCGCATCAAAAAGATGGCTACGGGCTTTGTTCCTCTCACCTTCGATCCCAGCAATATAGCCTTCCTGTCCTGGTGGGCCACCCTTCACAAAGCCTTGCTCGATGCTGCGATTGAGCGAGGGAACGCGGTCTTCCGGTATGAGTACCGTCGGCACTAGGCGGATTGAATATCAGAACACGACCACACGCTAACAACGAAAGGGAATATACCGTTCACCAGCTTATGCCATTTATCCTCCAGCTCAACCGTCGGTGCACCTGTCCAGTCTGAGTGCTTCTGCGTGAATATACTCTCCCAATCTCGCTCTTCGTACTCCACTGCTTTCAGCAGAGGCGCTAGAGTGACAGTTTTGTCAGTGGCAATACCAAGTGTGATTTCATTTAACAACTTACACCAAATACTGAGCTGCGCAGCGCAAGATTGGTCAGACTGCCTGTAGTTGAGAGTGCTCACCACCATTAATACTCCCATAACGAAGGTAAATATGGAGACAAGTAACACCATCAGGTCAATTCTCAAACCTGGTCCTCTCGCTTTTACGACGGGCATATTGTCCTCATCTTCAGACATCAGCTTCCTCTCTTCCATCTGCGAGGGCGTTTCATTAGAGCGTAAGAGGCGTTCAAAAAAGCTTTTCCGATAGTCGAACATGGTGGGATTGTGGGGTATTTTTGTCCAGAGTTATGTTAAGCTGGACAATCAAAGGGGAATAACGTGAGCTTGACGATTGTTGGGTAGTTGGGGAGTTGTAAGAGTTCTGCTCAACACATATCGCAAACCCCGCGTCATGAATGACTTGCGTAATCCTGATTTTTCACGGCTCTTATCTCAATCTCAAAATGACACTAGATTGATAGGTCCACTTGGACTTGCACAGATGGCGGTGTAATGAGTGTTCAGTCTTGTCCATGCACCGTTACCTCCGGGCTGCAAGCACCATTCACCACATTGAGTCCGGAACAACAATATGCAACCCCTTCATGGCAGGTACGTCCACCCCTGAATTTGAACGATGCCACTATTAGCAGGTAACGGCATGAAGCAGCCGACTATCTACATACGAGATTCCTTTCCAGGCTTAGACTTGGGCAGGCTGAACAGTGGAGGTAATGCATTAGTGTTGTGCAAATCTGTTCTGTGCTGCATATAGTCTTCGGTGTAATAATATCGCGACAATAGTTGCGACAGCTAAAACATATTTTCATTAGTTTAGTGCTTACATTGCATTTATGCGGTTGATTATATTAGGTTTGCAGGTTCTAACATGCTGGATCCTTCGGCTAGCCTGATTAGGCAGCTAACATACCCTGATCCATGACATGTAACAATACCTTATCTTTGACAAGCATTCTATCGGCTTGCCAAGAATTGCTTGTTAGAACGTACTGCGCGAGCAGCAGTACCACTAGCGGCTTCAGTTGTATGAACTCATTTGGTCCTTGCTGTGTACTAAGCAGTCAAGGAGCTTTCCGCTTCGTCCAGCGTCTCCCAGCCCAGAACCTGTCAAACTTGTCGAATCGAGAATTCTGATTTCTTTCTTGTTTCTGACATCCTCCAACAAAAACTTGTATTCTTTATTCATTCGTACGGTGCAAAACAACAGCCATGGAGTCGAAGAAACATTCATACCACCCCGTTTCATCATCTGATGACGTCTCATATTCGACCACAAACGACGATGAACGAGCTATACTTCAGTTGCAACGAAGCCGTTCAAGATGGATTCCAAGTCCTCTTCTGGCGTCTATTGTTGTCCTCAATCTCTTGGTTACAGCACTTATCGTCATTGCACTTACGCGAAAGCCAACGGACCAGCAATGCACTAAGCAACTCTCAGTATATTGTGAGTATCATTAAGCATAAAGATGAAACTTTGACTGATTGGATTTAGCTCCTGCTATCGAAGCTGTCGAGTACATAGAGTATGACTTTGCAGCCGAATTCAACTCCACCAACGCCTATCGTGGACCACCAACACCAGAGCGGGAAGAAGCTTGGTACAATTTAACATACAGTACGTTCCCTCTTGCTACTTTTCCTCGTTATTTGAACGTTCTGACCAGGCAAATAGAACATGCAGTAGAAATCCCAGCAGACAAAATCCTCGGTCTCAACCGCTCCGAATCCGACAACCTCAAACACGTTCCTGAAGAAGTGGGAACGGGCTATGTAGCCATTCTAGAAGTCTTCCACCAACTTCACTGCCTCGTACGATCTCCTATTCCGCAATTCGTACCCTCCACTAAACTAACCGACACATCTTCCTCCAGAACATGATAAGAATGTTCACTTGGTACCAATCTGGAAAATACCCGGGCGTCCCAGACGGGCTTACAGAAAGTGAACTTAAAAATCGCATGCACGTCGATCATTGCATTGATGCATTAAGACTCGCTATTCAGTGCTTCGGCGATGTCACACCCGTGTTCATTCGCTTAGGTGGTCATGCTGGGGCCAAGGCGGATTTCAATAGTCATCATAAGTGTAGGAATTTTGACAGAATTGAGGGGTGGATTGATGAGAATTGGAGTGTTAACTGATGTTTCAGGAAGGAAGGGTTACACTGGTTGTTGGGTAAAATTGTCTGGCTGGGTAATTGGTGTTGTAGCGGATGTTCACGTACGAGATTGCTATTGAGTCATATTTATCATCGTTTGGTAACTTATACACTTCGGAAACTTGCATCAATTCTGTTATTAAACTGCAAGAAGCGCTTAAGCATACTTTGAATAGTTTGAACCTCGAATGAAGCGAAGGTGTTACACTAATTTCTGCAATGCAGATTTAGTCGTAGAGCATTAGCAAGCGTCAGCATAGTGTCATATCTGTACAAGATGGACGTAGGTTTCTGGAAAGTTGGAAAGTCTAAGCGCCGCATAGAAGTGGACATGTGAATCCTGTATACATCAAGCATGGATCTCCGAGTACACGTCAGTCACCATGCATGATGAGGATCGGGTGAAGTCAGCCTGCAGAACGGATGTAACCAGATGAAAAAATTCAGAAGATAAGGCATGCGAAGTAATTAAAAAAGATTTAATTGCATCGTTAGCCAGCTGACCAAGCTGCAGAGGATCCACAGCAGAGTTACATGGCGACGATAACAGCGAGACGCTACGAGTCGAACCACCTCTACATCCCTTGAAGGACGGGTTGAAAGTGTTTAAAAGGCGCTGTTGGTAGCTCCCAAAAGCTCAATATCAACTCATCGGTCCCTGATCGTTTCTACACTTCTCTGACATTCCCAAACTCAATCTCAGTTGAGCTTCATCCGATCAAATTCAACATGAAATCATCCCTCTACGCTCTTCTTACTGCCTTCGCGGCATGCGCCACTGCCAGTCCCATTCCTGCCTCTGATCGAGAGGCCCCAGCCAAGGTCATGAACATGGCACGCTCGGTTTTCGAGCGTTCGAACCTGGCGAAATACGACCGCCTAGTGAAATCCATCCAGGCTAAACGGAACGATCCAATTACCGACAGCGTCAACTACATCCTGGTGCTCCAGAAGGACTCCGATGAAAGCCCTGATGCCTACCAGGACGAAATCGACGCTGCCAATCCAGCCGACATCCTCGGCAAACGCAACAACGCGATTACCGACAGCGTCAACTACATCCTCGTGCTCCAGAAGGACTCCGATGAAAGCCCCGATGCCTACCAGGACGAAATCGACGCTGCTAATCCAGCTAATATCCTTGGCTAAAGGATGTACCTCAAGGAGGTTGTTAAGCAGATTGATTAGGGCTGGCATTACGGTTAATAAGCTTCTTGTTGCAGAGAGATAGTTATTTCCTAAGTACAAACACTGTTTCTATTCTTCTTTAGTTAAATAGAAAGCCTAGACCCTACCTTTCTTTTAGTATTTTAAGGTATATATTATCTCTAGAGAAAAGAAATTAATATACTATAATACTATTATATTCTTATATATACTATTAAATTACTTATTAGTACTTTGTATCTAGACTAACTATAGTAAATAAATTCTAACCTTATAAGAATTAATCCTCTGTTTTACGTCTTTTACAAAGTTTATTTTAATTAAAATATATTTAGTTATAATTTCTAATTATATAAAATAGCTTTATTTTTAATTTATATTATAATTCTCTTAATATAGTAATTCAACTTTCTATCTTAGTATTTAAATACCTTAAAATAGTTACTATACCTATAATCTATTTTATATAAGTAAACAAGTAAGATTTATTAATATATATTATTACTTAGAAGCTAAAAAAGTTCTTAGTATTAAGAAAACTATTATAATTACTAAAACCTTAATTTTATTAACTAAACCTTAAAATTATTCCTAAAATCCTAAATATTATTACTTAAACCTAGAAGTTATTACTAAGTACTAAAATCTTATCTCTAATACCTAAATATTATTACTATAAACCTATATTCTATTATAAAAACTCTAATATTATTACTAAAACCTAAAAACTATTACTAGATACCCTTTTATATAAACTATATATATTAATTATATAACTAGAAGAAAGATTTATTATATTATTATTTAATTATAATTATTTATCTTTTTAAGTTCTTAATTAAATAATTTTAAAATAAGTAAAGCTATTCTTTCTATAATTTCTAAATATATAATTAATTAGTATCTTATTATTTATAAAAGTTTCTAAACAGGCTTAATATTATTTAAAACATAATAAGGTAAGATAAGTTAATTAATAATTTATTATAAGTATTTCTATTTAAGTTTTAATTAGCCTACCTTTAGTATATCTCTAGGCTAAAAGTATAAGGCTCTTAAGGTTCTAGTATATAGTACTTATAAATTTCCAAAGATAATACTTTTTTATTTTATTTAATTATAAGTTAAATGCTTATTTATTCTATATCTTAATTTCTTACTTATAGTATATATATAACTTAAACTTATAAATCTTTATCTTTAAAGAAGTAGTTACTATAAAATAAATAAAAGCTATTTTTATTAATAGAAAGTTAATACCTTTTAAAAAAGAATAAAGTATTATACTTAATAAAACCTATTATAATACTATAGTACTTTTTTAATTATATTAAGAGCTTCTAGAGCTTAGAAAGACTATTTATCTAATTTCTATTTAGTATATATAAATACTCTATATTTAATTCTTAATAAAGTAGTAATTTAAATAATAAATTACCTTTACCTACTATTTCTAGCTCTATTTCTTTTTTTAGTTATAGGCGTAGTACTTTTATAGTATAGTAAATTTATTTTTTTATATAATTACCTATTAGAATATTAGTTTTAATACTTTAATCTTATTTAAAAACTTATAAATCTTAACTTTAAAGATTATTATAATCTTAATAGTATAAAATTAGAAGTTATAGAGTTTTTTATACTTTATTACTAGAAATATTAGGTTATTAATTATTAACCTAAAAGTACGTAAAAATAGGTATATATACACTAAGCCAGTACCTAAAATCTAAAACTAAAAATTAGGTAGATATAATATCTAGACGTAAAAACTATATAGACGTAATATACTAACTTAAAAATTAACTAGATATAAAAATTAACTAGATATAAAAATTAACTAGACTTAAAAATTATATAGACCTAATATATAGACTTAAATATTAACTAGACGTAAAAATTACCTAGACCTAATATATACTCTCTATATTAACCTAGATAACTATAGAGTATTTAATAACTTTTAGAATAGTTAGATAGATCTAGAACAGCCCTAAAGAAGTAGGCTACTTTAATAATAAAACTATATAGTAGTTAGAAACTAGAAGTATATAATAAGAACTATTACTATACTACTATCTACTACTTAATACCTAATTTAAACTTATTATCTTTAGTATTTTAGACCTTATAAACTTTCTCTATTTAACTAGAATTATCTCTAAATATATTAGCTATATAAATTTTTACTAGCTTTTTATTATTAGTATCTTTCTACTATATTTATTCTAAAAGAGCTTATCTATTTATATAAAAAATATATATTAAAGTAATAGTATAGGTAAGACCTATAGCCTCTTTATTATACTTAGCTAATAGCTTTATCTACTAGGCTAGTCTTATCTATATAATAGAATACTTAAGGTAGGTATTTAAAATTATTACTTAAAGTAATAATATAAAGATTTCTATACTAAACTAGTTATATAGTATATTCTATCTCTTTCTATATTTAAGGTACCTACTGTATAATATCTATTCCTTAGAAAAATCTTATTTTAATATAGTAGTTATAAGCTGCCTAAATATTAGGTTAGTAAGGTACTTTTTATAAATAGCTAAAAATAATTACCTTTTAGCTATAATTATAAAACCTTAACCTTTCTTAGAGTACTTAGCTTTACTTTATATTAACTTTTTAAGTCTCTTATATTTTATATAAAGAGAGGATATAATCTATATATATTAGGATTAGGGATTTTAGTTTAAAATCCTTATAGAATAGGTACGTGTACAATGTATATTACTAGTATAAAATTTAAAAGTTAAGATATAAAAGTCTACTTTTAACTAGGTAAAATTTAAAAGTAGAGATATAAAAGTCTATATCTAACCTAGTAAAATTTAAAAGGTAAGATGCTAAAGTTTACCTCTAACCTAGTAAAATTTAAAAGGTAAGATACTAAAGTCTACCTCTAACTTAGTAAAATTTAAAAGGCAAGATACTAAAGTCTACTTTTAACTAGGTAAAATTTAAAAGGTAAGATGTAGAAGTCTTCTTCTAACTTAGTAAAAGTTAAAAGTTAAGATATAAAAGTCTACTTCTAACGTAGTAAAATATATAAGTTAAAAGGTAGAAGTTAAGATATAAAAGTGTACCTTTAATATAGTAAAGTTTAAAAGTTAAGATATAAAAGTCTACCTTTAACCTAGTAAAGTTTAGAAGTTAAGATATAAAAGTATACTCTTAGCCTAGTAAGATACATAAGTTAAAAAGTAGAAGTTAGAATATAATAGTCTACTTTTAACTTAGTAAGATTAAAGAGTTAAGATATAAAAGTAAACTAAAGAAAGTAAAATAATTTTAACCTATAATAATACTAGAAATACCTTTTATTATACTAGAATATTTAGAACGTAAGTTTAAATATAATAATAATAATAAAGGTAGAGTAATAATTTAATATAACTTTACCTTACTAACCTAGTCTTAACTTATTAAACTCTAAGGTAAAAGTATTAGCTAATAAAACTATGCCTATATTAAGTACCTTTCTTATTCTACCTTATTATATAATCCTTTTCTTTCTTTTTTATACCTTATACCTATCTCTAACCTACCTTCTTTATTAGCCTATTATAACTACTACTATATACCTATAGAAGTAATTAATCTAACTAGATTAGATAATAAATTTAGCTATAAAGACTAAGCTCTTTTACTAGAAGATAAAGAAGAGTTTAAAGATATTAAGCTAGAAGACTACAGTACTAGCCTAGACTCTAAATATAAAGTAAATAGTAATAGTAGCTATAGGTAAGGGCTTATAATATTCTAGTAGGATTATAAGTAGCTTTTACTAATACTAGCTATATTCTAACCTTACTATAATATAAAATTACTCTAAAGCTAAACTTCCTATAGATATCTAAATATAAGATACCTAAATTATAAAGATATACTACGTAACTATAATCTAGAACCTTATAATACCTAAGTTAATCTATAATCTCTTTATTACTATAAACTAGAGTAATAATCCTATATTTCTTAAAATTACCTACTTTGTTTCTAAAGTACTATACGTAATTAGCTATACTATATATAATAAACTAGCCTCTATTATCTTAAACTCTATTTAGTGTAGTAATAATATATATATAGCGTAAAAGCTTATATACGCCCTTTAAATAATTAACTCTAAAGATATTATTAATAAGCTATTTATCCTTAATTAGTATTATTTCTTTATAGTAGTGTTCTAGTATATAGAGAGAATTCTTTTTATACCTACTAAGTCCTACTAATATAAGCTATACTAATATTAATATAGTTTATTTTAATATTACTATTATATATTCTAACTTAAGTCTAACCTAGAATACTAGGCGTTTAGACTATTAGAGTATATTAACTGCTTTACTAATAAGCAGCAGTGTCTTTAGGTAATACCTAAACTATTAGTACTTATAGATATTAAGTATATAAAGTATAAAGAGAAAGTATATAGGTATAATAAAAATAGTAAAGAAGAAAGTAGTAATAAAGATAAGAATAATAGTAAGCCTAAGTATAAGTAGAATATATATTAGAATAATCTATAAGTAGGCTAGAGTAAAATTAATAGCTACTATATCTATAATAAAGTAGATTATAAGATTCTATATTATAACCTTTACTTATATTATCTACTATCTCTTTTATGCTACTTTTACTTCTTCTCTATTATATACTTATTATACTTATTATCCTTATTATACTTATTCTTATTATACCTATTATACTTCTTACTTTCTTTATTATTTTTACTGTCTATATACTTCTTAACCTCTTAAACCTGTTTAGCCTAATACTAACCTAGATTTATAAAATTATTAACTAAATTATCTTTAATTAGCTCCTAATATAACTAGATATACCGATTTTACTATTAAATCTCTACTATTATAGTCTATATATACGCGCTAACACTTAGCGTATACAGTAAAATCTAAATAGTAAGATCTACTTATAACTATACTTATTCTTTAGCTATCTTTAC